TGTGTGTGTGTGTGTGTGTCGCAAAATTTCATGTATTTTCGCATGAATTATTCGAGTAAAATCTATCATGCGAGTAATCAACAAAAAGACATTTTCGGACAAAATATTCTCTATAAAATTTTAATTCTATAACTTATATATTCACATTTATATTATAATACAAAATAATAATCATTTGTCATTCAAATTAATAATCATTCTAAAGCGTATATTACTTGTTAGTAACAAACGCAATATGTTTCATCGATTAATGCGTGAATACAATCGCGCGATCTCGAGTACTGATAAGCGAATAAGAAATTTTGTACGATCAGAATTTATTTATTGTTCTCTCTTATTGCAATATAATAAGGTTCGCATCGCATGTGATCAATGTCTGGAGTACCGTACGAAATATTCAGACATCTTATTCCACTGATTAATGCATGCGCGATCTCATATTGAACCATAATTTCGCGAGTGTATATGAATGTATATGAGTATCACGAAAAAACAGCAAAGAAAAAAAACCTAGAAAGACATCAAGTGACAATGGAGCGACTGTATGAGGTGAGCACTTTATAATTTATTATCTATTATATTTGTAAAAATAGTAGCTTGGTATCTCTCTCTCTATCTAGTTTTTACATTACCATGTAATACACACACACACACACACACACACACACACACACACACACACACACACACACACACACACACACATATATACATACACGATACATGTGAAATATAAATATAAATTTTTTTACAAAAAATATTTAATATGCAACTTTTATTTTCTTTCTCTCTCTCTCTCTCTCTCTCTCTTTTCTCTTTATTTATTTCGTATTAAATTTCGTATTAAATTTTTTTTTATTTAGTAAGTAAATAAAAAATTTAATTGCGCATAATAATTATTTTCCAATATATTAATTATTTTGAATACTGATTTAAATAATTTAAACATATTCATATTTCATAAATCAACGAATTTTACCATTGCATATTATATCAATGAGTTAAATCATTTTTAATCTTAAGATATAAGAGAGAGAGAGAGAGAGAGAGAAAATTTTTGTTAATGTTATATCTTTTGGATTTATATCTATATAATTAGAATTGATATAATGAAATGTATATGTATGTATATACAAGAAAAAATATATTAGAAAACAATGAAAATAAAACAGTGAAAAATTTGTTTCCAGCAATTGTATAAAAATTTAAATTTGTAATGGTAACAAATGCAGCTCGATAAAAATATATTTTATATTATTCATTCTCATACCAAAATTTATTTCTATAATTTTTATTCTAAACAGAAATTAAACATTTAAATTAATTGTAATAAGAATGATATAAATAAATATGTCAAATTTATTGCAAAATAAGTGTTGCAGATTAGTGCAATACTAGTGGGGGTAATATTTCGTTCATTTCGATTCTCTTTTTCGGAAGGACAACATCTGTCTCGAGACGAGAAAAGATGCTCTCGATTGAAAATAAATAACCGAACTAAACGATCGATACATTGCTATCTCTCATCCACACACTTTCGTATTTAAATTTATATTATCAATATTTTATAATAAATTTAAAATCTCGTTTTTTGCATATATGTGTGTGTGTGTTTTTTTTTGCATATATATATATATATATATATATATATATATATGTACTTGTATGCATGTATTTTGTCATGTTCTTAATATAGTCTGAATTTAAAAAAACTATATATGGAGTGTAGAGGAAACATACGCACATATGTATACAACATCCGTTAGAAGACAACGTATTTTTCCATCAAGGGAACGTAATCTCTGAGACTTCGTGGGCAAAATAAATTCAAACAGCTTCTCTGATATATATGTACTATACATATATATATTGATATATATGTACTATATGTATATATGTATGTACATGTGAGAAAAATAAGGGTTAACGAAGTCGCACTATACATAAGATTTAGATTTTTGAATAGCAAATGCACGTGTATTATTATTTAGCCTTTAAAGTAGATTTTCACACAAATTTAGTTTCACAAATATTAATCAATTATTAGATTTACAACAAAGAAAAATAAAATTACAAACCTCGGTATATTTTTATTCTATTTTTCTTTTTTTCTTTCCCCTCTTGTTACATTTTATTTTTAAAACTAATTAAAATAAATATTGATTTTAGAGAAAAACTTATATTTATATTTTTTTATATAAGAATTCTGTGAGCGCTATAAATAATTTAAGAAAAAATATAAATGTTTTAATTTATATTTATGTAGCATGACATTTCTTTTGAAATAATATGAATTTTGTTGATTAATAGGGTGTATTTTGATTACATTTTGATGAAACATGCAAACTTACACGGGAATATAGATTGTAATTAACTATTGTTCGTTAGCCATAATTTTCTGACTTCATGCCAAAGCGCCTTTAAATTTACTGCGATAAAGCACAAATGTAGTCTTTGATGTGCAAAAACGTCAGCTCCAGTTTTACGCGCCACGGATATATTCCCATCTACCCCCGGCGTCTCTATCGTCTAGTGCCGATATAATTCAGAATCAAGAGAGCTATATGCGGACACACAGATCGATATTCGTAAAGATTCATTCGGAAATGTTCGAGCGAGATAATGACGGATAATCGATTTGATTTCCTAACGCTTTCAATTTCGTTAAATCGAAACTAGGCGATTTCATTCGTTTCATTCCGATGAATTTTCTGAGTGTTTCGACGTCCTTTATTATCCGCTTTGCGGATTAAACGTCGTATCGATTTCCTATCTTGAGGAGCATTGAGTATGTTAAAAAGTATAATTTATCTGGGATATCGAGAGCGAAATAGTTTGCTACTTTACCTTCATTACGCAAGTTTTAATCAATTCGCCAAGCGCACCTATTCCTACCGGTACTTTTCGCGTAATGTAAGAATCTGCGTGGATGTTACCGTGTTGGAAGTTAGCGCAGAATTGTCGTCGATCTCTCTAGATGCATCTTATAGCTTTAGTGTCAAAAGAGGTACACGTTGCCGGGAACAAATTTACACACCAACGCATCTACATCTTGTTTATTCATTAGATACTCTTCGTCAGACAAATATCAAATTCTGCCTTTCGTAGAATATATGCTACGTCAACTTAATAATTCTAATCGCGTTCTCGAGAACGCAGCCCAAATATAATTCGCAAGACTTTGACACAAACAAATTTCGTTCGTTACGCTTTTGGCTCTCAAGAAATACATTCGCGTAAAATCCTACGTTAATTTATAATTTTGCTCATGCAATTTTCTCGATTATATAAATTAAATTAATCATACTATATCGAGAGAAAAAGAGGGACAAAAGTGGAGAGAGAGAGAGAGAAAGATAATTAATATATGCATAATTCAAAATTGATTTATGCCAATCTGGTGTTATGTAGATTACGTAATTTTCATTTTATAATGGTTATTTATAGCTTGAACTCATTTTAATTAAACGGCTACATAGATTAGTGATATATTCATGTGTGTATGCGTAACAATTTTCACGCGTGGATAGTAACGAAAATTATATATCATGATAACGTCTAAAGATTAAGAAAAATATTTAATTGAAGCGTAAATATAATTGCTTGTGATATTCAATATATATGCTTGTGATATTATCAATATGCTGTAACATGATGACACATAACTATTAGTAGAATTCCAATAAATTACATAGCAAAGCAGCGATAATTGGGAGAAAGACAAGAATAAAATCTTAATTAATTTATATGTGTCAGCATACGTTAAATCAAGTTTGCTTCGCGTTTGCACACAGACACACGACTCTGATAATGACTCTGAATAAAATCTATAAGATATACATAAAACAGATAAAAATGAATTTTCAGTACAAAATTTTTTCCACTAAATTTGCGGTAAAAATATTAAATTTTAGAAGAATTTATTTGTTATACATAATAAATGTGAAATTTAATTATCGCATCTAATAAACTTGGACAATAAACATCTTTTTCAAGATTTAATTCAGCTTTTAGAGCAAATGCAATTAAAATGTCCGAGCTGAGAGTTCAAATGAGAATTCGAAACGTGAACAATGGGAACAATAGTCCTCTTGTGTGTATTCATTTGACAACTTTTCGCGTAATGGAATCGCATGCTTTTTCTCTCGTAAAAAAATTATTTATATCTTATATCGATCAAAAAAAGCAACGAATTGATGAAATTTTAGTGACAAGAGATATGAAATACTGGCGATAAAATAGTAACCGTGCAAACAAGCCGAACCATAAAGATCGATGCTTATGTCTCGACCTCGTAATATCAGTGAACATTACTTCAACAAAGTTATATAATTCAGTAAAGTCAAAGCTTTGTATTGGTGATTGTTATAAACTTTGTAATATTAAAGAAAATTTGATACATATATATTGTTTTATTTTTGCAGCGCGCTGCTTATTAATCTTGAAAAACGTATCTGGAGCACGAATAAAAATAATACGTTTCAAGACTAAAATTATACTTGTTAACACGTTGGATGGCGTTGCCAAGCATTTTCTTGAAAAATATTTAAAAATAGATCCTTTTCTTGTCTTCCTTCAATCTTCATCAAATATCAAGTATATCGAGTACAATCATACATCATGCATCCTGTTAATATAATTCAGAACGATATCGGTAGATGATTATAAAAAAAGAATCCTGGATGACCGGCGTGAAAACTTTGTCGTGCAGTAAGTTTTCTCATTATCAGTCGAGGAAGGAAGAGAAATGTTTTGCCGCGCATCCCCTATGAGTACATATAGAAGAAACCTTACTTTCTCGATTCAATTTTATGTTTTTCTTCTGGTAATACAATACGTGTCAACGTGGAGATCGTGTTCGCGGCTACAAAAGTACCCCCATAGGTGATGGGGTATTATAGACAACCGCGCAGGCGTCACCGCTGGTGGGCTTTTTGCACGACGAGCTAACTCCGGTGGAAGGAATTTCGCGAGGGTGAAACTGACAGTCGGCGCCGAGCCGCCCTCGTGCGATCTCGCATTCTCGATTGCGTGAGGAAAATTCGCCGCGAATCTCTCATGGTACGATGATGCTCCTTGTGCACGACTTTCGATCGACCGCGACATAAAAAGTACTTTATGGTAGAATTTCATCTAGTGCAAATTTGAGTGCGGATTTGCGTGAATCCTCGCGAAAAATCGGATAATTAAAATTGCACCCTCTTTTGATTCGGCGAGAAGATCCATGTGCTCGCAGCATGGCTATCATGCAGTCCTGTTGTTGTTGGCAATCTGTACGCAGAGGCAGCTACGCTTGTGCTGTTTATACCATAGTAAGTATTGGCGGCAGAGCAGTGTTTACGTATACTTGAGAATTGTTATTATAAACAGAAAAGTTTTAAGTAAAAAAATAATATTTTCTCCATTATTTTTCCTACATAATTTAGCGATACAGAATATCAGTTTTGAAACTTTGATATTTGAAAAAATTTTAACATGTATAACAGATTCTCTACGTGCATTTATTTTGACATTTATTTTGACATTTAATTTTTTATTTTTTAAAAGTATTTTGCAAGGTATTTTACACACACACACACACACACACATATATGTATATAAGTTTTTGTTCGTTTATATTATTTATTTCTTTTATATTATCTTTATTTAAGTAAGATTAAACATTATTTTATCTACTTATCTTTATTTTTATACTCCTATATCATATTTCTGTTTTCATTTTATAATAAAATAAAATAGAATGATGTTTTAGATTCTATAGAGAGATACACATTTACATACATACACATATACATTTATATATATATAGAAAGAGAGAGAGAGAGAAAGAAACTTGATTTATATCGTTATCTTGCATCTAAGGACTTATGTGATAGCCCTATGGACGTCTAATGATTAATTTTTCCTCTTTCACGTTCGACGGTCAAGCAAAATAGTGATATGAGACAATAACAAATTAAACGGTTTAGAGGATATAATGATTAATGATATTATACTAACGTTATAAAATTTTAGATTGCTCTTTCTACAATTATAGAAAAATATAAATGTAGTAAACTCATGATGTAGTAAACTCCAGCTTTTATAATATGTATTTCCTCATGAACATTTTTCATAAAAATAGGTCGACTATTGCGTTGTACACAATATATCTTGGGAAATATGTATGCATTTCGTGATATAATTACGTAAAGAAAATTACATAAATATTAAATTTATTATATTTGTGTGATATTTATATCGAATTATCTATTTAATTCAATTTAATATCGTTATATATCAGCACAATAAAAATTTATTAATAACGAAATATTACTAAATGATAACACCAACAGGGTATATAATTAAGTTGATATGACATCATCATTAAACTCTTCAAAAGCATGTCTGGATATCATAAATGTTCTAAAAAAAATTGGAAAAATATTTGGAAATTTTTTAGATGTATTTTATATATTTATATATTCTAATATTTTAAGCATATTTTAGACACGTTTTCCCGACATTTTTAAAATTTTTATATTGTGTGTGATCAAAATTTTTTAATTGTATAAAATTAAAATTATTTTATATTCGCAAAAAATTTTTATTAAAATTATTATTTATTATTTGTGAGAAGAACATAAAATCTGAATAGATTTACTCTATTTATTCTATTTTTTCATATATTTTTTTGTTTACAGAAGAGGAAATCTAAAATTGTACGATTTATAGGTAAAAATTTGTCTATTTGTTACGTTAGGTTTTATTTAATAAACACTTATTTTATAAAATCGTACGTTATTTATAAAATTATTCTTATCTATAATGAAACAAATTATTTGCAACAATAAATTAATAAGATAGAATAATAACATATTTTTTCTCAAGAAATTGCATTACATATTAATCATGATATTTGTGTCTCGTAAAATGAAGAAATGGGAATATTACATAAAATAACTAATGATAATTAAATTTATCGCAGTTATATAATTCATGAAGTTAAAAGAAAACTATACAAATATATAATAATCGCCACGTTAGAGATAATTTAAATTATATTGTTAATGAATCGCTAAAACGTAGTCATTATATTATTATTACCGCAAATGGGGGGTCCATTAATAAATATACAATACGTTTCATGCACTTCAATTGTATTATTGAACTGGCTAACTATTGATCAGCATATTCTCCTGGAAACATATGAATTCAGTCGAAATATGCATATCTATAGTGCGCATATTATTGTACGCATGTATACACTTACACCCACACATATGAACATTCATACTCTTCTTCGAATGTATTTTTACACATTTACAATTTTCAGTTACATTCTCTCGCAGAAACTAAAGGAAAAATTGGGAAAACAAAATAAATATCCGTATTTTACAATATCAGTGAAAATTTTCGTTTGATAAGAGGATTGTGTTTAATTCGTATATTTTTCCGTTTTTTAGATACATATCATTGCGGTGTGTGTTCCAAATTGTTTTTTTTTCTTGGCAGAAGAATCATTTTTATTTTCTAAAAAAATTGAGTCAACAATAGCATACATATGTATATCTGTTTTATTGACACAAAATATTAATTTTGAAATTATGTTTAAAATAATTTTATTTAAATAATGCATTTTTAGTTTATAATGAAAATTTTGTGCAAACAAAATATTATTGCATTTTAATTTTCGAAACATAAAAATAAGCTTTATATATATTTTTTTAAATATTTTATACAAAATTTGCATTAATTATGCGTTTTATACGTAATGTGTATACGTAATATGTATATATAATTATGTTGAACTTAAAATGTGTGCGTCGAAAATTATTTTCATTTCAAAATTTTAAAGAATCGCGAAAACGCAAAACAAATTTTTCGTTAAATTATTATTGAACAGATCTGCGTAACTGTTTAAGGTCTTGGAAATTAGTGGTGTTTGTGAAAACTTATAGTACACAAAGTTACACGAAAATCATTTGTGTGAGTTTCTATGGGACTTTAAGGCGGAGAAAATTAAACGTGTCGAGTAATCTTTATCTTATAATTGCTAAAGTTTCGGTATTTAATCTAATTATCCTCGTTTTACTCTTTCATCGATCTCTGATTATTCTTCGGACGGAGAAACAACTTCCGTCTTATTGCTGCTTATCTGTGTTTTAGTTTCTTTTATAATATGTGACATTAAAATTGAATTAACTTTACAGATTTTATTTTGTACATAGTTTCTTTTATAATATGTGACATTAAAATTGAATTAACTTTGCAGATTTTATTTCGTTTCATAGTTCTATCGCGTTTTATTACTACCGCGAAATATTCATAAAAATTCAGGAAAAAAAATTCGCTTTAATTATCCTACTCTGTTAATTATCTCGTTAGTTTCTGGAACACAATTGCAACAACCTCATTACATACTTCGTAATACCGCATCATTGATTCCCTGCCATGAGAGGTTTAGAGTGATATCTGATCGTGTCGCTAAATGATGTAATGGTTGATGCAAAAAGTTAAAAATGGTTAGCATAAAAATTCTCTAATTTTATTGTTTATTTTAAATTACTTTTAATATGAATATTTTTATTTGTATTATTTTATTATTTTTATTTGTTGCTCGAATATTTAGATTTCTATCATCGAAATTTCTATCGAAAATTAATTGATCTAATCTGCTATTCTTCTCTTCTTTTATAATTACAAAAAAATACGAAATAATTGTAAATTGCCTAATACAATAAAACATTTTTTAGCTAATTTTTACGGAAGATTAAATTAATTTTATACCTCAATTCAAAAGTTTAATCAAAGTTTAACAAATACACGCGCTTACTTACATGTGCTTATAGATCTACAAAAGTCAAATGATTATCATAAATACAGAATTGAAACGAGGGTTGTGATGCTCAGTCAGCATTTCATGGATATCAGAGACTCGACGAGGCGAGAAAAACACGTAGCTTGGAGACGCATTTTCACTTTTTTTTCCTCACATGTACCGGTCTCTGTTGTACGATTTCAATAAAACTTAATTGTGCATAGAAAGCTACAAAAAAAGTTTGAAATTTAAGAAACTGTGGTACTAGACTAAGGGATTTCAATTTAGAACTTTATCATGTTGAGAAAAAATAATATTTATGTACGATAATAATTATGTTATATGAGAGCTAAAAATACATTCCAGGAAAACGTTTGAGCAAATTACATTTAATTTGATGTAATTTGAAATAATAATCTACGCATATAAAATATTATAATTAAATTATAATTATTGACATAAATATGTTCATATGTGTAAATTAAAAATTTATGTATAATTTTCAAAATGTAATTTCAGAATATAAAAATTGTTGTACAAACACACATGCTATGTATATATTTTAACAAAGATGTGTTTTCTATTTGGAGAAGAGTAATTGAGTTAAGGGAGAAAAATTTTTTTTCTATTTTTCTCAAATGGAATCTGTTAGTATTTCTCTCGCTTCCACAATTTTCATTAAACGTTTTTTTATTATAAAAGCATACAAATCAACCTAAAAGCAATTATATATTGTTCAAATTCAAACAAAATTAATGCAAGATAAAAGAATATGCGACAGTTGCGCACTTTTATTATTCTATAAATTGGCATAAAATTATGACATTCTACATAAGAGTAAAGCGAGCTATACTGATTGATTGTTTATAATAAAGAATTTACCTTAGCACTTTTATCAATATTTCTCTTGATTTTATACTTTTTTCATGTTATGAGTAAACATCAATCTTTTTTCCTCTTCACGGAACGAAAATTAACGTAAGTGTTTCATTTATACAAACTTGAGAGATTCTCAATTTTTAATAAATTTTCAGTACAGAAAATGAGAATAGTAGTTTATAATTTCATCTATAGTCTAAGCTAAAATAATATAGCATTTTGAAAAAGTGTAAATAATGTTTTCAATATATTATTAGTAAACGATCGAACTACACATTTATCCATTAATTTCGTTCTCGCGACTGATAAACAGAAATAAATTTCTGTGATTACGCAAATAGAAAATTTAATTTTAACATTAATTATATCGTTAAAAGTGGAATTAAGCTGAATTAGTATGTTAGGCAAATTGAAATCTGATACATCTGAAAAGAAGCGTAGTAACGTAAATATTAATATAATATTTAATACAGTATGACATGAAAGTACGACAACAATATATAATGCGACTTTTCATTTAATTCAAAGTATCAAAAGCGCCGTGATATGCTTACGCAACTTATTGCAGCATTAATTAATACTGCGGTGTGTAAGCAGCAGTTTCGTATTTTCATCGTGTGCGTGTTTCTATATATGAACAAATACTCTCCAGAGAAACTCTGACCATAAACCCTTGGGAAATTTGTTTACCTAATAGAAACATACCACTCCCCCCACCCCTTTTGATCCTTTTTTCCAGCTAAATTATTTTTAACTTTGATTAAAAATGTGCATAGTCTCTCTCTCTCTCTCTCTCTCTCTCTCTCTCTCTCTCTCTCTCTCTCTCTCTAAAGATTTTTCAAATTAAAAATTATATAAATTATATAAATCTCACCATGTGTCAATGTTTCAATTACTTATTCATAACGATGTCACATGAACACATATTTATTAAATAAAATTTTATTTCTTTAACAATAAAAATTATGAGTTTAAATAAATTAATACTTTCTTTTTTTATAAGTTTAATATAAAATTAGCGTTTACATTATCCTAAATTTGATATCATTTTTGTTACCATTTTTAATACCATTATATTATATTATACACGTATTATTGCATTGTATAATATATTAAAGCAACACGCGCGGTATGTTTTAAATAAAGTTCCGCGAATTAAAACACATACAAATTTATGCGTATCTCATAAAATAAATATACCAAGAAATTGAAACGGCTTTTTTTATGAAAAACCAAATAAATAAAAATATATAAAATAAATATATTTGTTCGCACTGAATCAATGCATTTCGCGCTATAATTTCCTGTTTCTTGTTATTCTATCTCTTTATTCATTTTCACAAATGCACGTTCGATTACATTATTTCGTACTCTCGGTTATTTTTCTGACAGTCTCTTGCATTACGATACATTATGTTTACAAAATCACCAAATATGTACCAATTAAATCACTTCATTGTGTAAACTGTATAATTTGTATAATCCGTTATTTATTGAAAAATGACGATCGCCCGACACACACGTGTCCTAACAATTGGATGATAAAAAATGTCAAAAATCATTTAAATATAGTTGCGGCTATCATTATTTTCATTATTACCCGAACATCATTTGCCTGAATTCATTTCGATGATTTCTCGATAATCCTTTCGATTTTCCCGATGCTCAATTGCATTTGCGATTATAATGAATATCTGTGATCGAAAGGCATATTAAGTGCAGGAACTCGCCTGAACGTCAGATGACACATTAAGACGATAATTTCGATCGTTAATCTCGGTATTTCTGTCGCGTATTTGTACAAGAAATTTTATTTTAAAAAACAGCTCGAGAGAACCGAGAAATAATAGCGATTCGCTTCGATTCTCAGTGAGATGAACATCTGTTACGAATATCGAAAGACAGATTGATTATACTCTCCCACGCTAATTAATGCACTAGGATGAACCATTGACCACCGAAACTCGGCAACTTCCAACATTTACTTTGGATGAGGTACACATAAGAGGTGCAGCGCGAACGCAATTGTTCTCTCCAGGTTTCGAAAATCTTTACGATGAAATGATATGGCGGTTTGTGGAAATTTTCTTGAAGAATATTACGTCAGAGTGTGATTTATGAGAGTAATTTTAAAATATAAACGGAGTTAAGATGAGTAAAATTATGAATTTCAGATAGAAACCCCGCACATTTCAGCATACCAAGAGGCTTCTCACGGAGTAGAATTTTAATTTAAATGCATAATGATACACAGTTTAATAATTTCTCGACATTTCGAATTTGCGGTTTGCCCTCCAAAACGATATATATATAAGCGACCTATTGATTGTATAAAGGTGTACCATAATTCGATAATTCTCCGATGCGATATTAGATTCGCGTTAGATTCATCTGCTTCTCGTAATATCGCGTAACGAATGAATAAAGTGTATAATTAATAAAAGGAACATTTAAATTTTAACATAGTAGAATTAAGTAATTAAGTATCGGAAATTTTATTATAATTTCTAAAATGGTTCTTTCTCAAAGGGCAAAATTTACAAAATTATTTTACTTATTTTTTTTCATAAATGAATTCTTTAATATTTAAATAAATGAAATATTCAATTATTCTATATATGTTTTTTTAATAAATAAAATATTGAACGTATTGCGGTGTGCAGTTATTCCTGCGGAAAGGAGGAAAAAAAAATCATGCGAGAAAAAAAGAGGATATTTATTTAATATCGGTGAATTACCACGATACTACAACGACATTCACATGAAAATATATGTTGATGGCATACAATTCCCTGATATATCCCCTGCTGACACTCCCAGAATTAAACTAACTCGGATTATTGCAACGGACGTACATGTCCTCTTTCCCACAAATTGGTAACAGGATTGCCCCCGAGCTTGCTAACGCGAAATCGAATTATTCTCCGGATATTGAACTTGCGCCGCATGTCTGTTGTTTTTTATCTTTTTCTATAAAATCAATACCTAGATATATCGAATCGATAAGCTAAAAAAATGAGACTAAACAAATCTTAAATACGCAAAATAATGGAGAAGATAAAATACACATTAAAATGCACATTAAAATGTTAAAATATACATTTAAAAAATTAAATTACACATTAAAACGTTGTTAAAATACATAGCGCGTGGGTCTATCAAATTATTCAAAAGTATTATTATAGAATGATCTGTTTAAATAATAATAATATATGAATATTCCTAAAGTTAAATTTATAAAATTAATTATGATGTTAATGAGATGTTAAATTATCTTTAATTAATAATTTTATTAAAAAATAGGTTACAATCTCTAATATCTATAGTAGTGTAATTTTTTATAAGATACGTAGTTATGTATATGTGTGACTTGTGCTTCAATAAGAAGTAACGAAATTCACAAAAATTTCAGTTTCTGCATCTAATTCCTCAATTGATTTCTACTGTTATTGAATGACGTATTTTGTAAATATAAATTAATGGTAGCCTCCATTCTGTTTGCGGTTCTAGATATACTTTGTACTGTTAGCATTAACCACTGGTATGATTTTTCGAGAGGAAAGTCAATATCTCAAGGGGAACGTTTCTCAACCAGAGTCGTCCAGCTTTCTGGAATCGGGGACCATATCGCCAAGTAAGCAGACAATAAATAGCAAGTAGCAGTTAGTATTTTAGCGAATTAATAGTATTTTATTTTTCTCATAACAAAGTTCTTGATCTCATGCATGGAATTGTCCTCGAAATTGTCTTTATCTAAGTAGTCGGCTTCGCTTAAAAAATATCGTATTGCTTGTATTGCTTCAGCCACGGTTCATTTCAACGGAATGCTGCTTATCTGCTCCTGCTGTGGCGTGTTGTGCAGTCTCCTTCTTTTGTACGGCTTGTACAAGGTAGGGCAAAATTCCGGAGTAGTCATTAAAGCGCCATATATATAATTCCATTCCTTTGAAATAATTTCATTTCTTTATTTATTTGTAATAATTAGATATTGCAGGAGATTAATTTGTGAAAATATAGAAATGCACAAAGTAGAGAGAGAAAATTAAATTCGGATTAAAAGCGTGATGATAATTCTTCTATCCCTTTACTTATTTGTGAAAATTAGAAATTGCAGATGAATTAAAAAATGTAGCTATAGAATCTCGATTATTATTGTCTCTATTATTACATTAGACTGTTGTACGTTAGATGCTATTATATAATATAAGAAAAAATTGTCACCCTACTTTTTTACATGTCATTATTATTTTATTTTATTTTTTTTTTTTGAAAAGACAATATAATTTTAGATATTTTTATAGCTATGTTATGTTTGAGTAACAGCTAAATTTACACACACACACATATAAATTCTATTAGCTTCCCAATACGAGAATTCTCCATCAGTTCTTCCTCAAGACGTAGATTTTCACGTCTATTACATTTACCACTCAATCCCGTGAGAAAGCAATGGAAGATACTTTTACTGTCATTTGAAACGTGATAAAACAGTATTATCGCTGCTCCCGAATGGATGATATGAAAAGCTACTGGTGTAACATGCACACGTTATTCCCGAGAGGTACGTGCCATTAAACACAGACAGAACGAACAATTGAATGAGCAATTCGTACACATTATCGTTAATAAGTTTATTCAAAAAAAAAAAAAAAAAAAATATATATATATATATATATATATATATATATATATATTAAATTTTTAATGGAAAATCTAATTTTGATTTTCTGATTACTTTCTACTAAATTTTTAACTCATTTCAATATTTCCTCGAATAGCATAATTGAGTAAAAATTTAAATTTGAAAATCTGTTCACGTATTATTCATTGTTAAGACTGTGATATATGGCAAAACGTGCGTATTGATTCTTTATTTTCGTTTCTGTCAATCTATAATACAGATGTATTGTTTTCTTATATCGACTGAAGTTCTCATGCAGTATAATATAGACGTAATAAACTAACAGTAAACGTATTATATAATCCACTTCGCGATATTATTATGAAAGATAAAAATCATAAACTTGCATCAGCGGTTAGCGAAAAAAAAACCACAGAGTAAAAACGCATTAAAAACCTTAATTATTCTGAGTACCCGCTTGGTTGTGACAAATATCATTAATAAAACAAACTATACCATTCACGCGATATAACGTAACATAACGTGAGTAATATATTCATGAATATTAATAGTGAAATACTGATAATATAGCGAAAGGACCCTTTGTGAGCATCATAAAACGTGTTTGATGAAAAATACCTGGTACGTTTTACATTCTATATTCTAGCCTTTTACATTACAGAATTACTACGCCTTTTATATTTTTTATTATTTTAATACAGAAAATAATTTTTAAAAAATCGGAATCGCAATTAAAATCCTCGGAATTTAGAAACGTGATATAGATAGCAGTTCGCAGAAATTTTTACGTGGAAAATCCTATGTATAGCTTTCATGTAAGCTCTTATATAAGTACTCTATCCGTGAATTTTTAGGATCACAAGATATTGCTGCTTCCATGGATTATCGTAATCATCATGTGTGGCATCATTGATATAGCGCATTCGATATATTTGTTCATCGGCACAGTGCGTATATTTTGTATTCTTCTTCATATATGTTATATAATAAAAAAATGATCTTCGATTTTTTGTGATTGGGCATATACTTAAAATTAAAAATGGTCTTTTTTATAATTTTAAATATTTCGATATATATATTTATTAGTAATAATTATTTCAATTAATTTTCAGTTCAAGTGTAAAAAAATTTAGTATATTTTCCTATATCTCATAATGTATTAATCACTAAGATAATCATTTTTATAAAACTGGTTTGTGATGAAAATTTTATTAAAACAATTTTATTAACTTTTAAGATTTGATAGAAAAGGGGCGTAAGTGTTTGAAAACAAGAATATTGTAATATTGTAAATATTCTTCTAATAATATCCTTCTTTAAGCATATGAGATTTTCTAAAAATCACTATCTGTTTTATTTTATCTTATTTTTTACAGCATTTTATACAGCATTTCTTATTGAACTTATAGTTAATTCAATCGATCGTCTTATGAGTTCGAGTGCTATAAATTTTTTGTTTTATTTGGCATGTAAAATATGTTTCCCTATTTTCTTTTCATTTTTTTCTTATTTTTATTTTGCAATATTTAAAATTTATGAGTATCGGCCGCTTGAAAGGCTCGTAACTATTTTAGGAGGCAGTGCTGTTGTTTACGAGAGAAATATTAAAACTAAACTTGGCAGTCTTTTAAAGTAAACCATGGAAAATCCAAAATATGCATTTAAGACACGAGGACAGATGTAAGTATATTTACGCCCCTTTTCAAATGCTAATAAAATTTTTTCAAATGTATTTATATGTATGAGATAAGATTGTATATAAAATATTGGAAAATTTTGATCTCTATTACAGCCCGAGTTTAATCCAGCAAGAGTTATGCTCTACACATTAAATTTCTTTCTACTTTGTTTAAACGTAAGTCTATTCAACTAATTGTAAGTTTAATTGCTAAGTAATTTGTCGCGATTCTAATTGCTTTATAATCATTATTATAAAGCCATCGAAATTTATTAAACTCATTTAAAATGATTTATATGTATATGTGTATACATTATAAAAATATATTACATAATTGTATAAATTATACAAAGTTACATATGAGTCTATTATTCACAAATAATATAATAATAATGCAAAATAGGAAAAGAATATTTTTATTATAAAATAACAATAAGTGTAAAAAAAAGAAAGAGTTATTAAATTAACTAAAATTGCATTGAAATTGCACTTATACGCATATGTGTACGTTTTACAATATTATATCACTCAGTACAAAACAAATATTGTTCCAGACATATTCGCTTTTATGTGTCATCTCGCAATATCAAGAGTACTCAGCTGGTCGCGGTACTGCTGCGCATGACTACGAATATAGGGTCAGTATTCCGAAAATTTTGCAGAGGAAAAAACAGTGGGATAAGGGACGAAAAGTTAAGTGAATTATTCAGTCGTATTCCTTTATTCACGAAGAACGTATTTAAAAAAATATCAATATTGGACGCGTATATACGTATATGTATAATTAACGGACAATAAATGTAAGACGGATTAATTATGCAGACGTATATATTTCCTGTATTAGTAAATGATCTCTAGTACCATTAGACAATGAAACGATAAAGAAGATTAACGAGAAAAATACGATCAAATATTTCGCGAAAGCTAAGAAAGTTACGACGTGAGGGGATATTCATAGCAATTTTGTTACGTCAATTATCTCATAATCATAAGAGAATCGACCATGATCAAGAATTCTGTTATATTTGTGGCTCTTTTTATCATTATCAGAGATGCTTTGTGTCGAATTCTTTTTCCATATAAAAATTATATCTCTCTCTGTCTACAATATCCTTATATAATCTTTTAGTACTTCTCATAAATTCTGATATATATCGAGCAAGATATAATTTTCAAGTTTCGTTTTTTAATATATGATTTTTATCGTTATTTCGCTAAATCTCGCGATCCACGTTTTGAAAATTTTTCATCATTTAATGTATTATTTACGTCTCATATAATATTCCTTGAAGGTTCCAGTGGTGAGATACGTAACCCAACCACCGACTACGACCGCCACCACATCGTGTTTAAGTTCGCGAAAAGGTGTCACCAACAATGAAACAAAAGCTACACCGACTCAGAGTCCCACGGCATGTCACAACCCTCTCTTATCGGAGAAAAGTCCTACCGGGGGTAGGTTATCAAGGAAGCACGTTCAGTTTCCAGATACATCGACATCGCCAAGTCAGATACCAGGTGAGCGCGTGCACATTTTGGAAAAGACTAAAAATAAATATATAAATCTAGGGCAATATGAGAAGAAGAGAAATATCGCGTCATCGATATCAGTTTATGTCGCTCTGTCACATTTCATCACACGTGTCATTTTCATTAATCTATGTCTATATTAAAGCACCAATTTTTAGTTGTCAGTCTGTTTCTTTTGTCATTAAAAATTACGTGTAAAATATGCACATTATTTTGTTCTGACATTTAAAAAATCACCAGAAATACCGCGTACAAATTATTTTATGTAAAATATCACATTTTCAAAATGCACGCCAAAATATTACACGCTAAATATAACATCGAACAAATCAAATTTTATTATTTGTGTAATTTTTAAGTGTTTTCTCTCTGAAAACTTGTGTTCCAAATAATTTGTAAAATAAAATTTTGCGATTAATAAATTATATCTTATATAAATATGTCAAATAATATTACGTAAATAATTATTTGTCTTATCGAATAAAATTTAATAAAGAAAATATAGAATACATTGAGACTAATAATAACAATAATTTTTTTCATATACCTCGTACCTATCAAATTTTGCTAATTAGTTAACTGAATAGACAAATGAAGAACGTTTTGAAATATTTATTATGCATAAATGTTTCAGAGATATCAACAGCAAAAGTTCAAACAAAGTGTTCGCCGAAAATTGATCGCAATAATGCAAGAATTTGGCTACAACCTAATGATGCTATAACGATCGTAGTTAGCCAGTCCTCTCCATCGAGCGATGAAGAGCATGTCCATTACTCGTAAATAGTATGAACATACTCGATACAATTGTTAACAGTCCAAATATACATATACAGAGTGTTCATTTGAAAAATTTCCCCGCTATTTATTTTGTGACTAACTAATTTTTACAAAAAAGGCCAAAAAAGATTAATTTTTTTGTGTCCCACTTAATCTTTATTTCTCTATTTAAAATTTTTAAAGCAATAAATATCCTAACGGGATAAAAACACTGTTCAATCGCATTTATATGTCATTTTGAAAATAAAATTGATCTTTTTTGGCATTTTTTTGCAAAAATTTTAATTGATCATCAATTAAACAAACTTGAAAACTTTTTAAATGAATACCTTGTATATGATTCTTATACGCATTTCCATGGAGAATGTATGTTATCAATGTGTAAATACATCGATGAATTTTTTTAATAAAAGGGGATTCTTATAAGCTTTATTAATTTATTTAACCTTATCTTGTTATTTTATAATAATGCTTGTTAAACAAAAATCTTTCAGTTTTAGTTTTTGAATCTGGATTGAAATCGCATATATTGCTAAAAAAATAGATTTTAAAAAATAAACGGAGAAATTTTTACAAATAAATGTAAGAGTACTATTTTAAATAATAAAGCGAAGACAGAAATAAAATAGACAAAACTAAGCGAAAATGCTACAAAAAAGGCAAATAAAATTTAATGTAATTATTATGTAATTATTATCTGAATTCGACAAGAAAAAATGCCACAAAAGATTTTTTTAAATATTGTATCTTACAAAGTAGTAAGAAAACGGACTGCTAGTTTATAACAAATTAAAGTACGTCTGGATTATAACAGTCGAATATGTTATGAACAAATAATTTAAGAGTTTCTCCATTTTTTCAAATGTAATTTCAGCAATTTCCTCATTAAATATTTAATTTATGTTTTCTGTTTTTCAAATGCGATTAATATAAACGCAAGTTCAATATATAAATTCGTTATAATAATATAAACTAATTATAATTTGTTTACGCACCGTCGACATTCAATTTATGTATTATAATTAATTTTCAATTTACTATAATGCAGATTATATTACAGGTGAGATGGCATTTGACATCAAAAGATCCTTTTCTTGGTCGAGTATGAACAACTCTTGAATACTCTTTATCGAGATAAAATTAAGATATAATTAAAATGTAAATAATTTATTCAATATTAAATAATTGATTTTGAATATTTTAAATAATTGATTTTTTCTTACTGCTTCAAGCCGTGCAATCCCTTCTTTTTCCCTTATTTGTTTTACAAGTCTTATTTTCTTATTTTCTATTTCCGATATGTGGAAAGATGTGAATAAAGCATTAACAGCTTGCAATGAATATTAAAAAACGTCATATGTATATCAATCCATTCTAGATTTCAATCCAGATCAACATTATCAATTATAATCAAATATGATTTTCACTAAAATCCACAAGCATAATTTATGATAATAGTCATTGAACTCCCAAAGGATTTTTAAGGCTATTTATAGGAAATAGTTCCAATAGTGAACATGCCAGGACCTCGAATTGGATATGGTTTCACACATGATCACGCCGGTGATGAATAGCTATACTAAACTGTTAATATCCCCATGATTATGTTACAAATTAAAATACGCCCGAATTATAGCGGTCGAGTTGTATATTAAACAAATAGTGCAAATTTGTATACAAATATTATTATACATAATAAATAATAATAGACGATGTTTCATATAAAATTAAATATTGTAACATTAATATTAATTGATAATTATAGTATAAGTGTGAAGAGATTATTTTGCAAACACAATTTAAGTATTGCAGTGTTCTTTATCGTAAATATATTATAACATAATATTATAATGTATAAGAATATTCGTTAATTTTATACATTAATTGCATTACTATTGTATAATCTTTATACTTTCATTTAACAGAAGCAATAAAAAATAAATGTTACAATTTACTATAAGAGATTATTTCAAGCAAAATGCGATGCCATGCTTATAAGCTCGATTTGCTTAGAAAACAATTTTCAGATCAACTTCCGAATAGACCCTACCTTCGAAATTGATAAAATTTATAGCATTTGAAGATCATAAGAGAACACATATCGTAAAGGATTTTTTGCGGAAACGACTAGGAACGAAGAAATTCAAAAAAGAAGACGGTAAAATTACCGTTTAAGATTCATTTCCGACAACTTTGATTTTGACATATCTTGCTAAGGTCATAACTATGAGCAATTTTCAGAAGGTTTTAACCGTTGCTTGTTGTTTGTTAAAAAGTTATTGAGAAAAAATTTTGAAAAATATAGGAGTTATTTTGATTGTTGAAAGGTATAAACTGTGTGAGGTCTGTAATGTTTTGTTCTATATGGGTTTGCGAGTTTTCACGTGAAGCAATGTTTACCCCACATCCCTTTGTAAAGAAATTGTACTCCGTGACATAGTGGTAAATCTAAACAGATAGTTATTTAGTTATTGTTTTTTGTATTAAATTGTTAGTTTAAGTTTAAGTTGTATAAGTTAATTGAAATTTAGGTTTAAAGTTAAGATTAGGTATTTTGTCTACCGACGAAATGGTTGCGGGAGGTGGAGCCGAAAGGCCTCCGCGTGTGTGTGTATGTGTGTGCGTACACATTTACGTTTCTGATATTTATATAAGTATCTTTATATAAGTATATTTATATAAGTATCTTTTGCAAAATATATGAAAACTTCCTTTTTTGAGTTTTTTTGCTTCTACTCGTTTCCGCAAAAAATCCTTTATTGTATAAATGTGTTCTGTTATAGTCTTCAAATGCTGCAAGTTTCATCAAATTCGGAGGTAGAGGCTATTCGGAAGTCTTATCTTACATTCCTACATTCGATAAGCCTTCTGCAATTTTTTTTGTATTTTTTGAAAATTCTTTATTTGTACACCCGATGACCTTTGCAGTTCCTCCTGTATCTGTTCTAAAGTTTTACCTTTGGTTTCAGGGACATAGATAAGCATGAATAAAGCACCAGCAAGACTGCACCCCGTGAATATCCAAAACGATACATGTATACCGAGATTATCGGCTATGACCAGATATAATTTTGTCACGCCAAAAGATATGATACCGGCTATGATCATATTTATCATGCTGCCGAGAGCTTTTACATTCATGGAAAATAATTCGCCGATCATGGCAAACGGTAAAGCGGATAGACCTACAGAGAACATGATGACATACATGATTACACCGACAGCAGGCAACCATTTTAGATTGCTAGTGTCCACGTTATTATGCTGCAAATTAAAATATGTTGCAACCATGGCGGTCGAACAGGCCGAACCGATTGCGGAGATAATCAATAGCAATTTTCTGCCACTGCGATCAGTAATGAACATACAGACGATTGTGCTGATCACTTGTACCACGCCCAATATCATGGTTGAATATTTGCCCTCTAAATTATTACCCATCTCATTAAAAATTAATTCGGCGTATTGCTCCACGGCTTGAACGCCGCTCAATTGGTGAATAGTGCCTAGAGACACCACGGCTATTAAGGCTCTGTAAAATCAAATTTATTCTTCAAATACTTCTATGATAGCTTCAAAGTTATCAAAAGTTACTATAACGGTTTTGAATCAATTAATTCTTTATGCAATGAATTAATATAATAATTATTAATTTATTTAAAGGAATGTCACAAAATTTGAACCATATATCTTTCAAAGCTAAAATAAAATCTCAATAAATATTTAATTTATGGATGTTTAGATTGCGTTCATGTTTATTAGAATATATTTTGTTTATTTAAATATAGAATACACACATTATAAATTTTGCAACATTTCTATAAATTTTATTTATATTAATTTTCTCATTAAAATCAATATTATATATATAATAAAAAAATATTATTCAATATTATTTTATCATAAAAAACAGATTTGTATAAAACTTTTATTTGTATAAAACTTTTATTAGCAAAATTTTTTTAAAATAAAAATATAAATTTTAGACCCATATATAAGTGAATAGTAAAATAATTATTTTTTTCAAGATTATATATTGATTTGCGAATATCGTTCATGTGACGAAACAAAGTAAAATTTGACATCTTACCTGCGATTTGCAGGTATACAGAAGAGTTCTCGCAAATTAGATTTATTGGCCAAATCAATTTTCACAGATCGTTCAATGGTGTCAATTTCTTCGTGAACATCTTCTTTCCCTCTCAATTGAACAAGCGAATTTATAGCCTTTTCCTTGGCGTTACGGCGCATTAGATGATACGGGGATTCCGGTAGCCAAACGAAAATGACAAAAAATAAGCAAGGTCCTATCAAGGACACAAGGGCGAGATGTTTTACAGATAGGAATGGTCCTATCACGTATTCAAGTGTGGTTCCAATTTTTGAAATGACTGTGAGCATGGATCCGAAATTACCACGAATGTTTGCTGGTGAAATTTCACCAATATACAATGGCGTAATCGTATAAGTGAAACCTGTAGATAATCCGGCTAAAAATCTCGATATATATAGTTCCTGACAAGCAGAAAAAATATAGGCACATTAATGGATGAAATGCATCAAATTGGTTCTTGTTTTAGTGTTTACTGTTTTTTCAAGAAAATAGTGTTAACTCCTTTAATAATTTCATAGACATATTAATTTTTATATAATTAAATAAATCTTATACATATTTTGGCAAGTATAGGCTAAAATTTTTATTCATACACTTTTATTTTAGCTTTATATTCAATGATAAATATAATATGCAGCTATGTTATATATTTTTAATAATATTTAATGCTTACATATTTATTTATATTTGAAATATTTTGAAATGATTTCAGTGATTTTTTTATAAAAAATTTTTCAGCATATTACAAATTTTAGCAGGAAAGAGAAAGACAGAGAGAGAGAGATAGATAGAGAATCTTTTTATAATGATACAAAAAAGTTTTTGATTATTATTATTATTATTATCATTATCATTATCATTATTATTATTATTATTATTTTATTATTATTATTATTATTATTGTAGTAACATAAATAATTTTCAAAAATTTTATAGATATTATTTCTTCCATTTTGATTGTAAGATAATATTTGATAAAATGTTTAAAATTAATTATTTTTCTGTCGTTACTTACAATATGTAATAACTTTATATTTAATTGCTCGTGCCAGATAAAGTTGGTAATTTTATAAAATAGAACATATATTATATAACGACAATTTTTAAAAAGTTTTTTATAGATAGCGTATCTTACGTTATCAGTATAAATTGAGAAAAAATATTATTGAATTGTCTAAAATCGTCATATATTATTTCACGTTATAATTATAAAACAGACTGTTTATCTAAAATATAAATATTTATCAAAAGATATTATTCAAGATTTAGATATTATTAACAATTATCTCACAATAATTAGATGACAATTGCATAGTATTTTTAAACAATAAATGTGAATAATCTTTAAAAGTAAGTCACAAAATTTTGTCTGAAGGAAATAATTTTCTATAAATATTATAGAAATTATTAAAATTACAAAAGTTTATCAATTACAATAAGATAAAATTTAAATTTATATTTAAATTATAATATTTTAATTGTGCGTTTTCAAAGAAATCTAAACAAAGAGATAGATTACGCAAAGTATATAAACATGCAAATAGTCAAATTTTTAAGATAGAAAATCTGGATTGATCAATAAAACGAATAAATATCTGAGTTAATTGAATTCTTAAATTCAGGATGTGTGCTTCGAAAAACATTTATATATCATTTATACCATAAATTGTTCTCAAATAAATTTAATAAATATAGGAGTTATTATAATTATTATAATTACCCACGATGACGTTGCAAAGGCTATCATCAACCAGCTAATAATTGAAGGTACGGCCGCAAATAACATGGTATTTTTTCTGCCAATAATATTCACTATAAATGCACAAATAATAGAACCCGTCATTGCACCTAACATAAGTAGAGATGCCACCCAAGATGCTTCTTCCGAAGTCAAACGCACAGGATATGTTTCATCTTTTCCTTGCAGCAGTATAGGTAAAGATGGTGATGCCCAACCAAAATATTGGCCGACTGTTAGCATGCCCAGATTTCCTGATAAAATAATAAATTTGATGCAAGACTGACATGGAGAGATATAATGTTATATGTGTGTTTATGTGTGTATGTACACCTTATATCCGTATTATTATCATATTATATCCATGCATATTGTAAGATATTAATTATCAATATTACATTACAAGATTAAAATTCTAAAATATGTCTAAACAACTATTTTAATTATAATATACAATTTTTTTTATACATACTCCTAAAAATACATTACATTTAAAATTAATTTGAAGCCGAAGAGTTGTTTTTAATGTTGCATGTTTAAATGTTGCAAGAAATTAAGACTATTAAACACAAAGTATATAAAATAGATTATATAGTACAATACTAAATAATATACTGAAAATACAATTCTAAATAATATACTGAAAAAAGTATATAAGAAAAATATTTCTCAAATTAAATACGAAGATAGGAAATTAAGTGAGAAGAATGTAAATAACATTTTTATATAAATAGCGTATTTAAAAAAATAATATTTAATTTAAAAAATAATTTTTAATGTAATATATATATATATATTATTTATATTATGTATTAACAGTAAGAGTGAAGCTGGTATTGCATCCAAAAATTTATTTATTTCTAATTATGTTTAATTATTCCAAGAAATATATGTACCTGCTACAGCGGCGAGATATACCTTCTTCATCTTTTAGAATGTAACCGATTTCACGTACAAATGTTAAATGAGTAGTAATAAGTTGATTGAATTCTGCTTAGGTAAAAATAATATAGATAATGCTATCATATCAACTTCATCACTACCACATATTGCACATTTTAATGTAAACGTAGTGTTATGAAGAGAATGACAGAACAGATCTACATAATCTTAATTTGAAAATGATTAAATATCTTATCAAGAATTATTTGCAAATTTATATATTAGATAAGTGTGGTGTCTATATGTATATCTGACAGGTAAAAGATTATATCTCCTTTTATATTGTTTTTGAAAAGCTATCATACATATAAAGAAACATGCTGTTTATCTATTGCTACGTATTTATCAATATAAATATCATAGAACAAGGTCACATAAATATCAGATATGTTGTAATATTTGCAATAGTGAATATGTGTATATATATTGTTATGCGCCCGAGTCATTACGGTCCTGCGTTGTTCGGATCCCATAGTCAAGAAACAATGATGGTCTGCTGAGAGTGCTAAGTCGAAAGATAGCTGTCAAGCTATACGGTCGTATTTTATGTACGAGCCATAATTAATCCGTTGTGTTATTATTCTGAGTCATTGTCTGTGTTCTGTGTTGCTTATTAAAGTTCTTCTGTTCTCTAAAAGTGTCTTATTTAACGCGATTCGTGACGATCGTTCTTTTTAGTAGAGCGTCTTCAATATATCTCGAAGTCTTCGCCCCGGGCGTAACAATATATATGTATATGTATATATATGTATATATATATATATATATATATATATATATTACACACACACACACACACACACACACACACACACACACACACACACACACACACACATATATATATATATATATATATATTACATATATAAATAGAAATATGTTTTTTTGATTTATGATTAATATAAATATTATTTTAAACAATTAAGTTTATTGGACAGAATACATAATAAACTAACACATTATATTATATATTGTAAAAAAAAGTGATAAGAATAATAAACAGAAGAATAATAACACAAAGTATATCTGCTATCTGTTGAAATTTCATCTAAGCATATCAGCACAAATGAAAAAATGATGCTTGTAACTAATTCGATCAATTTCTATATATATATATATATATATATATATATATATATATATATATATAATTTCTGAGACACAATAGAAAACAGAATAGAAACATTACATGGATTAAACATTAATGAATTAAATTTATTTCCCATTGTAGTTATAAATTACATATTTTCTGATGTATTATAATACTATTTAACTCTATGTATTATTATTTAAGATATAAATATATCTTAATCTTCTTGAAAAATATACTTTCATATTTAAATATCTCAATAAGTAGGTATCTATTTGCTGCAACATTAAGTGTAAGCAGTATCTTCTTTATTTTTGTAGCAACCATTGTAGTAATCATTGTAGTAATTATTTCCACTTACAAATGATATACGAAATAATAATCAGTTTATAATAAGAAGCTGTTAATCAAAGTTTTCTTTAAAAGTTTAATTAATAAATTTATTTACAACTTTACATATCTGAAATATATTATTATATAAACGTATTGTTATATAAACGTGTAAATGTTTTTATATAAACAGTTTTATATACACTTTTATATAAACTTTATATATAAACATTATTGAACAGAAAAAATGTAATATGCTTAATGATGTGCTTTATATAAAAGAGATTAAATATTAAATTGTTGTAAATAATTGTTGTAAATAAATTTGCAAATATATATATATTATATTAAATATTTTACGAAATGTATTAATATAAATTTCAGGAAAAAGCTTATAACATAATTGAGCAAACTCTTTTTTAATATATTCTTGAGAAATATTTATGTCAGTAATTACTATTAAATTATATTTAAAACAACAATACAGATACACTAACGATATACTATGTACTTACCTAAAACTACGAACAATTATAAATAAATAACAATAGATAACTAATGTAAAAAATTTGATTGTCTCTTAATGTTTTGTAACTGCAAATTTGTTATAAATAATTTTATATATTAAGTGTTCCTCCCTCTTCCTATTAAGTGTTCCTCCCTTCTCCTAAGTATCCCTCCCCCTTGCAATCCCGGGGCGCGCGCGTGTGTGTGTGTGTGCGTACACATACGTTTCTGATATTTATATAAGTATCTTCTGCAAAATATATGAAAACTTCCTTTTTTGAGTTTCTTTGCTTCTACTCGTTTCCGCAAAAAATCCTTTATTGTGTAAATGTATTCTTTATAGTCTTCAAATGCTGCAAGTTTCATCAAATTCGGAAGTAGGGGTTATTAGGAAGTCTTACCTTACATTTCTACATTCGATAAGCCTTCTGCAATTTTTTTTGTATCTTTTTAAAATTCTTTATTTCTACACCCGATGACCCTTGCAGTTCCTCCTGTATCTGTTCTAAAGTTTTACCTTTGGTTTCAGGCACATAGATAAGCGTGAATAAAGCACCAGCGAGACTGCACCCCGTGAATATCCAGAACGATACATGTATACCGAGATTATCAGCTATGACCAGATACAATTTTGTCACGCCAAAGGCCAGGATTCCGATTATAATCATTTTTACCGTGCTGCCAAGAGCCTTTATATTCATGGGAAATAGTTCACCGATCATGGTAAACGGTAAAACGGATAGACCTACAGAGAACATGATGACGTACATGATTACACCGACAGTAGACAACCATTGTAGATTGCTAGTGTCCATGTTATTATGCTGCAAATTAAAATATGTTGCGACCATGGCGGTCGAACAGGCCGAACCGATTGCGGAGATAATCAATAGCAATTTTCTGCCACTGCGATCAGTAATGAACATACAGACGATTGTGCTGATCACTTGTACTGCGCCCAATATCATGATTAAATATTTACTTTCTAAATTATTATTCATCTCATTAAACATTAATTGGGCGTATTGCTCCACGGCTTGAACGCCGCTCAATTGGTGAATAGTGCTTAGAGATACCACGGTTATTAAAGCTCTGTAAAATCAAATTTATTCTTCAAATGCTTCTATGATAGCTTCGAAGTTATCAAAAGTAATATACTATAAAGGTTTTGAATGAATTATTAATTCTTTAAATAAATTAAAAATTCATTATACAATAAATTTTTAATTTATTTAATAGGAATGTCACAAAATTTACAACTATAAATCCTTCAAAGCTAAAATAAAATCTCAATAAATATTAAATTTGCGGATGTTTAGTTTGCGTTCATGTTTATTAGAATATATTTTGTTTATTTAAATATAGAATACATACATTTATGAATTTTGCAACATTTCTATAAATTTTATTAATAATAATTTTACTCATTAAAATCAATATTATATATATAATAAAAAACTATTATTGAATATTATTTTATCATAAAAAATAGATTTGTATAAAACTTTTATTAGCAAAATTTTTTAAAAATAAAAATATAGATTTTAGACCAATATATAGATGAATAGTAAAACAATTATTTTTTTCAAGATTATATATTGATTTGCGAATATTGTTCATGTGACGAAACAAAGTAAAATTTGACATCTCACCTGCGATTTCCAGGTATACAGAAGAGTTCTCGCAAATTAGATTTATTGGCCAAATCAATTTTCACAGATCGTTCAATGGTGTCAATTTCTTCGTGAACATCTTCTTTGCCTCTCAATTGAACAAGCGAATTTAAAGCCTTTTCCTTGGCGTTACGGCGCATTAGATGATACGGGGATTCCGGTAGCCAAACGAAAATGACAAAAAATAAGCAAGGTCCTATCAAGGACACAAGGGCGAGATGTTTTACAGATAGGAATGGTCCTATCACGTATTCAAGTGTGGTTCCAATTTTTGAAATGACTGTGAGCATGGATCCGAAATTACCACGAATGTTTGCTGGTGAAATTTCACCAATATATATTGGCGTAACCGTATAAGTGAAACCTGTAGATAATCCGGCTAAAAATCTCGATATATATAGTTCCTAATAAGCAGAAAAAATATAGGCACATTAATGGATGAAATGCATCAAATTGGTTCTTGTTTTAGTGTTTACTGTTTTTTCAAGAAAATAGTGTTAACTCCTTTAATAATTTCATAGACATATTAATTTTTATATAATTAAATAAATCTTATACATATTTTGGCAAGTATAGGCTAAAATTTTTATTCATACACTTTTATTTTAGCTTTATATTCAATGATAAATATAATATGCAGCTATGTTATATATTTTTAATAATATTTAATGCTTACATATTTATTTATATTTGAAATATTTTGAAATGATTTCAGTGATTTTTTTATAAAAAATTTTTCAGCATATTACAAATTTTAGCAGGAAAGAGAAAGACAGAGAGAGAGAGATAGATAGAGAATCTTTTTATAATGATACAAAAAAGTTTTTGATTATTATTATTATTATTATCATTATCATTATCATTATTATTATTATTATTATTTTATTATTATTATTATTATTATTGTAGTAACATAAATAATTTTCAAAAATTTTATAGATATTATTTCTTCCATTTTGATTGTAAGATAATATTTGATAAAATGTTTAAGATTAATTATTTTTCTGTCGTTACTTACAATATGTAATAACTTTATATTTAATTGCTCGTGCCAGATAAAGTTGGTAATTTTATAAAATAGAACATATATTATATAACGACAATTTTTAAAAAGTTTTTTATAGATAGCGTATCTTACGTTATCAGTATAAATTGAGAAAAAATATTATTGAACTGTCTAAAATCGTCATATATTATTTCACGTTATAATTATAAAACAGACTGTTTATCTAAAATATAAATATTTATCATAAGATATTATTCAAGATTTAGATATTATTAACAATTATCTGACAATAATTAGATGACAATTGCATAGTATTTTTAAACAATAAATGTGAATAATCTTTAAAAGTAAGTCACAAAATTTTGTCTGAAGGAAATAATTTTCTATAAATATTATAGAAATTATTAAAATTACAAAAGTTTATCAATTACAATAAGATAAAATTTAAATTTATATTTAAATTATAATATTTTAATTGTGCGTTTTCAAAGAAATCTAAACAAAGAGATAGATTACGCAAAGTATATAAACATGCTAATAGTCAAATTTTTAAGATAGAAAATCTGGATTGATCAATAAAACGAATAAATATCTGAGTTAATTGAATTCTTAAATTCAGGATGTGTGCTTCGAAAAACATTTATATATCATTTATACCATAAATTGTTCTCAAATAAATTTAATAAATATAGAAGTTATTATAATTATTATAATTACCCACGATGACGTTGCAAAGGCTATCATCAACCAGCTAATAATTGAAGGTACGGCCGCAAATAACATGATATTTTTTCTGCCAATAATATTCACTATAAATGCACAAATAATAGAAGCCGTAATTGTACCTAATATAAGTAGAGATGCCACCCAAGATGCTTCTTCCGAAGTCAAACGCACAGGATATGTTTCATCTTTTCCTTGCACTAATATGGGCAAAGATGGTAATGCCCAACCAAAATATTGGCCGACTGTTAGCATGCCTAGATTTCCTGATAAAATAGTAAATTTGATGCAGAACTTATATGGACATAGATATAACGTTACAGTGTTTCTGTGCATGTGTGTATATACGGTTTATATCCGTGTTTATATTGTAATATATAATTGTTAATATTACATTAAAATTTTAAAATATGTATAAACAACTGTTTTAATTACAATATACCATTTTTTCATACTTTCAAAAGTACATTACATTTAAAATTAATTTGAAGCCGAGCAAGAGTTGTTTTAAATGTTGCAAGCAATTAAGATTATTAAAGACAAAGTATATAAAATAGATTATATAGTACAATACTAAAATAATATACTAAAAAAGTATACAGGAAAAATATATATATCACAAATTAAATATGAAGAGAATTTAAATAAAATTGAGTGTTTATAACAAATAATTTTCAATTTACTTTAAATTTAATTTTATATATATATATATATATATATATATATATATATATATAATAAGAGCCAAGCCGGTATTGCATGTAAAAACTTCTAATTATATTTAATTATTTCAAGAAACATGTATGTACCTGCTACAGCGGCGAGGTATACCTTCTTCATCTTTTGCAATGCCGAACGTTTCACACGTTTCGCACGAAATTTTCACAAACGTTAAATGAGTAGTAATCAGTTGATTAAATTCTTTTCAAGTGAAATTGATTTAGATAATGCTATCATATCAACGTTATCGCAACACTATCACATATTGTACAGTTTAATGTAAACGTAGTGTTATGAAGAGAATGACAGAACAGATCTACATACATATTCTTAATTTGAAAATGATTATATATCAAGAATTATTTGCAAATTTATGTTAGATATTTTATGCTGTCTATATATTTGCGTATCGCTTTAACGTAAGTAAGATGATGATATGTTTAACTAGTTCTTAAAATTAAAAAAAATTGTTAGCCGGTAAACCATTAAATTGATCGTGCTACGAAACATATCTATGTATCACAATTAAGTCGTACGTTTTTTACTAAGTAGTCGTATCGATTTAAACGTTTATAGCTAAAAATACAATGTGTAATTTTCATTTCATATTCTATATATTGTGATATGCGATATATTCTATACAATATTGATGCAATACCTATTTAAAGTTATAAAACAAACTCGAGAACTATTAGTTATTGTATATTGCGTGATGTTAGCATATAACACAGTTTTCTTATACGTATCTATATATATGTATATATGCAATGTAACCTAAACAGCAAACTTGGAGTTATGTGTTTAAAAAGAGAGGATAAACGAGAATGTTATGCTTTTTATTCAACGCATCATCGATTTTCGACACTTGTCCATGTTAAAAAAGTACATTTGATTTTTTTTTCATATACAATATACGTGGCATTGAACGCGTATATTCTATAACAAATTAATTCTACGAAATGTACAAAAAATTCTCAACGCTCAGTTATATCACAATTGTTAGTTATATGAAAAAGGATGCGTAATGTCAATCAGGGTCCAAATAGATTATCGACAGAAAGTTGCTATTAAATATTCATCAGTGATCGTATCATAATCGTAATTTACTTGTAGACATAAAATATAATGACCATTTGGACCGCGATTAAGATTTCGAAATTGTCTTTTTTTCTCCGTTTTTTTTCAGTCTATTATTTTTATGCGTTTAACCACTCCCTAAATGTATCATAAAGTAATACGACCCACATATCTCTGTCTCGGTTTGTTTTACATATATTAGCATGGAACAAACGATATCGTGCTAATATCTTACTTCTAGATAAGAGGACAATGAAGAAGCTATTAAGTAAATTCTAAACGAAATTGTTTACAAATTTTCTAGAACATGCCAAGTATACATCCTGGACCGCTACAACGTGCTAAATTGATAAAGAGGGAAAAAGAGAGAAAAGGAAAAAACGTCATTTGAGCAATGCATCGAGAGAATCAGCTGTTTTCCCGACAAGAGTTCACAGAAATAAGACGTCGAATAGAAGGAACAGGATCGAATTAATGGCATTGTCGATGTGAACTTTTATCTAAGGTAATAATCGGGGATTAAAACGCCCCATGTGTAATATTAAACCGGAAGGATTGTGTCGAACAAAATATAAGAAAGGCCTATCGAGCTTTAATCTCGGTCTCTCTGATAATCCAGAGGGCTGTCTTTTCTCTCTATAGAATCGATCCATATGCGATTGGTCCATATAGAACGAATCCATGTGATTCTCTTGCGAAGATGTTATCCCTCCGTATCTCGACGCATCCTCCTCAGAGATGTTGGCGAAATTGTCAATGTTTTCCATTTGTCGTCTGATACTTCTTAACGGGCTCGCAGGATACGTTTCTACGTGATGCCGACCGTTAAGAATATTCTCATCGCCACAGGTACTGAACAGGTTCATCTATAAAAAAAATTTATCAAATATCAAGAATTATATAAGAAATAATTATTGTTAATATAAGAATGCGTATATCAAATAGATATACATATACTTACCTGCAATACATCGGCCAAGTAGAGACGGTGACCTACGCCATTGATTCCCTTGAAATCAGCGTTGCCCGAGAAGAGTTCATCGAGACCCATCCTCTTCAAAGCGGCAGTCGCGTTGACGACAGATCTGTGACTGAATTTAGGCACTTGCAGCTCCAAGCCATTTCTCGGTATTAGGGTCTTGAGGAGCTTATTCCAGGCTCCATCGCGGAAAGCGCTTCTAACGAGACGCTGCTCGAGACGATCCAGCGTGTCACCAGGCGCGGTATGACCCTGTTGACCTGGCAACACAAAAATTGTCGAAACCAATTTGTCGCTTCCGCCAAGGGCGACGGCGGTAGCGTCAATACTGGGCTCGTAGCCGGCTAAGACTCCTGATCGCCAAGTGGTAGCTGGGACCGGCACGAGTTTCCTCTGCCTGACAGCTGGCGAAACCGCAAAATACAATTCGCCGTCTCTTCCAATGGAACTGGTCAGAGTGCTATTGCAATCAGTCTGAAATACATTGGCAGAGAGCGCCGCCAGCGGTGACCTGAGCGGGACCGTATTCGTCTTGACAAAATCCTTGATTCTACCACCCGTCTGCTTTCTAACTAACAGATTCGTCCTTCTACGAACGAGATCGCTGATGGTGGCAAAGTTCACCTCGGCCACGAGACCCTCGTAAAATTGTTGGGCCTGCTCCTTGTAGAAGGGCATGAGCTTCCTGACCTTCATCTTATCGGCGAAGAGCTCACGAACGAAGGCCGCGTTTGCGATACCTTGACTACGAGCCAAGCTTACGGTGTCGGTTATATTCTGGAACACCAAATGCGGATTGAACGTGGCTACATCGTCCAGTCCGAGCACCTCGTTCATCTGATCAGACGTCGGTCCACGCGCACCCAGGAAGATCATCGCCAACAGACTGGTCATACCAAACGGCGATAAAGCCAGTGATCTCGCGGTGCTCAGGCCCTTGTTAGTGGCTACCCAGAAATTGAAGGCCAGCTCGTTGCACAGTCGGGCAAAATTGATGATATCGGCGCTCGTGTGTTTTGTAGTGACATCTAATCCGCTCGCGCTCTGCGATGCGTCCCAGAGCGGTAGCACGGATTGCGTCGAAGTGTGCTGATCCTGCTGATCGAACTGATGAACCGCCTCTGTTTCGTTTCCCGGTGGACGAATTTCGACACTCTCGTTCACCGAGTCGGACGACTGAGTCTGGACGGGATTGACCGGCTTCCTCAGTGGCTTCGGCGGCTTCGACATAACCGGCGAGGTTTGTTGCGATATAAGTGTCCACTTATGCTCCCCGTCCATCTCGGTCTTCGAGGCGTTAGACTTCTCCGACAGTTTAGGACCAACCGTAGGCTTCGATGTCTGTCGGATCGATGGCGGTGTTACCTCCGGCTTCGAAAAATTTTCTGAGTGTTTCAACGACGCGGGTTTACTGTCATTATTTGAATTAGTCTGCGAAATCGATGCATTCTTTATCGATGAAAAACTATTAACTACCGGTATGATCTGTGTCACATCTTTATTATTTTGATTTGATGCATTATTGGTAGAATTCAAATTGTTTGTGCTATTAATCGGACTTGGTTGAGAAAGTTCTTCCTTGATGTCGCTTGCATTTGTTGGTTTTTTCACAATTTCGATAATAGGACGATCGGTTTTTACATGTTCTTGGATTGATAGAGAAGATAAAGAATTATTATTATTATTATTATTATTTATATTATTTTTATTTTTATTTTTATAATCAGTTGTGTTATTAACGCGATTTTGCAAAAGCGTAAGATTGACAGGATTTTCATTTGATATGATGGGAGTATTAGACGTAACGTTCGAAACATTAATATCTGTAACATTATTAATATACTTGTGTGAACTGTAGAACTCAAAATTGGAATTATTAGCAGATTGAACTGCTTCCTTCGTTGTTGACGAAGCGTTCACAAAAGATTCATTCTTTTCGCTCAATGTTTCTATTTTTGAACTATTCTCCGCGTGTACCGAAGCATTTACTGAATTTCTTGTATTATTCGCGTTAGCCGAATCAATTAATTCAATTTTCCCAGGTAATTCAGGAGTTTCGTCTATCTTTATAATGGGCGCTTCTGTCGTTTTCACCTTTTCTTTGTTTTCTGTTTTCTTCTGATTATTAGTTGTATTAATATTTAACGATTGCTCAGGATTTACAGCGACAACTTCCTCAGTAATTGTGCTCTGTCCAACGCTGTCCTTTGATTCATCACTAACATTCGCGAATTTGTTTAGCGAAGTGGCTAAAGATACTTTCGTAGGATCATCGATATTCGACTCATTACTATTTGACAATTTAATTGGTTTTAATGTATCATTTGACTCTTTCGTGCTGTTTCTAGCCGGTTCCGTTAGTGTCTTTTGCGTTGACGTTTGCAAAATATTTTTATCTTCCTGGTACTCACTTACGTTAAATCTTACAGTTTCTTCGTATATCTTAGTGATACTTTCAGTGGATTCTGCAAACTTTGTCGCGTTATTCGATGCATTTTGAACCGTTTCATTCTCACTAATTTCTTCGAGGGACGATCTTTCCGATGTGCTCGTTGCAAATCCGGCGATAAGGCTACTCGCTAAATCACTAGCTACAAAATTCGTCGTGTCACTCGGTAAACCGATCGGCTCGATCTCAGGAGTGCTGAACGATTGTGGCACAATATTCAATACTTGATCGATAGCGGACACCGGATTGCTCAAGTTTAAATTTGCGAAAACATTATCGAAATATTCGCTGGTCATTTTATTCAAAGATTCACTCGATGCAGTTGTCGATTGCGTTTTAGTTACTACATCAAGTGTCGAAGTGACAGGTAAAATTTCTTCGGGCAATTCTGTAGTTTGATCGATCGCTTGTTTCTGCAAAGTCAATACGTTAATAGCAGTAGTGGTTTCGAGAGTCGCGAGAGTCTTGGTCTGATTTCCCAGCGAAGAAGCGTCGTGAATCTTCTCGAGCTGAATCTGTACAGGCGAAGAAGATGCCGTTGATTCCATTTTTGTGCTAATCAATTCAACATTCGGTCCAGCTGGCGTCGTGACTAAAATATTATTAGCCGTTATTTCGTTATTCGTCGTTTCGGTCTTAATCGAAGCTGTCGATGTTGTCATCGTAATTCGAGAGTTCGCGGAAGCATCAGTGATTGATTCTCTATTCATTGTATTGACAGGCTGTTGAGCGATAGAGTGATCAATAAGCTTAGTAGTAACGTCTTGTGACGGAATTTCTGTAGTAACTATGTAAGTTTGTGAACTAACATGTTCAACATTCATCTCGTTCGTATCGTGAGACATAAATGTATTTACATTAGCACTTGCGGGTTTATCTGAATCAGATACGTTTCGCCTCTGATTGTAATTAATATTTATGATCGATATTTCCGGCGGCGCCTCGTCCGATAGAGATAACACGGTGGGCCTTACTTCCGAAACTTGATTCATTACATTCGAAAAGGAATCTATCAATTGTGTAGGCAGCGGTTCCATCAGTTCCAAAGACTGGATCTCGGCTGGAGATTGAGAATTAAGATAATTTTCCGTGTACGTTGACGTAATCGAGCTTGAGGATTCTTTCGTAACTATCGAGGAACCTTCATCGCGATGATAATCCGTATGCAGCAAAGTTGGAACAGTCGAGACCTCGATTGTCGAAGCAGTGGCGAACGTAGATGGTGAATGCGTGATTTTGTTAGACGCAGTTTCTTCTCTTACAGGCACGGATGCGTGAGAAAGTGGTTCCGAGGTAACAGTATTAGCTTGTGAAAATATTTTATCATCATTGTACGTTACGTTCGTTTGAGATTCTTTCGTAATCTCGGGTATAAATGAAAAATCCTCAGATTGTTTCGTATTGTTTTTATCTTGTATAAGAACGTAACTCGCATTCGAAGAGGAAGATACCTTGTCAGCATTCTTCACTTCAATGGACTCATATGTTACAGCCTGCTTTGTAACGGTAGGAGCATCCGTCGATATATTCGGTATGGTTGTCGAATAGATCACCGGAACTTTTATTTCTTGACTTGCTTGATTATCGGGATTCGTTGTCGTCGACTTTGTAATATTTACAGGATGCGTATCTAAGCTCGTCGGTTGCGAAAATGTTGTAGCTTCAGGTACTTCCGACAGAGTTATCTCGACAAACTGTTCCGTTTGATTAAATCCTTCGATCTGAGTAGACGGTTGGGCGAAACTTGCGGCATCGATGTCAGCTGCATACAAATTGGTCTGGCTCGTCGTCTTATGAGTACTCTCAACTGGGATCACACTAAGCATTTGGAAGATTGGACTTTCGGTAATGGCAGAATGCAACGTAGATAGTTTTTGTTCCGTTAAGGTAATAACTGGAACTGGAATCATTGGTTTCTCTGTGATAATATCAGCCGATGTTTGCTGCGAATAATGGCTAAGCTGCAGTTTCTCATTATGATGCTTGTTATTCGTAAAACCAGCGTATGCATTTGTCTGAACGTCTGACACCGCCGGCTTCTTCGTTGTTGGATTTTTCAGACTAATTCCGACATTCGCGCTTTCAGTCGACGATATTTGTATCTTTTCTGTTGTAAGCTTATGCAATAATTGATTAGATTCACTGTTTGGAGAAATCGCATCTGCCTCGCCGGACAGAATGGAAGGGAGAATGTTGCTCCATTCGACGTTTGCGTGTTCCGGAATCTTCGGTATCGAACCCGTTAAGATCGGTGGTTTGTCGAGTGCGCTCTTCAATACATTCTGTACCTTCTGTACTACATCCATGACCTAAAACGCGACATGAAATGTGTTAAATCCGTAAAGATGAAGAAGACATGACAGCTCCGTTAGCTCTTAACTGGTTATACATTCCTGTTTATTTCTTATTTATGTTTAGATAATATCTAATTTTAGCTGTAAAATTAAATCATACTTTTTCATTGAATATCTAATTTGCACGTAAGTTTTTATTTAATTGCATTTAAGTGAAATTAACTTGATTAAATATACATGTTTTTTCGTATCAAAATATTTCATTAATTTATTTACATTTTTAATTAAAATAAATTTTATTTTAAGTAAAATGAAAAATATATGTGTGTGTGCTATTATTTTTATCTATTTTTCATTTACAAGATAAGAGAAACAAAAGACAAGAGGTGGTGAATCAACCTTTTTTCCGCCCGTCAGAACATCATCGGCTTTTTGAGGTTCTTGTCTGTCCATCGGGACGTGATCCGCGCCACCTGCAGCGATGAGACCTTGAATTTCCTGAGCGGTCATCTGCCGCGTAATCATATCACCATTGTCGTTGTAAGTATAAAACTGAAACTTGTCAGGCCGCAAAAGTCCAGCCGGGGAAGCGACCAGTTTGTGGCTGGATTGCGTATCGTTTTTGCCATTCGGAGGATGCACACGTTTGTTGTAGTCCTGGCGAATCATTGTTGAAGTAGCTACGCTGTAAAGGCACGAAAATCCATCCAGAATATTATCCTAACTTTTGCTTTATAACATTCGGTTATTCAAATATATATAAAAATTATATAAATATACATAAAAATTCGATTTGTATGATAAATAAAATATACGAGATTTTCAATTCGAAATGCGAAAAATCGTATTTTGAAACGTGTATAACAAATGTACGAAGTTTAATGTGCATCATGTATTTTTCATGTAAAATTGTTCATTTTTCAATGAGCTTGTTTTAAAATTTAAATATACACTGAAAAATATACACTAAATATACACTAAAGTCTTGCGATGGTAGATATATCAGCAAGGATTCTTCTGTGAATTGATAAGAACAAAAAGTTCAATGGGCATGTAATTATCCTTAATTAATCTATTCATTAAGAGCACTGAAACTGTCTGGTAGCTCGGGAACTAAGTCGCGATGCCTTTAATAAGAACCGACCATGCTTTTCATGCTTTTCCTTTTCCGCATTCTCTATCTTGTCTTTCCCATGCACAAGGTGCGATCTCTATCTATATACTCCTTGTTCGCATTATCTTACGTCGCCTTTATGTCATCCGTCCGTATGAATTTTCCGAGAAAAGAACTCAGAATTTAATTTTAACTTCATACATATACACATTATATTAAAGCAAGCTCTAAACTTAATCTCTAAATATGTATGGCATAAAGGAAATTTAAAATTTACATGAAACCGTAAGAAGATTTCTTTTATGATACTGACCTAGGATCAAATGTATTCACAGGTATGTGCGGACGTTCATTATGAGCCGGTAAAGGCGCACTTAATTGCGGATTCATCAAAGATACGATTAGTGCCGGCAATAGCCAGCGTAATCGTTGCAGCAACATGATAATTGATTTTCTGAAAATGAAAAGATATTTCGAGATTGTGAAGATAAAGATAGTAGCACTGTTACATTATAAATTACTCCTATTATTAATTTTCTTTCTCTATCTACGATGCGTTTTGTATCAAAATGTTTATTAAAGTTTATCAAAGAAATTTTAATATATAATAGAGAATATTAGACAATATAATTTTCAACATATTCAGAGAAATAAATCGAAAGATAAATATTTATACGATGCAGGATACATATAGACAAATCAACCGGATAAAAATCATGACATAATAATGTGCGAAGAAAAAGAAGCAAAATGAAAGAGAAATAAACCATTGACATTTTTAATTCCTTGCTAATTATATATTAGCGATCTTAATTTTTCTTGACTTAATTACTCTTATTTATTTTTCATTATATATAAATCTGATGACTATTACATGCAATTAGTATGTTTTGCCTTTTAAAAAATCTTTTTCATATATCTGTAAGAAAAGTGTGAATATTTATTTTCTCTTTCTTTTCCCTTTATAAATTTAATAATTACAGATTGCCTCCCGCTAAAAAAATAAAACTTGAGCTTTATCTCTTAAAAATTGAAACTTAGCTTCTCGTAAACACTCACACTTTGAAAACGAAGATAGACTCCTTGAAAATGTCATTTAATCCTATCGAGAATTAATTACCATCAATAATCCCGGTGTCAATAACTCGGTGATCGCGACGTTCGAAAACTTGACACTGAACACACCAGTTCGAGGTGACACAATCAACTCGTAATAATTGACAAAAGGAAAATGTTAGGCGAGTTTTGACGACCCTGTTTAACTGACCCTTCGATTCTTTAACGCGAGACGCGATAGTCTATCCCTTTTGCTTTCTCTTCTTTCGCGTCTGCTCGTTCCTCTTTCTTTCTCTCTCCTTCTGTACCTTCCTTCTTCCCTTCTTCGTTAAGGGATCAAGGACGTTTGGCAGTTGAAACTATTTTGCGGTCGACCTTGTTGGTTGGTCAGACTCGCCGGTGTAGCGACCTCGGCGGAGATTACGAAGCGTGTATCATGAACTCCTCCCTTTTCTTTCTGTCTGCAGGTCCTTTCTCATACACTCCCTCTCGTATACTTCGCGCTCGCTCGACACTCCGGCGCGATTCTCTTCCTATGCCACTTGTTCGCTTCTGCCGTCTTATACCCTGGATAAACACGTACTGCAAGGTAGGATCCTTCGCTGGGAAGAGCGCAGTGGAACAAGAGGCAGAAGAAATAAGGAGGGGAGACGCTTCTGAAGGGTAAGACAGAGAAAGGACTCGCCTCTCTCGCCTCTCGCGATAGTCGTCGGATGGAGTGGATTACGCGGAAACAGGTGACCGCGCGTACATACGCGAGCTTTCTTTCTAACAGATCGCCTTCGACTCGAATATGATCGAAAATTACATAAAGATTATGCAAAAATGCTCGAGAAATCTCTACCGGCAAAAATTGTCATAATCTTCTCAAGTTTATCGTCTCGCTAATATATATTCGAATCGTCTGCATCGCACGATTTACCTTTCTTCGATGAAAAAAAAAAAGAATAGAATTTTAAGTGATGAGCGCGACAGACGTTAGAGACGCCGGTCGACTTGATGTACGCACATCATGGAGCCGCTAAGAATCGTGCTCCCGCAGATCGCCGGAGAGACATAGCGAAATGAGGTAGCCATCCATATTTTTTTGAAACGACAGACGCAACGTAAGCCAAGCCAACGATTCACAGCGACGATTAACGGTACATCGACCGAATGAGTTGCTTACATGACGTACTAAATTGTGAAAGAACCAGTAATGGGCCGTGTGAATGGACACCACAAAAATGCGGCTTTCGGGAGGGGAGGAATCTTTTAAGAGATATTTTATCGGGCTAAATAATTCGTCTCCCTCTTCTTCCCCCCAACGAGTTGACCAGCGTCCATGCATCTCGCATCAATCACACTTTACGCAACTCATTCATAAACGGATCGATTCGAGGCGCGGCGCAGATCCTCTAAGATATATCGATCTTTTTTTAAGAGGAACAATTCCTTTCTCGACCTTCTAAACCTTCCGTTCGCCAGAACTAGGCGATCAGGCCGAGTCCCGAGCCGCACGAGAGCAGGAGGCGAATCGAAATGATAGATTTAGGTTTGACAGTTGATCACGCGAGAGGAGATGAACGAGCTCGCGCTTGGCAAAACCCGTTTCTCGTTTCTCGCGCGACTACGTCTGGTTAAGTTTTCTGTGAACGTCGAACATGCACGGGTTAATAAACAGCCGTCCCACTTGCACGACTGTCCATCCGTAACCCAGTGTTTACCAAGACAACGGTACCGCGCCGCGCCGCGCCGGATTAAGGCTTATCCAACGGTTACCTATCGACAAATTCGACGTCGGGGTTGGGAGGAGTAGCATGGGAAAGGGGGTCGCGAGAATGAAGCACTGGTAAATCCCCGACCTATTTTCCTCGTCACCGATTTCACATCGTACATCTGATTCAATTCACCAATCGATTCGATATATCCGCGATTTAGTTTGAATTTTTTTATTTTTTTTTCCACGAACACTCGATTAATTTGAAATAAATAGAGAAAGAATCCCCTGCGACTCTTTTTCTTAAAAAAAAAATTTAAATAAAAGGATCTTTAGACTAGAGATACTGATGCACGATATGATATTAAAAGTATTCTCGCGGTATTTTCAGAATTCGCTCTTAGCAGCGATTTCGACCTTTACTCGAATCTCAATTAATTCGATCTTCTTTAAGCAGCAATCATTTGCTTCACATCTATGACTATAATTTCAAACATCATTTCTGTCTTCGACACGATAAGTACGAAAGTATGATAACGCTCGGGTGGAAGAGAGAAAAAAAATACAAGTTCGCCCCCGGTGTATGTACCTACTTATGAGAAATTCTCAGGTGCGTGAGAGATTCTCCAGAGAGGTGTCACGCTCGGCTGAGCTAACACGACATTCCAGATTACGTAGCTGGAATCGTTGCTCCGAAGGGAGCATCGTCCGGAAACGACTGGCGTAATCGCCCCCTCTTTTCCGAGTCTAACGTAGCGAATCTAATGTTATAATTGGAGTAATAATTAATAATTTACGATGTGCATGTAAATTTTATGTTCATACCTGTTATATTTAATTTAACACAGAAACATTCGCTATTAATACATATATTTTATATATCACATTGCATTTCCCATCTCACTTCTTACAGAGGGAAGCTTTGCAATGAATTAGTTGCAAAGTAAGAAATTTACTCGTATCCGGAAATCGATTGCAAAGCATATATATGCAAATACAATGTTTTAATTAAAGTATGCTTTCCTAACAATTTTCTATTGCATTGTTTGAGTTACTAAATTGTAAAAATTGTAAAAATTCCTGTCGCTAAAAAATCCATGGATCATAAACTATTTCGATAATTGGCGCATTGATCATTGGTGTCGGCTTTAAAAATCGCGTAAAAAAATAAATTCGACCCCTCGGATATATTTCAATAGATATTCGCATATTTGCTATTCAAAGCGGAATACCTCAACCGAGCACCGGTTAGCTCCGGTAGTATGAGAGCGCACGAAACTTGGGGAATATGTTTCTCGACACATATACACTGGAGAATGTACCACTTTCTGACACATAACAGTAGTATATGCGGCACACGACGAGTAGACGAGTAGACGGGGTCTCTCTCTCTCTCATAGAAATACAAGAGACATAACGGTCCCCTCGCCATTGTCCCATCATGTTACGAACACGTCCGTATCCGAATCACGCGCGTCCAAAAAATCTGATTTAGTTACGCGTGCGGGATATAAAAAGCTATGCCACCGGGTATATTACCATTTGCATTTGTTTACGAATTCGAGACGCGTGTCTCCCTAGTTTTGCACGCCGTTCGTGCGAGACGACTTATGAACCGACCGAGATTATACCAGGAATACCAGGCAACGAGGACATCCTGTAAGGATAAACCCAGTCCCGGTTGATCATTCCGGAAGAAGTCGGCGCTTGTCGACTACTCATATAAAAATTCATAATTAATAATATTAAAGCAGAAATAAAATAGCGATAATTAATAATATTAAAGCAGAAATAAAATAGCGATAATTAATAATATTAAAGCAGAAATAAAATAGCGATAAGCGAAAGAACAAATTTTTTAAATATTTACAATTACAAATAAAATTACAATTTATTATTTTAATATAGGATTTATATATGATCAATCTGATCAAAATGAAGGAAAGTGATAATAAAGAGGAAGATGAGATTGAAATGTTACGAGAAATTCGATTTGTCAATGGAAGCACTTACGAAGGGTTGTGGGATGCGATTGACATGACCGGCGTCGGCAGATATGTCACACCTTACAGTTAATTAATCTTAAATAATTTCAAGATTAGTTTTGTTTTTTAAATTATTTTTACATTATAAAAATGTTTCATATTTTATTTTACATTGCATAATAAACAAGTTGAGATCAGCTAGGAAAGTCAATTAAGAACTAATTAAAACTAATATTCATCAGTTAATAATCAGTTAATGATCATTAATTAAAATTTAATGACTAATCAATTAAGATTATTTCCTGTAATATAATTGTAAAACTGTAAAGTGCATTAATAGTAATTAGTGCAAATTTTATTATATATTTTTTAGAAGTTGTACTAGAGGGAGAATTTCGGAATGGCATGCTTCATGGATGCGGAAGTATGTATTGGCCACGTGGGCAGGTAATAGATAGCACCTGGAATCGTGGAAAAATGGAACGACAAAAGCGTTACACGTTTGCGGATGGTTTAGTATATCGAGAGGATGAATGGGATTATTGTAAATTTCCCGATAGGCGGTTAGCATAATTCTTGAATAAACAGAAGTCTTATATGCCTATATTATTTTCTCTTGTGTTATAAAAATATTTTAGATTTTACAATTGCATATTAAACGGATTGAGACCAGCTGGAAAAGTATTGAAAACTAATGACCAACCAACTAAGATTATTCCTCCGTTCTGCTACGATACCGGTTTCGGAATATTCAACCCAGACAAGAATTGCATAACGTCATATCATAATTGTAAAAAAGTAAAAATACACTGTTCGATAATAATAAAATCAGAAACGCTACTCATATCTATTCTCACAAAATAAATAGTAATAGATTTTTAAAAAATTATGAAGATACTCAAGATTCCAACGACTGTAGAAAGTAATTGGATAAAGCAAAATTGTCGAAAAGGTTGGTCAGAACCGACCGGTCATCGAGAATGGTTACGTGAATACTGGCAATCGGGAGCGGCAGATTTTGCAACGTTACCGCACATTTCATCGGAGGATGAAACGGAAAATTGGTGGCAAAGGTCGATAACGTAATCTTAGCTACAATTATATATATGTAATTGTAAAATTACTTGATGGAATCAATTCCTGCTTTTATTAACTTCATATATCGTTTAAGACTGACGAAATTTGTCAGACATGTGCCTACAGACATGAAATGGAAAAAACATAACTGTGTTGAAGAATGTCAACTAAATCGTTAAACAATACGAGGAAGAAGCAATATTAAGACTCGAATTGAAAACTAGTCATAAAATGAAAAAATAACATGTTTTACATAGGTATAAAATTTATATAAGTGATAACATACATATATATACATATTTTTCATATATATGCTATAACTATAAAATTTGTAATCAACTTACTAATTAACAACGAGTTCTTTTTCTTCAGTCACAACTATCGGTGCATCTGTCCTTCGATGCACATTAAACAATACAGACAGTTTCAATGGTATACACGTGTCAACTGTACAAGCCATTATGTTTAATGTAATACGTAATTGATTTTCTGTTTCATCTGCAGGAAGCTTTACCGACACAGGAGTTGAAAGTCCACCTGTTAAAGAGTTTGCTGCCCATGTATTTATAGGTAAGAATACATGCCATTCTTGTGGTGCATCTACATTTAACTTCAAATTATTTAGAAATACGATATTAAATAAAATATTTAATTCTCCACCATGCGTATTAATCGATGTATTAAAAGTAAATACTTTATCAATATTTTCATTTGAATCATGTTTAGATATAACCATCTGAAAAATAAGATTAAAAAAGTTAAGATATATATCATTATATATATCATTATATATATCATTATATATAAAACATTTTTTGTATGAGAATTTTGAAGGAAAGCGAAATTACACTTACAGTTGAAATTTTTTCATTTTTCAGATCAATAATCTTAAGAGTATGATTATTGGTATCTGCCACATAAAGAATATTATCATCTGGGCTGATAGCAAGACCACTCGGTTCATTGAACTGATAACAGAGTATTTCAAAATTTGTATTAAATATTTGTATTAAAATGTTTACAAAAAACTTTTGAAATTATCTTTTCAAAAAACATAACGAGACTTACGGAAAACATAGGATCAGGTTTTCCTGCACCAAATAAAGTCTTACAATATCCTGTTGTGGTATCTACAGTTTTAATCTTGTGATTATAGGTATCAGCTATATAAATTTGTTTATTCAAGTGATCCCATGCTATCCCCAATGGATGTTGAAGTTTAGCCAAATATTCTTTTCCATCTATATCTCCAAAAGCATGTAAGTTCTATAATTTAAATTAAATAAAATAAGTTAATATATATTACACGACCTTGATATATTGCTATCATTTTAATGAAAAATGATGTATTTTTTGTTCATGTACACAAAATTAGTTATATATACATAAAACAATAAAAAAAGATGAAAAATATTTATTATTAAACGAACCGTTGGATTTTTGTCTCCACCACAAACAGCAGAGACTCGACCATTGTCTAAATGCACTCGTCTAATAGCACTGCTTTCACTGTCTGCAAAAAATGCAATTTTATATTCTTGAGCGACTGCGATACCGGAAGGTTGTGCTAATCCAGCCGTATGAGGATAACTGTTGTTACGGTTCTCTTCCCGGCCACTCCCGACAATGGCAGCGCATGTGCCTGCTGTATATTTTCTTAAAACAAATGGCAAATTTTTAAGAATATTAATCCTTGTATGTGTAGGTTACATATTTTCTTTGCTCTGTCCCTAATTTTATGTATGGTTAAAATGTCTTGTAGTTTTAATTATCTCAAGGTGCTTGCAAATATCTATAAAAATATATATTCTTTGATAGCTATAAAAACTGATCATGTACGACAAAAATTGAAGAATAAATTTTTAATAGATTAAATTGAAATTCAGTAAATATTAAGTATCAATATTTTCAAAATAATTCAATATTTTCAAAACAATAATTTTCAAAATAATATTTTTAAACAATCTTTAAAAGTCAAATATTTTCTTAGTAAAAATTTGTTTAAACAAAGAAGAAATATTCGTTTATTTTACACATTTTAAAACAAAAAACATCAAAGAAATTAAAACTAAACACAAAAATATTATTATATTTTATTAAATATCTTACTTTTCTTTCCACCAAATAGTATCTTCCAAAAACAATGCCCAGATTTGATGAGTACCCGCTATAGCGATTAATAAGACTGGCACAATGCTATCTTTATATTCGTGATGATATATTGCCACATCCCAAGGAGATGATAAAACTTGATTGATTCCCTGTTTTCCACCTTTATGATCATAACCTTGTGAACCAGTGCCAGCTATAGTAGATACATTATTTTCAGTCAGATTTATCTAAAAATGATTCAAAAATGACAATAAAAGTAGTGAATCAATATTTTAATATATGATATGAAGAATGGGAAAATTTTTCTCCTTACTTTTCTAATGGCATGATTGTTATTATCCGCAACATAGATTGTATTATTTAATACGCAGACTCCTTGAGGTGAATTAAATCTAGCATTTTTGAAACTGCCATCTTTAAAACCTTGATTGCATCCACCTATAAAGTGTTCCACTTCTCCATGTTTTGTTGCGATAACAATTCTATTATTTCCGCTATCTGATATGATGAGCTTTGTTCCATGCTCAGATGAAAGAATAGCTAATTTACCAGGAAATAATAAACCATTTTTAAAAGATGATAAAAGATGATATGCTGGCCTCAGTGGAAGACTATGGTTCGATATTTGATTTAGGGATTTGAAATATGCTATCATTACTCTTGCATATAAGAGTATTTCATTTTTGTGATCTTCACCAACAAAAACAGCCAATGGTTGACCATTAGGTCCTGAAATAGATTTATAACTATGTATAGCAATAACATATATACAAATTTCATACAAAAATAGCATAAATCATTTAAATCTTATACAAAAAGATAAATATGAAATTACCTAACATGACAAGACTAGGCCAACATATAATCCCCATATTATTCCACATCCTTAATGTCACATCATTTACCACAGGATGTGTAATATTATATCTCTGTATAGCAGATAAGACATTTTTTGAACTACGTTCATTTGTAAACTTTGCACTGTGAATTCCAATCTAAAACAGGAAAATTATTGGGCAACTATTATAATTGAATTTGCATAATATTTTTCCTGTGTAAAATAATATATTCACCACAACAAGACCATCTTCTATAGAGATTTTTTTTTCGATCTCCTCTAATTCAGCTAAAACATGCATACAATTGATGCAACAATAAGTAAAAAAATCCAAAAGCACGATTTTTCCCTTCAAATGCTGCACTAATGATAATCCTTCCGACACATTGAACCATTCTAAACCTGTACCGTATAAAAATGTATGAAAATGTATAATGAAATTATACTAGAGTAAATGTAAATAGAAATTTTATTATATTTCACTTTGATGTTTATCATTAGCAATAATTATTTGTTACAAAAAACAAAAATTACTTTTTGGAAAATCCTCAATTTCTGCTCCGGTATTTTCGAACCGTTTTATATGTTTTAAAATTAATGTTTCCTTATCCTTTCGTTCCGTCAAGTCATCCAGATGAGAGCGCATTTGAATGCAAACTTGTGTCAATTCCTCGACTACCTCTTGTGCGTTCATTTTTTCATTTACGAGTCCACACATCTGCACAAAGATAGTCGGAAACTAATGAAATTCTTCAAACGAGCATTACGGTTTCTCTCGAAGGTATCTGACGTATTCCGCACACACAGAGAGAAGAATGAGATCACCTGTCACCTGTCATCTGGTCATCTGTCATGGCCTGCTTTGTCGGAAGAGGTTAGGTTAGGTTAGGTTAGGTTAGATCGAAAAATTATCGTTTGACAGTTGGCATCCCTACAAGCTGCGGAAGCACTGCGCGCGCGTATACAAAATAAACTTCAAATTGCTTCTAGCCTAACCATTTTTAGCGATTGACTTTACTTGAATTGCATCGCGTCGCATCGAATTATGATGATTTGCCCGAACGTAATTCGGGACATCTCGATGCTGTAAAGCATCGAATGAGCACGAATTGTCACTAATAATAAATTAAATATGAAATATAAATCAAATCAACTCACCATTCACCGGCTGCTCCACAGGTCGCTCCATTCGCTTGCCTCGGGATATCCCATTTGATGCACACAAATTCACACGATATCATCAACGCGAACTTTATTCGGCGACACTTCGACACTCCCGATTCCCGATACTCGCTCGCATCCGATAATCATCATCAAAGGCGTGAATAACGCGACACAATTTCGCTTCACCTTCGCGATGACGCTATCACTGAATACTGTCAAAAACCGCTATCGCGCACTTCCATCGACATATTATGAAAGTCGCGCGATCATCCTTGGACACTCTCAACGCTCGTTTACTCGTGATATTCGTTTATTTACAGTTAAAGACGCGAAAAATGCGGATGTACGACGAGCTGCGTAACTGCGTATGTCTCCCATCATGTATGACGTATCAATGACGCAACTCGAACTAACATGGCGGCTGAACCGGTGCGCATTCGTTTCTGCGCATGGCCATTATTGCGCTCAACATTCGCGCGACTTTGATTTCTGAACATTGTCTATGGCTTTAATTAATAGCTTTAATAAATAATAATATATATAATATGTATATGTAATAATAATAAACTAATAATAAATTAATATACCTCACATAATAATAAATATATAAAGATATAATACTCTTTATAGATCTATTCTTTATAAAATTCAAAATAATTCATTTTGTAAAACTAATTATTACGCGCGATCAATTGTTTGATCTTTTATCTCTGATATTAATACTTTAAATGTAAAACTAGCAAAAAAATATTTTTTTTTATTATAAATTTTTAAAAAATGTAATTAAAAGTAAAGAGAGTATGTTAATTTTTATATATGAAATATTTAAATAATTATATTTTAAAAATATTTTCTAAAATATTAAAATATTTCTATATAAAAGTATTAATTAATAAAAAAAATATTATAGATGCTTTATTACAAATACTTTAAATATGTTAAAGTTAAACGTGGAATATTTTATACATGCATTATGTGATTTTTAGTGAATTATATATATTATCGAGAAAATGAAAAAATAATAAGCAATATATCTATTTTGAAAATAATATATATAAATAATGCATAATTTTATATATATACGGTACATGTATATTAATACGAATTATAGGTTCAAAAGTTTAATATAATCTAAAGTCATGATACAATAATCGTTTAATTAATAATTAATTTAACAATTTATACGTATTTCGTACTACTATATCTTTATTATTCGAGTGTCGCTGTGTGAATGATACCAAGACTGTATGATATGAACACTAGCGCGTTATTGTTTACATCGTCAAGGCCGAACATCGCCCAGTGAGAAATGTTGATCGAATCTACATCAATTCGACATCGATTCGATATCGATTCGACAAATGATTTATCGAATCGATGTCGAATCGACATCGAATTGATGTAGATTCGATCAACATTTCTCACTGGGCGGGTTATTGTCCATTCGTTATATCGAAACATATTTTATGTATTTTAATACAGCAAATAACTTTTCAATATCGATCGCGATCGCGTCTAGAAAAGGAATTTAACGGAGCATTAATTTACTCCTTGAGTGTCGTCGCGCGAATAATAATATAGCCAAAAAATTAGCCCGAAGGATCGAAAACCGTGTTATTATTTTTTTATCGAAACATTTTTTAAGACTGACATATAAACATTAGCGCGCTATTGTTTACGCCATCAAAAGGTCGGTATTATTGTCTGTTCGTCATCGAAATATTTTACGTTAATTATTATTATTTGAGCCAATTTTTTGTTTTAATTTTAATATTTATAGTATTTAATATTTAGAAATAAATTAGAATTTTTTTATGTTATAATTAAATTTAATATATATATATATATATATATATATATATATATATATATATATATAGTTAATATATATAGTTTAATATATATAGTTAAATTTTTTTATGTTATAATTTATTTTCAATGATGAATTGTGATAAAAACTATACTAAATTATGTAGTAATAAAGGCGATGGTGATTAATATATGTATAATAATATCGGATAATATATTTTAATAACTAATTATACTTAATGGATAGATAGAAAGAGAGAGCGAGATCACACAAAACTTATTTATATTAGAAATGTAATATATACAAAACTTTTGTGTTACAACACTTGTGTGATATTTTGTGCACGTAGCATGGAATACAATCCGAAATTCTGTATTATCCACTGAAAACATTCATAGATTTGGCTTCGTAGTTCATGTTCACATTTTCATGTTTATAGAGGACCATGCCATCTCTCGTTCTTCTCTCTGGACAGGGAAAAGTAAAGAGAGAATAAATAAGATTAATGTCTCATTATTGTCATCAAAAAGCCATTAACACGAATGATCTATATCTATATCATTTTTTAAAGAATTAATTTAATATAACCATTGTTGAGATTGTCCACGAGACGCGAGTTTGATGCTCTTTGCAACATGACACGAGCATCGGGCATCAGTGGCAATTGGCAGGTACTCTCACAAGTTATCTGACAAATTTCATCAAATACCGAATATGGCCGATCAAAAACCAGACACTGAGTTAGATTGGGTGAAAATACGAGAAGAATTTAACAGCGATTTTGTTGTCGAGACGATATTCGATAAAGCGAAACGTAAAACACGAGAGAATCCACTTGTACCTATAGGTAAAGTAATAGTAACCTCTAGCAGTATCAAGATTTCATCTATGCATTTCATTTTCTCCCAATTTATAATAAAAAATTGATAAAAGAACTCAATTTGAAAAAGAATAAAATATTAAGAATGAAATAGATATTTCTACAAAGAGAGTATTGTATTATTTTTTGAAAGTTGTCTAGGATATTTTTTTGAATTATGTATAGGTTAAAGAAATATTATTATTAAATTTACATACATCAAAATATTTTAGTAGATTTATATTTCTCTAGGATGTTTTGCAACTACAGCAGCACTTACTGCTGGACTTATTAGTTTTATAAGAGGAAAGTCACAGATGCAACAATATATGATGCGGGCGCGTGTTGGTGCTCAAGCATTTACCATCATTTCTATAGTTGCAGGATTTATTTTGCTACCTAAATCAAATTAAAATATAATACTAATTTGTACAAATGCTGTTGTAGTATATGAAATACTCCTGCAATTGTCATATTAGATTTATGTATCTAATATGAATATTATATTTTTTCCCAAGAAATACCTATAAGTTAGCAAGTACAACATGGATAAAGAAAATATATTTATCATATCTGTAAATTAATATCTATAAAAATATATTTCCAATTGTTATCAAACAAAATTAAAAATGTATATATATATTGTTTTCTTAACAAGTGTATTCTTAATTATTATAATATATAAAAAAAGAAAAATATTTTATTAATTTTCCTATAATCTATTCTCTTAAATTAATTCTAATATATATATATATATATATATTAAATGTCAATAATTAAATAATTTAATTAATGATGATAAGGATTTTCAAAAACAAATGCATAGATAATTATACATATGTTATTATTATCAGTATTATATTATAAATTCTATATATTACACATATGTGTATTCTTATTACAGCCATACTAAATATTGCAATGCTCTTATTTTTTTTAATAAATTTTTTTTTAATAAAAGCATTATTGACAGGGCTGCTATTATACTTTCTTTAATAATAAAGCTTCGCATTATAAAAGTAGAAAAGAAGAAAGAGAGAAACCATTTGAAAACGAAATGTTTTGTACTCTTTTATATCCACCAAGTTTTGCTAAACATATCAAATTATTCAATCAATATATATTATCAATATATATTGTTTTTAGCCAATACTTACAATTTTTCTATATTTTTATATATTTATTTTAAATTGAGAAGGATGTCATTTTCAATTTAGAAGGATTTTCAATTTAAAATTGTAAAATATTTAAATATATTAATTTCTAATATATCAAATATATCAATTCCAGATTGTAAAAGTCTGATGTATAGAAAATTGGAAAACTATAGCATACTTATCTCTTTATGCAATAATTCTGTACTTATCGGATATATTGATTCTTCGGAAAAAATGGTGCACGCACGCATAAAATCGTTATACATTTTTATTAGTCAAATGGGATTTTAATGTAATGGCACTTTGTTTAAATGCACCACTGATACTCAGTGAACGGGAACGCAGGCTTGTCAAGCTATTTGTGGAACTACAACTGCTTAGACTAGTGCTAGGTGTGAGATCAAAAATTGTTTGTATGGTAGGTTTCGCGGATGTATAATCCGATGGGATTGATTCTGTAATGAAAGAAATATTAGTTGATAAATAATTCATATTTTTTGAGAAATTTTGAAATATCATTTATCAAATTTTGGAAATTAATACATATAATTAATTATGCATATTTACCAATTAAAGGTGTTTCATCATATAAAGAGCCCTGTCTTTTATTGCTGATAAAAGAATTTCTTGTACTTTCAATATTAGACACCCTTTGAACAACTTCTACAGCATGTTTCCATCTCGAGTGATCATTAATATGTGCCGATAAAAGCATTAACCATTTTTGAGCATCCTCCTTTGACTCAAATTTTATGGACAATAATTTGTTCATGCTATTGCCAGAATTATTTATCAAAAGTTCTCTAGCAGAAGATTTAGATAATCGAAGGGATGTTCTCTACAAATATAAATGAAAAAATTACTTAAACTGAACAATAAATTAATTATAAGAAATATATATGTCTACAAAGTTGTCAACTAACTTTATTAATTGGTATGACATGCTCTGGATTTTGACCTTCTTCTGCATGTTTTTTTGATTCCCATATTTTTATATAAAAACCTTGCAAGCGTGCCCAACAATCTTGATTATCCATTTTCACATTATTGATGCCCATTTCCTTGCTAATACAGTCCGGTTGCGCTGCCAATCGACAACAAAAATGTCCGAAAAGTGGCAAAGAGTGATGTTTATGCTCTGAAAAGAAAAAAAATGTAATTTAAATATTTCAAAAATACATTCCGAACTTTTTATATTTTACTTACCGATATTATTAATAATGAGGTCATGTGTATGAATGTTATCATCCGTATCATCTAGGGTCAATTTTGCACGAGCTACTAAGTCAAAATGTGGCCCACTGAAAAGAAAGTGTCTAATTAATATTAATATTTCTAATTTAATAATATTTATATTTATTACAAAAAATATAAAAAAAAAACAACTTACGATTTGCCGGAACTAAATTCGTCACGAAGGGAAGCGGCGAGTTTTTTGCCAACAGTTTTCGAAATTGACGAGTGAATTGTTTTTTTTATTCTTCTTGGCGTGCTAGCGATACTTAAATCCTCTTGTAAAACGTGGCTATAGATTTCCAAAACTAATTCAAATTCGGCAGGCACATTGTTACTGAAGACAAAGTTTATATAAATAAATAAATATAATTACTACGTTCTTTGATTATGATTAGTATGATTACAAATATTTTAATTTATGTGCTTACGTCAAATTAATAAATTCTTTACAAAAAAATCAGAGAATTATTAAAACTTACAATATTAAAACATCGGGAAAACTGATATCCGTATGAGCCCTATCAATAGGACACAATAAGGATGTATCATGGATTTCCGTGCCCAGTCGCGCTAAGCAAAATACAGCGAATCGACGATAATCTCCACGATTTTTGAAATGATCGGAATCCCTCCACATTAAAGGTATTCTAAGATCCGAAATCGATAGCTTGCCCGTAGTTCCAGTATTACTGAAAACAGATACATTATATTATTATTATTAGATATCATTATAGAAGAAGGATTATATGTTATTTTTTCTCTACGTATTTTTTTTTGACATTTTTACAAAGAAAAAAAATACATGTAAGAACTAACCACGGTTTTTTAAGAGATTCGCGACGACGGCTTTGCAATTCCGCCATGTAAACCGACATTCTCTCGTTCGATATAAGCAACGCTTTGGCAGCTTCCAAGCTCTGGGCACGATGCTTTGCGGCTGCCAAAAGTCTCGCCGAGCCTTCTCTCATCTTGATTTCCACCTCGATCTTCTGTTCGAGATCATGCTCCTGAAACACACATAATTCATAGCATTTTAGCAATCGATTCGAATTAGTTGCTAATCTATCGAGCGTTCGCGAAAAATCTTAATTCGAATTTTTAATTAGAAAACTATCCGAAAACTTCAAATGTGAAGTCATACGGAAAGTGCAATCTCGCAGCACAGGTGTTCGCAGGTGTTGAATAAAACCAGCGTAAAAAAAAAGAAAAAGAAGCGACCGGTAGTTATGATCGAAAAAAATCGAAGTATCAGCAATAAAATGACTATGTGGCTAACACGTGGTCACACGTTCATTGTATCGAGTTACATACCTAACGAAACGTTTTACATATTTTGCGAACGCATCATTTCACTCATTTTACAAGATATCTATATAGACCGATTCACGAAGCGTACAATTTAAAATCATTTTGCAAGATTAAAAGATTTTTATTATAAATTTTACGATATATATTATTGCATTCAATATACATAAAAGGAGCGATAACAACACCTGAGAGAGTGTAGTCTTCTCATTCGTCGCTTTTTCAGATCTCGACATATAAAGCTACTATTTTATCGCCACGTAACACGTGTACGAGATGAATGAAAATTCCGCTTTACGAGGCAAGAAATAAACTTTGCGAAAGCGTAAATAAATCGGCGCGATTCTCACAACGCTGGTGTAGCAGAACGTGGCGGAATCGGACTGAAATAACGACTCTTCGGGGAAGTGGCTGAATGCACGAGGGGGTGACGTTCACCTCGACAAATTGGCTCCTCCTTCCACCCTCGGGGAACCATCATACAAACACGGAGTATCGATCCATGCGGTTAGTTTCGTTTCATAGTCAGCGTGCACGAAATCACACGGGTCTATCCTTGCGAAACGCACATTTCTCTCTTATAAAAAATATCGGACACAAAATTCCCCCTCTGAGAATTTTTTTGTACAATAAATTGCGAATAAATTTTTATATCTTGGAATGAATCGTATAATCCAAAAATAACGAACGCATCAGTAAGATCAATAATGAAGATGATTCATTGACGCGCATCGAGCGATTTCGTATTCCGTTGATGTTAGCGTGACACATCCTTTACCTCGACACTCGAGGTGTGCGCGCCTCGTTCTATCAGAGATACATGATCGGGTCACGGCGTATTTCTCTCGAATGTCTCGATGGTCTCGAACAGGAATTTTGCAACGACGCAAGGGTAACCGCGGCCACATTTAATCCCTGACCCCGGTGCTGTAACGAGCCTTGATGAAACTCGTTGCGATGCGCACTGTGCGACAAACGAGTTCACGTACGACGTAACGCAATTCGCGGCTCTCTCGTATCCCTGGTTTTTTTTTATCCTCTACATTTAACGACGTATACTTGTATGTAAACGTTTGTTTTGTTAGCGCGAGACATTTCTCCCGTTCCGTTTTATCTTGTTCCTTCGATCCCTGCGTCCTTCATTTCCACATATTCTCCCTGGATTACTTTCTCTCGTGTTGCTAACAGTTCGTGTGCTTTCCCCGACAGCTTGTCTGCCGAAAATAGTCGCCAGAAATCCAATACCCCGTGCGGTTGTGCCTGTAATAGTCACCGCACACGCGCGACACGCATCCTTTTCCTCTCTCGCGTAAATCTCCCAAGACGCACAACGCACGACATGCCTAACATTCGCGACAAGTATGTAAAATAGTTGGGAGGAATTAATATTAAATTATCATGCTGAAAATAAATGAAGTGGCACATGTATGTAATCACGTCATGTAAATGCATATAAATAATAAATGTGAATAAATATTCGCTTTACATTCTTTGATATTGATTTGTTACGCAATTTTCAATATGTCGAGCGAATAAACGAAAATAACGCGTCTCGTACAAGATCATTATCTGTGAAAATTTTATGTAGTCGAGACTTCCAATCCGTTTGACATTGCCATTTGTATGTCGACCGACGCGATATCACACACGACGTCTAAAAATACGGGCAACTTGCGAGAAAACGTCGGCTTCCGTGAAACGCGTATATGCAATATTATAAACGCGTATAAAATTTTTCACTTTCTATCTCCAAGTTAAATCTCTGAATAATGTCTTGTTGAAGAATCTATTAGGTAATATTAAAAGAAAATTAAAAATAAGAATTTTTATACTATAATTTATAGCAATCGATATTTTCGAAATTCTGCGTACAAATCCTACCTTCGAATTTCGTGCAATTTGTCGAACGTAATACAGATCCAAATCTTGAAAGACGTCATTCTTTCCCTGGAGGGTTGAAGTCCTCGATTGGATGCGAGTATCCTCGACGTTACATTCCTCATTTCTCGATTTATTCGTCGTACGCGGATTCAGTATCGTCAAATGTGGGAAGCAGGAGTCCATTTTTCTTTATTTTTTTTTTTTCGATACGGTACTATTCGTCGTTCGATATTAATTACAATCAAATATATACAACGAAATCACTCCGATTCCGATAACTTGCGAACGGAATCGATGTCGAAGACGCATACCGTCGCGGATGAACAATCATAGATCACAGGTCCATTGAAACTACATTTGCTGAAAATGCCGCACGTGTTTACGAGCGAACAGTTTTACGAATGAATACACGTGACTGTTTTTTTCTTCGTAGCCTTGACGTATCTTAAACAGGAGCGAAAGAGAGAAGGTTGTCCACTGCTTCTTTCTCGCGAAAAAAATTGGAGTCAAGGTAGACTGAGGAGAAGAGGCTCCGCTTCCCTCCAAAACTTTTTCATCCGCCTCTTCTATTGTTCGATACGTTATATATGTTTTTGTAAACTTTCTGACCTCTAAATTTGGCGTAAAACAATGAAGAGAGAAGAGATGTCACATTATCCCGAGGATTATTTCTTCTTCCTGTCCTCTTGTAACGCGAGCGGCCTATCGTACCGATTGCGAGTCTAATCGCAAACAACGGATAGATATTCGGCCGTCCTACGTTTTTCCGTTAGTTATACAAAGTAACTCGTGACGATATACCGCCTCCGCGCGATACAACATACGAGAGCTGTCGTTTCGCCTTTCGTTTCCCCAAGTACTCCAATTCGTTCGCCTGCTCCACCAAATTTCTCCTCTTCTCCACTTCCGGTAATAGTCGACGCCCAATCGCCTATCATGATTCACCGTCGAGCGGGGAAAAAAAGCGATGTGTTTTATACCCTCGCGGATTGTCTACCGGTCTTCGTGCGACGAGACATCTTCCACGACACGTGGAATGTACGATATGCAAATTCGCGAAAATAATTATTATCGGGGCGGTTTAATGAGGCCGATTAAATAGATATTAGACCAAACTGAATACAGTGTATCTGTACAAGAAATCTATGAGTCAAACAAAAATGCTGTTAAATTGTGAAAGAGAAGGAAAGAGAGAGGCACGCGATTCTCGGGAGCACCCGACTAATACTGAATGACGCTCGATCATTCGACTGTGTAAGCATCAACAGGACGCACCAGTGCTACGCATCGCACGCGGTAAATCAGTATAAGGACGAGGAGAAAGAAGGGAAGGGGGAGGAGAGAGAGACAGAGAGAAGGGGGGGGCGGAGGGGAAGGGATCACCGGCGTTAACCGACAATAGATTGAATAAGAGAGCGGGGCGAATATGAGGAATCGCCCACGTCAAACGGCATCCGCCGACTTTTACATTTAACTGTGTGCATTAGAGTAATTATCGCGTAATTATCTACGAAATAACTGACAGCGTGTGCGTCGCTCTCGAAAGTGTCATAAACCTATTAAATAGTAGTAAATATATTTGTTTCATTGCAATAATGAATATTCTCTTATCTGTTAAATATATATCAATTATTTTTGTTGTTATATCAATAATCATGGATAATTACTTGTTATGTATTGTTTCATTATATAAGATGTTTATTGAATATTATAGTAAATATATATTAAGAAAAATTTGAGAATTGAAAATTAGAATTGTTTAATTTTAACATCATTGTACAAAACATATCTCCTGATATCTATTTATATGTGTATATGTATGCATTTTCTCATAATTATTGTATAATATAAATAGGATAAAATGTATTCCACAAAATAAATAATATCCTCTTAGCGAAATCCATAAAAACATTAACAATTCTCTTGCAACTAAAATGAATAGCTCCATTTCTCATTTTTACAAACAATCCAATTGTCTCTATAATTTCAATCTATTTAATATATATAAGGAATATTTTTCCCAAGATATATCTGTGCGCATAAAATATAAAAGACAATTATACATAATAAGGCAGTATATATACATAATAATTACACATTCTTTGTCTTGTCTAAATAAAAACATCTTATTTATGAGAGCAATGTCAACCTTATAATTATAGTATACAGTTAATATTATAATTGTATATTAATAGCATAATTTTCTCAGATATGCAAGCATTTACATTTGAGAAATTTGCCAAGATAACCTAACCTAACCTATCTGATCATTTAAAGTATTTTTCACATGTTCTATAAATAGCGAATTTAATAAAAGAAATTTAAATCAATATTTATTAATCTCTATCGAGTAACAAGCTAACGAATTTCAATTAATGCAAAGTGCAAAGTATTTTTAGAAGCAAAGTCAATGAACCGTTATCAAAGAAATCCGTTAAATTAAACTCACCACATGATTTCTTGCATTTCTAATGCTTTCTCGCCTACGAACTCTCGTTTGAAAGTCATTCAAGCAGGACAAATAATTATTCTCCTTGTAAGAAACATTGTTTAAAGACTTGCGTGACGTTTGAACGCTTTTCTTCCGCGGCGCCATTTTGTAATTTGAATTTTTTATGGTGAATGTGCACGGTTCACCATACCGTTAGGACGCCGAATCAACGCATGGTGAATTTTCATGAACTGAAATTAAAATAAAAATGTTATATTTAAGAAAAATAAATAATTCATAATTATATTCTTATATACTTCTAATTCTTTTCCTTGTTTTTTAAAATGTAAATTATATATTTAATAATATATCGCATTTATACATCATTGGACGTCAATTTAAAGAGAGGCAGCAAGTGTACATACGTATATTACATACATATGTTACAAACATATATTACATATATGTATTATACTGCCCTCTTATAAATGAGGACTAAGAATATTTAAAGATAATTTTTCACAATTGTTTAAAAAATTGACTACAGCCCAAGGGTATGTAAATTAAATTCGTTCAAGAGAGTGAAATTCTTAAAAACATGTATTTAAATAATACAATATGCTGCACTTTGAATCATTGATTCGATTTACCGGGCTTCAAAATATCATTTCGAATTACTCGAATATACGTGTACAATATTGCCAATCAAAAGTTAGGCAGTTTCAATAATAATTGATAATATATTTCATAAGCAAGATAGAGATTAGCTACAATATCATACATAATAATGAAAAAGTTCAAATTTTTTTTCAATTTAGCCGTAAATATGAATGAACTAAAAAAGAAGCCGTTTATTTCTTCTCTTTATCTTTCTCCTTCTCTTTCTCTTTATTTTGTTGTAACGATCCGACAGCTTGGCGAACAGCTTCGGATTGTGGATCCACGCCTGGTAAGTTCTCCAAAACCGATTGCAGAAAAGCAGGATCGGACATGACAGCTGCATAATCTTCTTCTACATCCATCGCTTCTTCTTTTTGAGATTCTAGTTCTTCTAAATAACGATAATAAAAATAAGTGATTTTAGAAAGATTATTAATATTATTGATTTATTTATCATAGACTTACGTTGATCTTGCATAGACATTTGCATAGCGAAGGCGATTTGTTCTTCTTCTGTCATATTAGTAAAATCTGGTACGTTGCCTCTGCATGGAGCAGTGTCATCAGTAGCGGCAGTCGAATCTTCCGCTCCTTCAAGAGACATAGCGAGGGCACGTTTTAGCATAGCTTCCTCATTTGGAGCTTCTTTTATAGTTTCCGGTTGCTTATTTGTGGCAGTCTCATTCGCTTGTGCGCGACGTGCTTCATCTTCTTGTCGTTGTCGTTGTTCCTCCATAGAAACACGTAAAGCCTAAGAGGGAGAAATCATATAGTTTATAAAATCATTATTATTTTTAGTAGGAAACACTAATAAGATGTATATTTTAGGTACCGACCAACGCAAGTTCGGGATCTTCATTTGGATCGACACCAAATTCAAATGCAGCGCTACCCATACCAGCTGCACCCATTCCATCTTCACCCTGTATTATAGGAGAAGAGATCAGGGCATCTGATAGATGTGGTCCTGGTGGAACAGTGACGAGATGACTTCCGGTGCCATCTTTACCATTCAATGCATTCACAAAGGCTGTCAGTACTTCGTTATTAATACTCTCTTCGCCGAAACTTATGACATCAACGTTCACTTTTTCCTTTTTCAAACGTTTGGCTAGTTTTACCAATTCCTTTTCGTCAATATCTATTGGACTTCCGATAAATGCAACAATACGCATTTTATGGTTTTTGCCTTGTCGATGCTTCAATGCTAACTATAAGTTTTACAATCCTTAATACATGTTTGGCGGATATACTTGAGTAAAGTTAAATAAGTTATACATACATGAGCAATCCTAATTCCTGTGATGAGACACAATTTTCCATTTGGCTGAACCTGATGAAGCTTAGACAGTATTCTGCCGACATCGCTTGTGAGTGTTGCTAATACTTCAACGCTAAAAAAATTAAGAGATTTATATTTAACATGCGATAAATTTTTACGTCCGCAATAATATTGATTACACATGAATCATACTTCGCAAGAGTTATGAGACCAACGTTGTTCTCAGGATTCGAACGAGTCTTGGAATGACACACCAAGTTGACAGCATCTTGCTGGGCTTGCAATCGAGTAGGCACGAAATCCCCGTTTCGCATATAATCGCTGTTATCAACGCTGCATATATTGAGATTAATTAGTCTAACTTAAGGAACATTTAAGAGCAAATATTTCAGGGAGGCTCATTATATATATTTAAGATTGTCAACGTCATTGTCATCGCGCTAACCTCGAAATTGCGATACAATTAACTCTAAAGACGCGTACGGAATTAAATCAGAGTTAAAACATTTTATTATAGGGTAAACCGATCTCGTAAATTCAATAGTAATATCGCCAGAGGCGATAAAAAATTACGAATGAAATTTTAAAAAAGACTCACCATATCATCGTACTTTCCAGCACCATGTTGGATGGATCGTCTGTTGACTGCTTTATTCGACGCGAGGCGGCGCAGCAATTTAATCCAATTTTCATCAACTCACGTTTCGCCTTGTGCGCATGCGTACGCATTTAAAGAGCAACAACTCGTCATTCATTAACTAGATTCACTTTAATTTTTACGTCATAAATAGCAATGATTAATCAACAGCTTTATATTTCTTCTTTCTTTCCTTTTTTTTATTTATTTATTAACTTAATTTATTAACTTAATTTATATTAAATTAATTATTTATTTATTAAAGAACACAGTTCCCAGGTAGAACATGAAATTAATGACACATTATTATGACGTCATCATGATTTTATTTATCACTTAAACGTTACCTAAACAAAATGATTAAAAAATGAGTTAAAGATGGCAAAAAGAATCATAAATTTTTAAGTTCAATAATCGCATTATATAATTTTAAAAAGATTATGTTGCTTAAATATAATTAAAATATACATGAATAATTAAATAAACAAGTAATTGCGTAATATATATAAAAAAATGATATTATTATTACGATTGATTCTTAAGATTTCATACGCCAAGTATATATATTCTTCAACAGAGTTCGCTAGAATTGTTTAACATCAAAAATAAGTCACCAAAACATTGCCAAAAGTCATATCAAATGAGATCATTATGATTTTTCTAAAATGACTTTTAGGTGACGTCATAATGATGTCATTATGAGTTTCATGTTCTACCGGGTTTTAAAATATATAAATCATCTCGTATCATACATGTATAAAAAGATAACAATACTCTATTCATGTAGAATGTGACTTAATTACGTGACTCGAAAAGACGAAGGTGGGTGACGGGGGCGGCGAGGGCGGTAGCGAGTTATCGTCGTTTAAAGCGAGCGACGAATATCTTGGCGCTTCGCTCGAGAAGACGGCTTGCTCGTAAGTTGGCGGCAAATCTTCCCGCGCGGCAGCAGCCAAGGCATGCAATTTCCTCGCTTGCTTCCTCTCGTCCAGGATACGTAAAATAATCACGATCGGCCCTATCAGCAACATAATCGCTCCGATCGCTACCATAGTGACCGCCGTGACCGCGCCGCTATTATGAGAGAATCTTATCCTGTTGCTGCTCCTCCGAAGGCTACTGTTCGTCACTTGACGACCGCTGTTTTCGCGAGCAAAGAATTTTGATTCGCGCGATACATCGTCCACGGAATTAAGATCCTTTTCCTTCGCATCACGATTTCCTTCCTCCTTCGATTCCGAAATGGATCCGGTGACGTTCTCTTTTGCGTGGGTGTTTTTCGAGGGTCTATCGTCGAGGAAATATTCCCTGTCCCGAGCTATCCTAGAGGTTTTGCTCGACGAGCTTTTATTTTCGCGGTGATTTTCTATTCGTAATGTTTGTCCATCAGTTGTCGAATTTTCAAAGGGATTTGATAGCGTGGATCGTTGCTCTTTCGAAGCGATCTCGAACTCGTTTTTGATTACATTCAATCCAGGATAATTTTTGTCATTTCGTACAGATGATTCTGGATCTACTCGAATTGTTATCTTCTCATTCCGATCGATCAATTGATCCTGGGCGGATACTATGGCGAGATATTCATTTTCGGCGCGTCTTATAGATGTGATGGTGGATTCGATAGACAAATCGATTGATGAATTTGTCTGCGAAAAAGTAAAAATCTTATATACCAATAATTTTATTTTTCTGATTAACAATTAAGTTCGAGTTTCAATTACCTCGATAGTGTAACCAGTATCCAGTATTCTCTTCCGCAAGATATTAACACCTTTTTGAAGAAGGATGATAGCGACGGCGTTCCAGATGACTAGATGTAATATAATGATTATTCTTGAAGCCCATCTGTTTGTTCTCAAAGTGAGAGACATTACGGCAACATCACATTGGCGATTAATCGGAAGTCAAGGTGTGAATATACCTTTCACACACCTGCTGCTCCTTCCTCCATGATAACTAAGCGACATTTTTGTCATTATATATTCACCACTTAGATCTCACGTGGGCGGTGAATGACATATATATCTGTGAGATGTTGAAAGAATATCTAATCTAACAATCAGGATCTAACAATCAATATTCCAAATATATATTAAAAGCTTAAATACATTAATTCCATACGTCATCAAAGAGATATGTCATTCTTGTATGACATAAATAAAAAAATTGCCAAATTATAATTTAATTATTCAAAGAAATTTTTCATATTTTATATAATATTTAATTTTAAAAAATGCGTTTAAATATATTTTGCTAAATAAATATATCATAATTGCATATTTTATTCTTGGATGTTGCTTTATTCGATTTAACATTAATTATTAATTTTTTACAGACGTAAAAGTAATACAACTATAGAACTTTTATTATCCGAACTATTCGATGAATAAGTCTTTAAATGATCGATTTTTCAGACAATCGAAGTTGTCAGATACTCGATTGTTTGAAAGTGAAAAGGAAATTTATTTATTATATAATTCTGTGAATGCAAATATACAAATTGTATTGCATTTATTAAGTATGCAAATTATAATTATATTAATTTTACAACCTTCTTCATTCTCCATTCTATTTTCTCAAGTCTTTTTCTAAATCGTTTTTTTTATATTTTATATCTATTATAAAATCTAATTTTAATGATATATATGTATTTTAAAAAAAAGCCAACTATAATTGCACAGTAAAAAATTATAGTTGAGATTATACTCTTTTTATAGTTTTTATTATTAAACTTTTATAGTTTTTACTATTAGTTTTTACTATAAGGTTGATAATAATATCCTTGTGATAATAACCTTGTGCGTAGTAATAATAATTTCAAATACAGTTACAATTGAAAATAATTTATGATTTAATAATTTATGATAATTACAAAAAAAAACTGATAAAAATTATTTTTTATTAGTATATGTATATATTTTATGATAATTACAAAAAAACTGATGAAAACAATTTTTTTATCAGTATATATACATCTAAACTCTTACTTGCGTAATCTGTGATATATATATATATATATATATATATATATATATATATATACGTTTATTTTTATTTCCTGTCACTGTCGAAATAATCGAGCGTTCATTTAATTAAACAATAACTATTCGGATAACAGAAGTTCTACGGTATTTGTTTTACGTACAACACGCGTAGAAAATTATTTCAGGTGTCAGCGGGGCACTAATTTATGCGTATTAAAACACATGAGATAATCTCTGAGTCACTATAATAGCAAACCATTTTGAGAAAAAAAATTTGGAGATTTTTACATAACGTTACTATAACAATTCACAGTATGAACAGTCGTTTTAAGCGCAGCACGATTACGACTTATTTGTCCAGTTATACGCGACGGGTCGTAGAGAGCAATAGCGAATGACTCATTTCCACTACCTTGCACCATCCCGTTATCCCGCTTTATACATGCGAAACATGACGACCCTGAAAATTGATGTCTCGTACCACTAACGACTGTATTGTTAAAGACAGCGTCGAGTTCTTGCGTAGTTTAAAAAATTCGCTGTATGTTCTGTCAAGAAAAATATAATTAAAGTAAAAAGTAAAAAGCACAATTGATAACAACAGAAATACAGTTATATATACATGAGAAAGAAAATTATTGCATGTATTTACCATGGCAAGTGACGCAATAGCGTCATAACGCTAAATATATAAAAGAATTGGATCTGAAAAATTATCAATTTTTTTAATTCTGGAATGTTTTTCATCTCTATTTCTTATATAGATAATTGTGCGATTGTCTTTTCTAGACGTCAGCATATTCTGTAGTTTTACTGCTTGTATATTTAATTTTTTCTTCTGCTGAAGTATAACGCGAGTCAGCAGCAATTAATTTTTTATGAAAGATTCAAATGCTATATGTTCAAAACTTTCTCTATCAGATGCTATTTTTTACGTATTTTTCTAAAGTTGAGAATTTTGCTGGATTTTTTCATCTTGGAAGAATGATCTTCAACAAATAGCTGTTTCTCTAAAAGATTGTAAACTTTTGAAACTGTGAAATTCTTTCAGAAGATATTGCTTCTGTCCCGTAAAGTTTTTTTGGTGTATTAGAAGACAGATTACTATTTATAAATAATAAGAGATAAAGTTTAAAATAATTATAAACTATATAATAATAATTATAAACTACTCTATATATCAAACAAATTAATTATTTCATATTATTATCACCTTCCAATCTTTATGAACACATTAATTTTTTCAAATAAGATGTCCACAATTGTTATAATCTATGGGTGCAAAATTATAAATTACACCTATAAATTTCGTATAATTGCACTTTTGATATATGACAAAGGTATTTTCATTGCTTTCCATTTCTTCTTCATAAAACCCTCTTGAGATGCTATAAGAATATACATATAAATAGTCTTCATACGAATTTTTTACTTTTTAAATTATTTTGTTTGCACCATACAAAAGTTAACAAACCTACATGTATTCATAATATCAGTCATTTTTCTGTTGTGCAATTTAAAAAGACAAACTTGTGTATGTTTGAAATAAATTTGTTCTATTATATACTAGGTCTTTCTGTTTCTTTACATTTCAATGATTTAATGTTGATGTAATTGCCATGAACTAAATATTCTATAATAATTTGACGCGTTTTTTCAGATTTTTTATTAATACGATCTTTTTCTTGCATTTTAAATTCCATTCCTTGAAAATCGGTCAATCGAATTAGTTGTTTTATCTGAAAAAATAAATGTATTGCATATAACTTAACAGATCTTTTATTATTTATTTTTGTAACATGTATAAAAAATAATGTATATTTAAAACTTGTTGAGAAATATCATATTTCTACATCTTCTATATAATAAAACAATATAAAAGAGATTTTCAGATATTTTTATAATAAATATATATATTTACCTTTAATTCTGTATATATCTATTTGTTTTGTGACATTTCAAAAATACAATTTAATAAATACAATATTATTCTAATTTTTGATAATATTAGATTCTAATGGAGAAACATTTTGCATCCAGTAACTCTTCCGGCCATCGCGATGGTGATACCATCTAACGAGCATCGGGACAAATAAATGGAAAATGAAGTGCGCCTGCGCCATCGGCGCCATGTTCAGTCATGTCGGAGACGGACAACTTTGTGCTAGTGACTCGTCGAAGGAGGCATCGTAAGGCAAAGAAAAACTTGTGCGGAGACGTGACTACTCAAAACGTAGTTACGCAGGACTGCGAGGTTGATTGCGAACTTCTTCTTCGGTAAGCTCGTGTCTCGTTTCTCGAATCAGCGAAACAAGGTTCACCGGTTACCTAACCTAATTTCTGAGCGCCTTAACCCGAGTCAGTCCCTAATCGCAATACGTTTTACGGCGATTTTCAGCACGTTAGGCAACACGATAATCGAGGTCAGAGATACATCCTTTACCAAGTTTGTTCTTAGCCAATTGACGGACTCTCTAACCGTCCTAGCCTCTAAGGGTATTTCCGAGATAGTCTGCTACGGGTTAGGACGATTCTCGCAGTACAGGTCATCGAAATGTCAATTGGCGCTTCTGCTGTGTTTGAAGGCGCGACACGTGGACGCTCGCGTGCACGTGTACGATCCAGTGTTTTGCCCCGAGGAAGTGCAAGTTTTGCGTGCTCTGGGTCTAGAGGTTATAGAGATCAACGAGGAGGGCAAGCGTATCGTCCAGCGAGATAAAACGACTCTCGTATACATGCCGCATTGCTCGCGGCAGTTGACCAATAATTTTCTCTACGCAAACTGGGGAGAGGGATTAAGCAATTGCATTCTGCTCGCTAATAGCTTCTCAGGGATAGTTGACAGTTGTTTGCACAGGGATGCACTGAATATGGCAGGTTACATATTGCGCATTCGACCTTATGTTACAGAAATTCAATTGGAAAATTCCTTTGAGTACGAGGAAGTTTTCAACGACCTTAGCATTCATATCTTTACCAAGCAAGATTTGCTTAAAACCCCGGCAGATTTCTGGAACTCTAGAGAGGAACCACAATATTTAAAAAAGGACGTCGAATTTATTGCAACTGCACGTTAATAAATAATATTCGACACGAATTATGTAATTATTTTCTCTGGTTCTTGTGGATTGATTTATAACATAAAACATAGACTTTTCCTGTTGTACGACTAATGACTTAATTCACTTTTAGAATACAGCAACAATGAATGGTAATATCAAAATTGTTCGTTCTCTCGTACGAGAAATTCGCAGAGTCTCGCAGAATAAGAGTACAAAAGAGAACGCAATGTTACAGTATATCATGGAACAAGCACATATTCATAAAGAGACGTCTCAAGTTTTGTGTAAAGCAAGAGAAGAATTGAAGAATTTAGCAGAGACGTATCTTTGTTATTTGAAATCTCAACAAACCTGTAAAGATATTCATAAACAATATGCTGGTAAAGGTGAACGTAGTATAAAAGAAACTGCAGATCTTGTAGGTTTTAAACTACCTCATGATCCAAAATAAAATGGATAGTAATATTTAAAGTATCATTAGCGATACAAGTATTCTCACCTGTCCATTTGCCTGTCTATTGTATTTCTGAAAAGATAATCTATAAGTGAAGATTTTAATTAAAGATTATCATACTAACACAAATCTGAATTTATTTTATATAGCACATTTCTTTGTACATCACTTATTTTCAAAAATATGAAATTGTACATGTATCATTGTAATAAATATATTTCTTTTAATTTTAATATTTAGGAATTATAGGTTGTACATTAGAATATTGGAAAATTGAATTATAATATAAAAATACAAAAATATATTTTTGTGGAAATAATACATGTGTTTTATCTTAATAATGACAATCATGATGTAATTTATACTTATATGCATCATAATTTTTAAAAAATTTATACTGATTACCGTTTAGGAATATTGTTTACGTATACATTTCGCAATAGTAGATAATTGCATATTACTTGTCCCTTCGTAAATAGTGCCAATTTTTGAATCTCGAAAATATTTTTCTTGTGGAAATTCTGTTGTAAATCCAACACCACCCATGAAATCAATGCACTTTGCAGTAACACGTAGCGCAGTTTCTACATAACATGATATGTTATTCTTTTGTTGAATTTATAAAAAAGAATTTGATAAATTACATACCAGATGCAACTAATTTGGCCATAGCCGCTTCTTTCATCACATCCTTTTTAGCATCTACCAATCGTGCCGCGTTATAAACGAGCAATCTAGCGCATTCGAGTTCGGTTGCAACTTGAGCTATTTGATGTTGCATCGACTGAACACAGATTTCACAAATTAGGAACAAATCGTTTCTTAAGTGACGATTTTTAATACAAAATAAACGAATTCTTATATACCTGGAATGAAAAAACATCATGTCCAAATTGTTTTCTTTCTAACGTATAGGGAATAGTCGCATCTAGACATCCTTGTGCTATACCGATCATCTGTGCACCAATTCCAACTCTGCCTTCGTTTAAGAATCCAGCAGCATATTTATATCCCTGTCCAAACTCGCCTAAGATATTTTTTTCAGGTACCTAAAGAATAAAAATATGAAAATAATATTGATTATATAATTAATTTTATGTATTTGTATTTGATAAGAGCAATATCTATATATTCACATATGTACATATATGCAAAGAGATTTAGTTTTATCTTTGATTATACATACTCTAACATTGTCGAAATGAATCATGCACGTTCCGGATGCTTTAATACCTAATTTATCCTCTGGTTTAGCAACTGATAAACCAGGCGTATCGCGATCCACGAAGAAAGTTGTGATACCGCGATAACCCTGTTTTAATTAATAGAATATTGCATCAGTTGATTTTCTAAGATTTTATGTAAATAATCATTTCATCTTTTTTGTATCAAATACATAAGGATCTGCTCACCGCGGAAGGATTCGCATTAGCAAAAACTAAAAAAACTCCTGCGATATCAGAATTTGAGATCCACATTTTCGTTCCATTGATAATGTAATCAGAACCGTCTTTTTTTGCTACAGTCTTAAGGGAAAAAGCATCTGATCCTGCTCCAGGTTCCGTTAAGCAAAAACTGCCAGCCTAAAAAAGGTATATTAAAAAAGAATTTTAAATTATTTTATTTCTTTAAATCTACATGTATCTACATGTACATCAGGGAAAATAATGTATATTTTCATAATGTAAATGTGTATCGATAACAGCTTACGTAATTTTGTGCTAATTTAGGCAAATAGGTTTGCTTTTGATCCTCGGATGCAACTTTAATGATGAGCGAATTTACCAATGTATTATGTATGTCGACAAGAGCCGCTATAGCTCCATCGACTTTAGCAACTTCTTCGACGGTCAAAATAGTACTCATAAAATTGCAACCTGCGCCACCGTAATCTGTTGGAATTTCGAGACCCATTAACTGAAATTGGCAAAATTTCAGGTATTAAAATATAATATTTTTTTATTTAACATAGTAAAATATTAAAAAGATTGCGTTATATACGCAAAATAAAAAAAATTGACATATTTTATTATTAGACATTATGAAATTTTATAAATAATTTTTTCTCCTAGCGTGAGAGAGAGGGAGAGTAGTAAATAAAAAATATTCAAGATTTATTTACATATAAATTACTATTCAAATTTTGACTACATTCTGTAGCAAATGTAATTAACATGTATATTGTAAAAAAAATGGAAACTTACACATCACGAGATTTTTATATCTTATTACAAACACAAAGATAAGAAAAAAACAAGAATACTTTTCCTCATTGCTGCACAAAAGACAAATTTTTTTTATCGTTTTACATATGTATTGTGTATAAATATCGTGTAAAAATATCTTTACATGATATGCGTGCAGACTGCAAGATAAAAAATATCTTTAGTCTTTATAGTTTGTAATGAAAATATATATCTTCTTTCTTTATCTTTTCCAATTTGTTAATTTAGCGTATAAAATACGTGAGATATTCGGCATTATCACATTTATGGAATAGATCTCGCAATTGCTACCAGATAGATACAATATTTTGATTAAAAACTTGAATATATATATTTTTTTATCGAAACTTGCAATATACGACTAATTAATAGATTTTGCGAAATTCATCAGTATCATAAAATGTGTCGATTTTGTCGATCAAATTGTGTCAATATATTTTATAAGTGTAAAAAATTATTAAAAGAATATGAATTATATAAAATGTGTGCGAGAGAAAGAGAGATAGCTTTTTATTTCAAAATATTTGTCAATGCAAGATTAATATCTGGGAAATTTAATTTGTTGTTAATTTCGTTTCGATTTTGCTTATGTAATTTCAATATTATTTCTTCCTATTTCTTTTTTATTGGTGATTAAGAAATTATCTCGTGATAAATGCTTTTGATACACACAAGCGACAAGGCCGATTGTTTGTACAAATGCTATATCACTTTCAATGACTTTGATACATTCGTTGTTACTTCATTTTTTACTTCCTTTATCTTTTGATGTACACTCAGTATATTACATGCTGTTCCTTATTTAAATACGAACACATTTTATTTTTATATATTTGAAAAAGCAAAAATTCTTTTTTTTAATTGTACTTTTATATGTATAACTATAATAAATATATAAATAATATAAATGTGTGAATGTATAAATAAAAACAACATAAAAATATAAGTTATATACTTATAAGTCTCTCATAAATATGTAGATATGTACTCTCTCTAAATATGATTGAAATAAACAGATTTAAATATTATTAATCTCTCGATTTAATAACACAAATTGATTGAGAAATGGTAAAGACATTTTTTATATACACACATTCGATTTAAAAGTTTAACTCGATCTAAAATTCAAAAATTGTTTCGAAAAAACTTACGCCGTTCTCGAAAAGCGTTTTCAGGACATAATCATCTATTTTCCCCTCCTTTTCCATTTTTTTCACGTGTGGAGCAATTTCCTCTTTTGCTAGTTTAGCGACTGAGAAATATAAATATACGATATTAGTTTATAAGTTCCATCGATGTCGCAATAAATAGACTTGCAAATCGACTAGCTTGTTTATTGTCATTTTGTAAATTGTACAATCTTGATGAAAAAATATTCTTACCAGTTTCTTTCATCATTAATTCGTCATCGGTAAACTCCGTCAAAGGAGCTGGACAGTGATCTAATCTTGATGTACACAAATGTACTCCTCGCGTTTGCATCAATTTTTTTGGCATCTATAAAATGCATATATTATACAGAATACGTATATATATATATATATCAGTATATCACATAGTTATCAGTATATTTTTCAATATAAGAGGTAACAAGAAATATGTATTTTTTAATAACAAATATGTTTCGTATATGCTAAAAAAATAAAATATATATATACATATATATACATATATATATTTTTTTGCATATACGAAGCATATGTATATATATTTGTTACTAAAATTTTATATTTCTTGTTCTTCTTATATTAAAAAATATGAATGATAAATATGTGCGTGCAGAAAATAGACAAGCCTAATTTATCAACTGTAATTGTAGTCTATCAGTCATTTAATAGTAGAACATGATATTGCACAAACATTCAGTTACATACAGAATATTTTCAACAAAATAGTAAAACTGATAGTACGTAGAAAAGTAAAATTGTTATGACTAATAAAATTATAATTAGTAATTTATCTTGAAGTAAAATATGATATCACACAAATATATTAATTATATGTTAATATCATATTATAGATTTTATAGATATTATATTTTACTTCAAGATAAATTACTAATTATAATTTTATTAGTTTAATATTAATTTTATTGTTTCATAACAATTTTACTTTTCTGCATACTATCAGTTTTACTATTTTGTTGAAAATATTCTGTATGTAACTGAATATTTGTACAGTACCATGTTCTACTATTAAATGACTGATAGACTACAATTACAATTGATAGATTAGGCTTATGTATTTTCTGCACGCACATATTTATCATTTATATATACAGGGTGTCCCATTTTAATGCCCCACCCCAAATAACTTTCTTATTTTTAATTTTAGAAAAAGATGTTTCAGACAAAAGTTGTATGGTTTCAAGGGGGACATAAGGTGGTGTCATTAGTTTGACCTTGAAGAGTCACATGAAGATTACGTGAAGGTCATTTTGAATTTCTTAAATGGAACACCCTATATATTTTTGCATATTCTTGTAGCTTATCTCGAGAGCTTTCCAAAACACTATAAATAAACATTTTTTCATCAAGTACTTTTCGAGTTATGAGGCTTGAAATCATTTCTTAATTTTACATAAACCATAAAATATCTTGTAAAATATTCATTTTTCGATTATTTTACCTTAATACTTTTATGTACAAAATAATGAGAGAAATCAATTGGTGTAAAGAAAACATACAGTTATTTTTAAGAAAAAATATGTAATTTGCAATTAACAATTTCATATTTTTTCTTAAAAACAACTGTATGTTTTCTTTACACCAATTGATTCCTCTCATTATTTTGTACATAAAAGTATGAAGGTAAGATAATCGAAAAATGAATATTTTACAAGATATTTTATGGTTTATGTAAAATTAAGAAATGATTTCAAGCCTCATAACTCGAAAAGTACTTGATGAAAAAATGTTTATTTATAGTGTTTTGGAAAGCTCTCGAGATAAGCTACAAGAATATGCAAAAATATATAGGGTGTTCCATTTAAGAAATTCAAAATGACCTTCACGTAATCTTCATGTGACTCTTCAAGGTCAAACTAATGACACCACCTTATGTCCCCCTTGAAACCATACAACTTTTGTCTGAAACATCTTTTTCTAAAATTAAAAATAAGAAAGTTATTTGGGGTGGGGCATTAAAATGGGACACCCTGTATATATATATATATATATGAATGATAAATATGTGCGTACAGAAAATACATATATATATATATATATATATATATATATATATATATATAAATTCAGCAAAGCATAACAAAAAGAAGAAAAGAAAAATAGATAATTTATGCTCACGTACTTCACGGAAGATTGATCTGAATATGGACGCGTTCATGTTTGTATGTTCCTTGGATTGCTGTTCAAAGATACGTTCGACGATGCTGACAGTCCGCAAGCTAAACTAACACTGACTAGGATCATTTGTGCGGGTCGGTTTTTTGTCGCTCCGAACCGATCAAGAGAAGCCGAGCTAGATTGTGCCTTCATACAAAACAGGTTGTTGCGTAATAAAAAATTAAGAAGTTAATCACGTCAAACCAGCTGCAGTGCTCCGACAGTATGCTTGGAGTATTTGTTACGTCTTTCTGGTTTATTATATGCGCCCGCAACAATTGATCTTTATCGATTCGTATTTGCTGTTTAATCTTATCATTGAGGACACCATTTTTCCAAGATACATGCGTATATGTGTGTATTCAACATTGTAGTGTAAGAGATAGTGTATTCTAATTTACATCAAAAGAGAATTTTTTGTACTTGATAAACTTGTTTTGTTATGTTTTTACGAATTGTGAAATTTTGTTATCGCAATGTTTGCGTCATCGACAATAACTCAATAGTTTTGTGTACAGAACTTTTTCTATCTAGAATTTAATAATTGTTGATGTTGATATTATTGTAGATTAATTATCGTAGATAATAATTATTGTATATTAATTATTATACTCGAGAATCGATCGACAAATTATTTTTTTGAAAATTTTTTTCTGAAATCATTTTTTGAAAATTTATACTAAACGAAATATCAATATATTTAATTTACTAGAACCGTGGTCCAAATAATTATTACATATTTGTGTAATTTTCAGGCGCGTATCTTTTTAATTGATTTTTTGAAAATAAAATTGTATGTACAGATAATATATACAAATGATATCTGACTATATTAATTATACGATTTTGATTAAAGGCAGATTAAAAATAAAGAAAGATGAAAGTTGGATTGATTTTACAATCATATATTTATTCGTTTTTATATGTTTTTCCTGAAATACATATAAAAATATTAATTTATGTGTTATATTTTATAGTACTATAATAAATTAATATTTTTTTTATAGTGCTATTAATAGTGTTAACATAAAAAATATGTGCAATGTATATTTATCATATATGTATATCATTACTCGACGTTTAGATAACATCCTTCTCTAAAAAAGACATGTTATTGACATTGTTGCCTCTTTTCCACGATGATTGGTTATTGGTCGTCAATAATAATTTGCTGACTTCATTCGTGTCGTTTGACAGTTTGACAGTTTGACAGGTTGACTATTACGTTAAGGAAAGAAGAAATATAAAATAAATTAAAATTAAAGAGAAAAAAAGTGGAAGAAGCGGAAAAATAAATAGAGAAAAAGCATTATATATATATATAGAGAGAGAGAGGAGGGAGGGAGAAAGAGAGGAAGAAAGAGAGGAAGAGAGATAGAAAGGAAGGAAAAGGGAGAAATAAGAGAGAGAAAGAATAAAATAATAAGGAGGAAAATTAAAAGGAAAAGAATGAAAGCTAAATTATTAAGAAAGTAGCGAAAAGAAGAAAGATGAGAAAAAGAAATATATATAGTTATATATATATATATATATATATATATATATATATATATATAGTTGTTCAATTTTATTAATATTATTTAATATTATTAAATTGAATTATATAATATTAAGTATAAGTATATTGGAATATAGATTATATATATATATATATATATATATATATATCTTGAATATTTAAATATTTGAATATTTTATTTTTTTCATGTAATAGCTCAATAGCGCGCGCCTGTGTTGTTCTAGTATTAAAAAATAATCGTGTGATTCGACATCACACCATTATTTAATAAATCACACACATATATACATATATAAAAATGAATTTTCACGAAATGTAACCAAAAGGATTTGAAGATTTTTATACATATTATTATTTTTTTTAATTATTTTAGTGTAGCACTCGCCCTCAAAATTTATAAAAAATGTTTTAGTTACATTCTGTATATATATTATGTACTTTTTATATTATATTTTATAAATGTATTTTGTATATATGTATTTTTTATATTATATCGCAAGTATATTATAAAATAATTTTTTTATAGCCAGGTAGATGTAACAAATGTACATCTCAATTGAAATAATTTTTCGGATATCAATTTTTCTCTCTCTCTACATCGATTAATTTACAAAGCTGGCGATTAATCCACTATAACAATTATGGTCTAAAAATCACTTTTATATCTTTCGATATCTTTTTCTTTTTTCAAAAAGGACATCGAACAAAGGACAAACATGATATGGATATTCATGACAAATATTTACCAAGCCAAAAAAATATTGGCAATCCTGTTCGCGAATGTGGGCAACCGACGACAGGTGGCGCCAATCGTAGAGATCGCGACTCGTTTACTCGAGCGGCCACCTAACGTACCTATCGCAGTTGATTCATGGACCATTGTCGAGATACGCGCGGCGTTTACCTGGAAAGTGTCCAGTGAGCAGTCACCAGTCGGTCGGTTTCTCGAGGATCGCGACGACGTCGCGATCGATTCCGCGTGTACGTCGTGCAAGACGAAGACCCGGGACCTCAGCTATGCGAGCTTTCGCGGATCTCGGGGACACGAGACGCGCGTAAAAACGGACGTGTGTTTCGACGAGAGATCGCGCTTTCCGACGCCGGATCCGAGCATCGAGCCAGGACGATCGGGCCAAGTGCGGTTTATCAATGAGCGGACAATAGATACACATTCGGACAGAGTCGGGAGTCGACGCGGGAGATCGGCAGCGTGAGGCCAGGCCCTGGAACGTCGTGTCAGGCGGCAGAGACGGAGGCGGCGGGTGTAGAGGCGGAGGCGGAGGCGGGGAAGCTGTTCATCGAACGGAACAGCCGCGCGCGCGGTGCGATACGGACGGCCGAGCTGTTGTACGGTTCGTGAAACGGCCACGGGCATATCTCGAAGAGGGAGGAGGAGGAAGCGGCTGGCGACGGCGATCCCTTTAGATAGGTACGTTGAGATATCGAGTTAGCCTTAACGTCCTCTCCGTTATCCTTCCACTTCCGTGGACCGACGAATCTCTCCAACGGCGATCCAATTTCGAGCCCTCGCCCTCGTGAGTCCTCGTCGCTCGTTATCGTAGCGTTTCGTTGCCGTTCGTTTCTCTCGTTCGCGCCGATAATGAATGACGTCGCGCGAGGGGTGTGTCGTCAAATGCTTGATGCTACTGCCGTTGGGCGCGATTCCGGTGCCACGCGACCGACTCTCCGGTCGCTGTCATTGTGTCGTCGTCAGGCGCGGACGGCCCGAGCGGCGACGCCCGACCCCGACGACGAGCTCCATCCCCGCGTCCCTCGGCCGAGGAATCGGCGGTCGAAATCTAAATTCGCTCCCCCCGAAATGTCGCCATTTGCATCGTCCTCCGTGGCACGAGCTACCCCGTGATACCTCTGCGCCCATCTCGAGTTCTCTCCTCTACAAGCGGACGTTTTTGTCGTTTCCATCGACGCTCGGCTTCGAGCGTTCCGCTTGGCTAATTAAGTGGACTCGCGCTCGCTCGAATTTTACTTGTCCCATATTCGAGATCGAAGACAACTCGTGCATTATTAATATCGGAAATTATTTTACAATCAATCTCCAATAGAATTCCAATTAATTGAGCGATCGCGGATAAAGACATTGACGAGTTGTCTTCGCGTTTCCATAATTTCGCGACCTTTCCGCAAAGGTCAATGCGATAACTCGAGACAATCCGCTTTAATCGAGCGTCCTCCGTAAAAAAAAAAAAAGAAAAGAAATACCGTCTGAGAGAAACGATGAAATACGAGTATCGTGCACGCGACATAAAGATACGAGAGCAATATATATATAATTTAGCGAGGGTTCAACAGTCGACGTTGTATATAATCGATCCTTTATTGTCTCCCTTCATCATTTTCGTTCCTTATAATTGATAGCGATTCTAGAATGCGCGCCCGTCCGCTACGACGAGCGTAATCTGTGATTAGCCATGACGTCATTGCGTAAAGTGTCCGTCGTCGTTGCCGGTCGGACGCGCGACGATGGTAATCCTCGTTTACGTGCTCCTTTTGGCGCATGATGTCAGTATTGACGCGAGTAAGGGAGAAAAAGAAATGTTTACGCAACGCACGAACGTAAAGTTCCCGGTTTTTTAATTGACAATCAACAAATTTATATGATCGCGATATAGTATATATATATTTTCGATGACTCATCGCTCGCTCTTACCACGCACGATATAGGTATTCGCTTACGATACCGTTTGTCCTATGTCAATAACCCACGAATCGGACGAAATTAAAGAGCGATCGATCGATGAATTGTGAGGCTGGTAGTTGACGTTATGATATAAAAATTCGAGAGGTAGAGTCCGGTCGGATCTTCGGGCCAAAAATCCTGTACTTTACGGATTCGTAAACAAGTGCGATCTACAAGCACGTGCGCAGGTGCACACGCACGTACGCACGCACTTGATGCACTTGATGCACTTAATGCATGCACGCACGTAGTGCGATTCTATAGTTACGGGCCAGGTTGCGTAAGGGGGCTGATCGTCATCGCATCACACGGGTCCCCGCGTTAGATGCAGCACTACAGAGTAATATAGTTTGTTTTCAACCTTTCTCCTTTATTTTTATCGCGTTAATTAGGGTACCGTTAAATATAAATAAAAAAAAATATCGGATAAAGAAACCAGAATATCTACTTTCTAGAGAAACGTGGAAACTTGGAATTTTCAGGAATTTCTCTTTTGGGGAAATTAGGAAATTTCTCTTTAATAATGCTTTTATAATGCTTTTCGTAAATAAGCAAAAAATCCGATAAGCAAAAAATTAATTGTGTTTAAAAAAAAATATATATATATATATATATTTATTTATTTATTTATTTATTTATTTTCGTCTATATATGTCTATTCAATGTCTTAACAAAATATTGAACATGCAGTGCACATTTTTTTATCGCAATTTTTTGCGGTGAAGAAGAGCGCACATTCTTTCTATGGTAATTTTTAGCGATAAAGAAAAAATGAAAATGTTAAACGAGCGAAAAAAATATTACGAAAGCTGTTCAGTTTTTTTCAGTACACTTGCAAATCTAGCGCTTGAAACTTGAGTGGATTTGTGTTTTTTCTTCGTACAAGTGAAAAGCATTAGAAAATGTATATAGAAATTTATTTTAGAGAAAGTGGCACGAGGAAATATTCTCTTTATCTAAAATTTTGAACAAAAATGGAAGAATAATTCGAGAGTTTTTTTTCACAAGATTCGAGCAGACACCCTAGATTCACAACAAAACTATTGAACCGATATCAAATATTGATTCGTATTTCATTAATTATTTATATATCCGCAAGATACTTTCTCGGTGCTATTTAAGACGAACGTGAGATATGTAAAAGTAAGAGAGAAAAATTTGCCAACAAAAGATGTATCCGACTCCGTCCCTGGCCTTTCTCTATTTTAAGACGAGGACTCGCGCCAGGAAACGAAGGCAGCGAATCTCTGTCTGTGCGATCGCTTTCATTCAGTTCGCGGAATGGTCCACTTTGTCTCGTTACCGTTAAGATAAGCGCCTCGGGACCGCATGCAACCCCAAAAGGATGTAATCGAGACGTTTTGACGTAGACGAACATACATCGTTGTGTCAAAGTTCATGGCAAATTAGAAAATTTCGAGATATAATTGTGCGGCACGAGAGATCGATCGAAACTAGAACTCGATAATCACCAATGCAGTTGCCCCAATGATTCATGAAAATTCATATCTTCGTTTGCTCGAAAAATCGAGGGCGAGCATTTATTGTCCTCAATTAAGTTTCTTTGTTAACGTAACTCTTTTTCTCTCTCTCTCTTTTTCTCTTTTTCTTTCTCTCTCTCTCTCTCTCTCTCTCTCTCTCTCTCTTTCTACTCTTGATATTGACCACTTCATCGATACCATGGGCAAAATATTACGGCACTGTATTACATTGTACATCAACGAAGCAGCGCGCGTATACGAGGGACTTAAACGAAGCCACTTATGCCAAATACCTAAACCCCTTAACGTTAATTACCGTCAATTTGCACACCGAGCCATCATTGACAGCAGCTATTATATATTTTTGCGAGCGATGTTTCCGTACTGGATTCGGCAATGTATCGAAAGTATATAATGCATTAGCTTGACTGATGCGAGAGCGAATTCTCCCTGGCAAGGTTTCAAACATTAATACGCTGCGAATACTCTGCGTTATTTTCGTATTAGGTATAAATTGTTTGCAGGCATACGGAAGCTTATATTAATTGTATAGATGAAAATAATACATACATAATATAACGATGAGATAATCGACGAACATAGTACGTGAAACGAGTATCAGCCTTGGTCTGCCTTTTATTCTCGCGAAATACTTAAGAAACGCGTTAAGAAAATTTATTAATTATTATATTTGTTTATATTCATTTATAATATAATTATTAATTATTATATTTATTTATAATATAATTATTAATTATTATTATTTATTTATTATTAATTATAAATTATTTATTAATGTTTATTGTTATATTTATTAGCGATTATTAATTATTATCTCAAGAGATTTTCAATATAAAATTTTCACGAAACGTACATAAAGTTTGACAATATGTTATATAGATTGTGCGTTTTACGCGCTTGCGTGCGGTTAACTATGTATTCTCTTCTTTTTTTGTGCGTGTAACAACGGAAGTGCAGACGCATGACGCACGTTTTCCGGTGCAGTAATAATCGCAAGTTTAATCGGCGGATCAAACTCATTGGAAAGTTCATCCATCGGTGGTTTTTGTCGATAATCATCGTAACGTTGATTTTAAAAGCGTGACGTTTGCTGGTAAAAATGAAAAAAGCAAACACATTTTTTCAAAGGTGTATATATTATGTATTAAAATGTTCGTGTGAGATTGCGATATAATACTTGCTTATGCAAGCGAAGGATTTAGCGTGGGATTCGGCCGGTGGCGAGGGAAATGCGGCGTGAAAAGGTGAAAAGCGGATGCCGTAGGATAAAGATTGTATGTAGCCGAGTATACGAGAGCATTGCGTGTCCGATGCACCGGTACTTGACGTAAGGAAAGCCAAGCGGTGAACGACCGGTGACACAGATCCGAGTTAAGCAAACGCTAACTGAGTAACATAGTCATTGAACATTTTATTTTATATATATATATATATATATATATATATATATATATATATAAAATTTTTTCGAATGGGGGATATAATATATATGACGTGGTATAATAAATAAACAAATATTCCCCTTATTTTTAAATTTAATAGAAAATTGAAAAACTCCCCTGAAAGGTTGCGGCTAAATAAAAGGATGTCGTAACGCAAACGCGGTTCGTTGCACGCACACGATTCCTGGTAGGGCCCCGCAACTTTATTGATCGCACACCGGTAAGGTGTCCATACCTCGTATTGGATTCAGGAGAAACGAGCGAAAAATTTCGCTTACACGTTTGACAGATCGTTCAGCTATACTTCTTTATCTTTGTTATTTCTTTTTTTATTTTTATCATTTTTTTTCATCATTCTGCTTTATTCTCGTAATAAATATGTCGAGAAATTTTCCGATTACATACAATGAGATATATCTTGTCCATCGCGACTCTTAATATTGATTGCATGATTTGAAATAAAAATATATCGGAGCAAAAAAAGATTATTTTTTTTTAATAGTGATATTGACAAATGATACTTTTCAGTTGCCGGTACTTGTACGAGGCACGAAAATGGCAGACACGAGTCAACAAGCATTGAGCGAACCACACACAAATGGTGTGGTGGACGGTTTGACGGAAGATGAAAAAAGCAAGATGAGACCCGCTGATATCGATGCGGTAAGTTTCGTCCAATAACGATTTTCTATCTGAATTTTTCCAGTACGGAAAAAACTCGAAAACAAGTGAATTAAACACGCAAATGTATACATTTTAAATGAGAGGATTTTATTTACAGGATATGAGAGAAATGGAGAGGAGAAAGAGGGTCGAGATGATGATGAACTCGCGAATTTTCCGAGAAGAGCTAGAACGTATAATCGAGACGCAGATGAAGGACGGTGCTGGACCTTCCGGTCTTTTGCAGCAGATCTCTGACATGATGGGTGCACAAGGAGCCCGATTCAACGGCAATGTGTTCAAAAGTTAGTCCCAGATTCTTTCAAGTTGTATTGTCGATTGTCTTCCTTTTCTTGCTTGCATTATCATACGGTTTATTCGAAAATATAGATTCAAATTGCGTCTTACCTATCAACGATATTCGCGGCGTGGAGAGCATGGGATACGCCAAAGGCGAAAAGTTGCTACGTTGCAAATTGGCAGCGGTGTTTAGATTGCTCGATCTGTATGGATGGACACAAGGCGTCGGCGGACAAATCACCGCTCGTCTTAATCAGGATCAGGAACACTTTTTAGTAAATCCTTACGGGCTACTTTATCATGAGGTCACCGCCTCGAGTCTGATTAAGGTGGACATGCAAGGCACGATTGTCGAGCAAGGGACGACGAACTTTGGCGTGCACGTTACAAGTTTCCAATTGCACTCGACAATACACGCCGCGAGACCTGATATCAAGTGTATTATTCATATTACTACTCCGTCCGTTACCGCTGTAAGTATGCTCCGTTTCGCATTTCATCATTCCTGACGATTTGTTTGTTTAGTATTGCATATTTTTATGCAACGATTGTGCGATATTACTTCAACATTAATGATTCAAATTTATTAGTTCTATTATTAGTTCTATTTTTCGAAAAGAATTAATACTAACACGTGCGTTATATTACATAGATCTCCTCCTTGAAATGTGGATTGCTACCGATCGGTCAAGAGAGCATAGTGATAGGCGAAGTGAGTACCCATCAATATATAGGAGGTTCCGTTGAACCGGAGGAACGGGAGAAGATTGCTAGAAACCTCGGACCGATCAATAAGGTTATGCTTTTGACGAATCGTGGTGCCCTTTGTTGTGGAGAAACTGTGGAAGAAGCATTCTTCAACGTTTACAATACCGTAGTCGCTTGCGAGACTCAACTGAAGCTAATGCCCGCTGGTGTAGATAATCTAAATCTTATCAGCGAGGAATCGAAGAAAGCTATATTTGAAGCTTCGCGAAAACCACCGATCCCTCAGCCGAGTTCAGTAGTAGAGTCATCTGCTCTTGCGGAAAAACTCGAGAAACGTTGGAGAATCGGCGGCGCCGAATTTGAAGCTCTTATGAGAATGCTCGATAATGCTGTAAGTTCAATTGTGATAATCATTCGACATTACAATTGTTCGACTATAACATCTTTCTGTCATGTCGCGTTATTTTATTTCAGGGATTCCGTACGGGTTACATATATAGAAATCCACTCGTAAAAGGAGAACCTCCAAAACCACGAAATGATGTTGAAGTTCCACCGGCTGTATCGTCCTTGGGGTATCTACTTGAAGAGGAAGAATTGTACAAGCAAGGGTAAGTTTCTTTTCTTTGATACGAGCAATATTTTGCTCCAACGATAGAGTAGTTAAAGTCGCATATTCAATTGATTTTCTTTTTCTTTTGATGCAGATTGTGGAAAGGTGGACGTAAAGGTACGGACCGATCCCGTTGGTTAAATTCGCCAAACGTTTACCAGAAAGTCGAGATCCTGGAAACTGGAACACCCGATCCTAAAAAGATCACCAAGGTAGAAGTCATTACTTTTGAGAATAAGACCGACTAATTAATTATTCACATTTTTGCGCGTATTCGCCTGACGCTAAATCTAATATAGACATTCTTATTTGGCAATATTAATATTGTAATCGCGTATTGTGGCTGCTAATCGAATTACGACTTGCGCAATGAAGGAGAAGGAGAGCTTTAAACGCGTCAAATATTAAATAATATAATATATTAATATATATATATATATATATAAAATAATTACGACATTGATGTACATGGAATCGTTTATAAGATTTATTTCTCTTAATTGAATTTGAAAATAGAATATTACTAGGCTTTTTTGTGATACAAAATTTCAACATTCGACATTATATTACAAATTCATTTTAATTGAATTTTGACGCTATTAAGATTTTTATATTCAAATTTTGTGTATCTTTTTACGAGATACACAATTTTTTTTTTAAACTAACATCTATATATGTTATATATTTATTATTATTACTATTTCGGAGCTTTTGTGAAATTAGTATAGCGATATCTAATTCTATTATCAATTTTTTGTTAATTTTTTTTATATCGGTAAATGATAACTTTATTTTACCGAATAATATTTGAGAGATATTTTTAGCGATGATTTGAGAAAGACAACGCGCATATCTATGGCCGTAAATAGATAGTATAACCTCGTACTCAATGCGATATTATGCACTGGTATTATCAGCACAGTTTTCAGTCAATTGAGAATTGCATTTTATCATGTTAATTGCATAATTTAATTTAATCTTTTCTCAATTTAATTTAGTTTAGTTTTATTATATAAATATATATGAGCAAATATATACATATATACATATATATGTTATGCTAAATAATCACGATTGTTTTTTTCTCGAATTTAATGCATTCCAACTCGTGCCATTAATCTGTATTGCTAATGTGTTAAAAATGATAATTTCTGTATTATATCAGTTTAATCGCAACAAGCATCTCCTAGAGTAAATAATATATCAAACATTTGTGATGTTTGTTATAATATATTGAAATATTTCACATTATAGTGATTATATTGCTCTTTAACTACAGATATAAATATAACTCTTGTTATCACAGAGGGATACTATATTTGACAACTGCTTATTAATGCGACGATATAAGGGATGACCAAAGTACAAATTTGGAACAAAAATTACATTTTCAAATCCTGTGTAGAAATAAACATGTGTATATATGTGTATGCACGTGTACGTGATTTATGTGTATAAATCTTGATCAGACTCATAATATTAACAAAAAGAAATTGTATTTATTATTTAATACAATTTTTAATTGCACAAATTTTCATATGCGATATAAATGTTTCACAATATGACAAATATAAATTAAAACCAATTGTTATTGGTGCATCCTTCAACTAATATATTAAAATGATAAAAGAGAGAGAGAGAGAGAAGTTAAAGCTTTCCATAATAACAAATATCAAATAATTTTATAATTTCATTAATTGTTGATTGAAATGTATTTTATTTTTCGATTGAAAGTATTTTATAGAGGCTGACAGTACAATCTTCTTTTCACTATACATTTGTATTTTGACAAAGTTTTATTGATACATAACTAAAAAAAATAACTCATTATAAATAACTCATAAATCATAAAAGAGCTCACTGAAAAAGTATTTAAAAAAAAAGATATTTCTGTTAAGAATGAAACGCGCAAATCGAAAGACTAGGGATGAGGGCGATTAACATTTTCGTAAACACAAATTATGAAACATCATGTTGAATTCCAGTCAATCGTTAGCATAAGTATATTTACATATAAGATATTAACGACTGTTCTTCTGTAGCCTCTTGATGTTTAAATAAAGTTATATGTGCTGTTTAAAGAAGATGATTAACTTTAATAAAACTTCAACTTTAATGGTATTTTATACTAGCATTATATTCATAGCCTATGATGCTACACTAATAACTTGGCGCCTTTCATAATATATTGCAAAGTTATATATTATCGCGCCTACATACGATATATCGATTGATGCTAATTTTATGATTTTGAGTTTATCTATTCTATTTATATACAGAATTATCCTCTAGCAAAAATGATCTTAAGGTGTAAATATTTTGTACACTTATAAATAGAGGCACAATAGGGTTTTGTGCCTTTTATCTCAATACTCTTTTCATGAGGCGAGAATAGAATGATTTATTTGTATCTCTTATTTAAAAAACGTTTATTTTAAACACTTTTTATCATAATATAAGTAGAATTTGTATAAAAACATATTAAGTGTTTGACGACTCTGTATGAATGTGTGCCTGATATCGTCTTCCTGGATAAGATCTCCCTGGCCTAATGACACTGATTCCACTGCATTTACAAAACCAGATCAAATGACCCTATGTGTTTCGCGGATTTTATTTATTCTATTTCCTTGAAATGTTACATGTATGTTAATAATATTATGTTTCTGAATTGTGTTGATTTTCGTGCAATATAATATATTGATTTTTATATGATTCGTATAAAGATAAATTATTACAAACATAAATAATTATAATGTAATATCATACTTGAAAGAGAGAGAGAATTTATTTCCCAGTTTAAAGCATACTCTGGAATAATATATTAAAGAGGATATATATATATATATATATATATATATATATATATATATATATATGCAGCAGGCACACATAGCATGCAAGAGTCTTTACTTATGTTAATATTATTATTTACAATGGTTTGAAGGGGGTCGACTAATGTTCTGGTTTTGTGTGCAGTGGGTGTCTGATGGATCTCCTACCCATAGCAGCACACCAGTGAAGATAGACGGTGCTCTTCAGTTTGTACCGAAAAATACCAATCCAAAGGAATTCAAACAAATACAACAGCAGGTAAGTGTTGCTAATTACATTAGCATTATATTTTCTTTGTTCTTGTTTTCTTATATCAGCGAATTTGCATAAATGGAACAGCTGGATACTTGCTTTTATCTCCCTGACAGATTAAAGATTATCGACGAGCAGAGAAGATATCGGCTGGTCCGCAATCCCACATACTGGAAGGTGTTTCATGGGAGGAAGCTAAAAAAATGCAGGTATGTCAATTTAACAAATTACTAAATCTTTGAATCGATTTAAATTTAAATGGACTTTTATTATATTTAATATTCATTATAAAATCATCAAAAAAAAGAGCATTTCCATTGAATAAGTCTTTTTAATTCAAACTTAAATGTATACCGTAATGTAAAATTTACAATTGCATTATAATAATATTTCTTTTATGTTTATAAGTTTTTCTGAAGAAGATACATATGTCTAATTTGTATACTTGTTGTTTTTATAAGGATGCAACAATTAGTGGTACTGCAGAACAAGTAGTTTTAGTAGGAGCCGCTAGTAAAGGTATTATACAACGTGGTTTTCAACACAATGCGATGGTCTACAAGACACCCTATGCCAAAAATCCCTTCGACGCGGTCACGGATCAAGAATTGGATCAATACAAGAGAGAGATCGAACGCAAACAGAAAGGAGATCCTTGTTAGTTTCATTCAATCACCAATCCAATCTCTTCTGTCTTTGCATGCATTCTATCTGTATCCTGTATCTTAGAATTATTGTGTAATCACCTAATGTTTACCAGACATTTATTGGAGCCATTAATATTACCTATTTTGTAAATAGACGATGAGTCACAATCAGAATCCGAGGCCTTGTCGTCCTTTAACATCAGTCGTGCGACGCATGAATCCAGCACTGCCAAGAGTCCTATTCAATCACCGGTTTCTGTTACTTCGGAAACGGAGGAGGAGAGTAGAGACGGTAAATTTATGTATTTTTAATTCACGACTCTCCATACATATACCACGGAATCTACCACATTTGACACACATGGAATCTACCACATTATATCTACCACTTTATAGTAATATATTTTTATTTTCTACGTTATTAACTACACTCGCTCGTATACTCCTTTGCTACAGAACCCCGAGTATTGCGAATAGAAACGAAACAAGTGCCTGTGCCGAGTCAACCCGAAGTCGTATTAAGTGATGGTAAGTCTTTCCCTTTTTTATTTTTATTTTACTCCAAGTGAAGTGTGTTTTTCTATTTGATCTGTGTAAATGATCAACGAAATGGTTAATGAAATGGAAAGAATATGTATTATGCGATACAAAGATATTTGCTTTAATTTAACCTGGACTTTTGCATGGCTAGCTTTTATTTGCGATAATTTGCATATGACACTCGCAGGTCTATGACCAATTTGTCACAAATAATTAAATTATAGCATGTTTGTATATAGTTACAATTGCACATGAGAGAACTACATAATTTTGCACGAGTTTATCGGTGTTTGTGTATTGATAAATATGTAATGATAAATCTCTCAATGCGATCATTTACAAAATGAATATGTCAGTATTTCACGACAATCACAGGTATTATGTATGTATTACATTTTCAAATATTACATTTGAAAATGACAATCGATTATGTCGAGCATTTTACTGATGAATGCATGTGAACGTATTTATTTTTGACGTGCAGTGAATGATGCTACTACAGAGTTCCTTAATGAGATGCGCTACAGAGCGATGGAGCAACAAAGTAGTTACAGAAGAGGTGAGTTTTATTTTATTCAGGGAAACGAGGGCTGAATTTGAAATTTTTCATCTGAAATATTTTTTTTCTTATGTATACTATTTACGACGGTAACTGAAGAAGTCTTATCTATATTGTATATTGCATTTGTAAAATAACAAGATGTGCAAGGCATGATTCTCTGCATGCGCGATTTTTATTATTATTAGAAAATAAATAACTCTAGATAAAGAAGTATAATTTATGATTGCGCATACTCGAAACCCGAGCCGCAGTAGAAGATAAGATTATCTTCAGTCTAATCTCGTACACAGTTTTTTATACGATTAAATTAATCTCACTCGGTTGCGTAAGATGCGTTTCATCCGGTATAGGACTACACCTCTTCCGGCATGAAATACGCTCCCTATCCGCAATTATAAACCGCATATATGTGTTTAAACTTGAATAAATATGTTTGTTTTAATTTTATTGCTAGAGATACGTATGCAAAGTTACCAAATTTGTCATGCTTTTGCCTACGTATGAGCCTCAAAAGCCCTCTCGTCTCCTTCCGCCACTCGAAATAACAATTAATGCTTGCATCAATAACCGAATCGTTCATATTAAAGCACTTTTTTTATTTGATTTTTCTCTTTATTTCTATGTGTGAAACGCTATAAAAATTCTTCAAACTCGCACGTATTTCTACTTAATTTAAGGTGTGGTTTGTTATCATTATTAGGTTTTTTTCTAAACAATAACGCGAAGATAATACAAAAAGAAGCCTTATCGATTTCTATATAAAACTCGAGATAATTTTTTTCTACAATTTTTCTAAAATTTTTCCTTCTTTTTATATAACACAAATGTATAATTACATGTAGTAATTACATATAGTAAAATAAATAACGGTGAGTAATAATTTTATTCAGGGTAGATCAATAAATAGCGTATTTTTGTGCAATTATAGCATAAATGCAAGTGTAAGAAAATAACGTAGAAAGAAAGTAAGTGTAACTCTTCGATTGTAGCGATAGCTAAAACTAAAGCACTAAGAATATCTATTTCGAGCGCAGCGTAAGCGACGATGAAGACTTCGCGGATAGAAAGTCCAAGTATCCGTGAACGTTCTCCGTTTCTTCAAAACGAGAAGGACGGGCACCGATCGATCGTTTGCCGGATCTATGTTTGAGACATATTTTTGGAGACGTAATTAATGCTTGCAGATTGCGAACTAGGCAGCAATTGCAGCAGCATGAGCAACGAGCGTGCGCAAGTGTACTATGGTCGACGATTTTCCGAATCTTTTTACGACAGCCTTCGTCTGGAGAATGTTAGAACTTCGATAATTGCCGAACGAAAGAAACCTCTTCTTGTTACACATTCAAAGACGTCCATTAGCAGGCAAAGTATGATGCAATCGAACGCGATCGTCGGGGACGAGAGTCTCGTAAGATCGCGCTACGAAGCGAGACGAAAATTTTTCGAGGATCTCGGACGTCAAAAGAATTTAACAACGGAATCGAAGACAGCAACGAGCGCGAATAAAGAGGAGAACGTATCTAAGCAATATTCCATGATGGATTCCACGAGTAAAAATTTGCATACTTATCCTGTAAAAGTATGCGATGCATATTTAACACAAAATGTAGATACGAGAGAATGCTTGAAAGTGAATGGCGAGACGCTTTCGGACATTATGGTGCATACGAAATGGGAAAATATTGCGCAACCAAATTTCGTTACAGTAGTTAACGTGAAGGAGACAGAACCGAGCTTTTGCGACAGCGCGTTTTGTACGAATGACGATTGTCAACTCGAGGAAACGATAATACATGAGAATCATGTAACGACGATTGATGAAAAGGATGCTTCTGTAAGAAGGGAATCTTTGAAAATTCAAGAAAGAGGCAACGATTATTTAAATTCGATTCAGGCAATGAATGAGGAACAGCAGCAACGTATATCAAAAACAATAATAAAAACGATGAAGGAGAACCGTAAGATGTTTCTACGTGATAACGACGACAACGAAGAAAACTCGCAACAGCTGAGCGATTTATCTTCCAACAATTGCAAGAAACATTCCACCAATCATGAATGCGATGAGGATAAAGAAGCACCGATGAATAAAGGAGTAAACGGTTGCGCGATCGAGTTAAAGAAACAAAGCATTTGTACATGGATCGAAAAATCCATGTGCGAAAATAATTGGCCGAATAACAAAATGGAAAACGACGATATATATGAATGTTATTGCGATGACATTACAAAAATCGTCGAGAGCATTGATTTAAATATCTCTTCATCAAGAACAGAGCTAGACGCGTTGCCCAACACGGACACTTGCGTCAAGTACAATCTAGACTCGACGAATATGAGTCTCATTTACAGTCTAACTCCACCAGCGGTCCAAGAGGAGAGTGGCAACGACGATACCTCACACGACTTGGCGGAACAATCGTCAGAGTGGCAATCTGATATAACGAGAAGCGACAATGATGCGTTAGACGATTACGTATGGATAGAACCAACGATGATTAAGGCAGAGTGTGTAAAATCTATTCAATGTCCGCAAGATCATAGACCAGTGTCGAGCAATGCTAGTAGTTTCGACTCAATGTCCGAGAGACATTCGGCGAGTGGGTCCGACATACTCGAGTTACCGAGTCGCACGATTCGCGAATTAAAGGATATCGACGGCGAAGTTTTTCATAATGGGATCAACGAGTCCGCTAACGAGATCATCGCCGATCTTAACGCAGCTCCTGATGAAGAAGCGCCATCGTCGAGTGACGCTCTACAAATTGCACAGCATATCCTCGCCGAGATTATCGAGTCTGTTTACATTCTGCTTTTCCTCGATTCTTCTATTTACGACCTCAACATCGCAAAAGAAGTCGTACGTCAATTTATCTACAGCTGTTGTTACGAATATTCTCTCGCAGAATTTGCCAATCAAACATCCATATCAGATATCTCGATGATCAACACCGATGTCGATAATATTTGTCGAAGAAAAGGCTTCTTGGAAAATTTGTCGCCGGATTTTGCCGGCTATAATAATGAAACGATACACGAGGATCCGGAATCTTCTGCCGTAATCGAGTTTTGTACCGTAGCCAAGGGGCCGCCGATCGAGAAACCGAGTGCTCTGGCATTAAACTTTCGCATTATCAAGGTCTCGCCGGACGTACATACCGATACATTGCCTGATGCTGCTCGGACATTTGACAGAAATTTGATTGATAACGATCGCGGTACCAAAACCGATAGGATCTTTGATAAAACGAGGTACAGCGAGAACATAATCGTGTCAAGGTCAGAGATAGAAACGTGGAAGCCATGCTGTTATTGCCAAGAGAGGGATGAAGACTCGACGAGAAATAAATTGAATTGTCTAACACCCATAATTGAGGAATTGGACGAGAATCTGCATGATTCTACATTTGTTTTAGAAAATTCCAATGAAGAATCGTCACGTCACCTGGAAACCCATCTTGTCGATGCTGTCGAAGAAAACAGTATAATAAATTCCGCGAAGAAATCTATTTCTCTAGACGATACCTACACGATATCCGAAGTTAGCTCCATCATTATCTCTGATAACGATGAGACAAGCGATGTTCAAGAACGCTGCGATATCTGGGACTCGTCTATAGATTGCATGTCTTATTCATACGACACTAAAGAATTTATACGCTTAGAAAAGGCTATCGCGGATAATTCGCAATTGAACACGTAGCTGACGCGTCTTCTTTTAGAAAATCATATTTTATTTTGATTCATTTAGTCAAATTACTAAACAATTTTTCTCAATTTTTTTGGGAAAAAGAAAGAACTTGAATGATTCATTCATCGATATGCACAATCGCATTGCAAGAGCAATTTTAAAACTTGTACGGTTATCCCAACTACATTAATCGATGAAGTAAATTTATTTTTAGCATTAATATTTAGATTTGAAGAGCATCTCTCTTATAATATTGAATAGTTTGTACAGTCAATCTTTCACTTTATACGCGCGTTTATTTAGTTTAATAACATATCAAGTTTTCCTACATTTTAAGCCGATAGAAAATAGATTTATTCTATCATAAAAATGACACGAGAAGAGAGTAAACGCGCAAACGTTAGATGTTAAGGAAAAAAGAAGATATTATTTCAATATTCGTTAATATTTCTCATTCATTATTTCTTGTTCTACAATTTTCTTTTCCTTTTTATCTTTTCTAATTTGATGAATCTCTTTATGTATGAACAAAGTACATTCCTAATGCGATCGACTTTAAACATATCTGAATAGGAAAAGAAAATTTTAACAATTTCTGCACGTGAATTAGAGCATTGATGAGAGCATTTATGAGAGTATTCTATTGTTTATGTAACTTATATTTATGTAACATTTCCTGAGATTCAGTTTCTTTTGCTTTTCCTTTTTCTCTTTTAGTCAAATTGTGACTTAAAGACGAATTAAAAGAGTTTTATTATTTAGTGTGATACAAGAGTTTTATTTTAATATTTTTGTTTATTTTCTCTTCAATCTTTTTGCAATGAGTTTAATCGATATTACATTGTGTTACACACTTACATTGCTTTCTACTAATGATATTCTACTAATGATATTGTATCTAAGTTAACTTAAATTACAAATGCTTGTATAATTCATATAATATCGTAATAGTTTTGCAGTTTGATGATATAAAAGTTTGCATAAAATAGTTTTTATAATTATATTTTTCTATACCCATCTTTATATATTTGAATCTATGTGTGTGCATTAATTCTCACCATTAACACCTGCTACTATTTTGGTGGTATACACGCATCCTGCAAGCTACGAATGATCGATGCTATTTGCTTGGACATTGATTTTTTATAACGAATTCAAGAACGAATACGCTTGGCAACAAACATCATTTCTCGAAAGGTAAGGTGCATCTATATGTGTGCGTGTGCGTGTATCTCTTTCTCTCGCTTTTTTTTAATTTTAAAATATAATGTCGTGCAATTTTCAGCTGCCCTAAGTTTGGTGTGATTGATATCAAGATCCCTTGGCTTACAAATTATTACAAAAAGATGTATTGGCTAGAGACTTGATCGCTACCTGATGAATTTAATTTAATTATCTTATTGTAATTTTGTAAGAATCTAAATTTCATATAATTCCATATTTGTGTTCTAGGAGAGAATACCGTAAATGGCGACCACTCAGACGCTCATCACAGTACTTTCTCACAAAGTAGCAAGGAGGTTTGTTGCACAATACTTTTAATATCAAAGTCACCGTACAATATTACTATACATCATATGCGGGGATATATTGCATTAATTTTTCACACGTTTTATTATGTATATATCTTATTCGATCTTAATTTTGAAATACTGATAAATATAAACATGTCTCTTATACACGGATAAATCACATTATTACGGAGAGAGAGTAAAAACGAGAAATTAATTATATTTCATTAGAGAAAAGAAATTAATCCTACTTTACATCATGTGATTTGAACAAAGCAAATATAAATCTCCGCATATGTATTACATTTGCTTTCACACATTTCACACATTACATTTCTCATTTATTCGTAAAAATTTGGGAACGCTGTTTTCACAGTAAAAAAATGAATAAGATATTTCTCGCTCTATAATAATAATAATTACAAAAATATACAGCGTATCCGATATCTAAGCGAATTATCGCTTTGTATTAATTTTTCATACTGCTCGTTCACAAGCATTAATAGCCGTTTCATAGATTCTCTTCTACAAACTTTTCTATTATGTCCTGGTTTGCATGCGATCAGATTATAATTGGCTAATAGAACGATTAGCGAGAAAATTCGACGCGCACTTATGCATGTGCATGCAGAAAGGTTTATGGTTACGGTTGGGACCTTCCGTGTTAAGGGTTCCATGTCGCAGGATGTGAGCGTTAGCGAGGAATCGCCAAAGAAGGAAAAGAAGAAGAAGAAGGGCCTTAGGACGCCTTCTTTCCTTAAAAAGAAGAAAGAAAAGAAGAAGTCGGTCGAGGCGTAGGTAGTCATAACTCAGGTAAGCGAGTTCAAGCCAATTGAACCCAAGTTCGATTTACTTTTCATTTCTTATTTCTTGAAGAGATATTTTAGATAGATCCTAAACAAATACATTTACGAATTTATCGAACGTTTTTCTTATAAGCGTTTGTATGCTTATGTTAGAGAGCGTTTTTTATAATCTACGATCTATAGATCGACCGAACGAGTTTCAAGCTTTTATCGCTGTAATGTTTTAATCGTTCGATTACTTTTCTGACGTTTATTTTTGAATATAATTTTTTTTTTAATGATTAAAAATTTTTTTTAATGATTAAAAATAATTTTGACAATTCGCTCGTTCGCTCGTTCAATCGATCATCTCAGTCTGCACTTTTCTCTCGAGGATGATTAGTTTATTAATCGAAGGTAGGAGAAGAAGCATCCCTTTTCTTTAAATTAGGTGCGCTAAATTTCATTTCGCATTCGATACAATACAAATCAGAAATCATGTTTCTTCAGATATAGAATTACATTCTCGAGCAAATATCTAGCAAGAATAGAGTTTCTCAAATATTAATGATTAACGAAACGCGCACAAAAAGAGAATTCGAATATTATTGACGCTGAATTAATCTATATTTGCAGACACTGCCACAAGCAAAAGCTTATCGTAAATAATAAAACGAAAATATATAAGTTTAAACTCAAGATCGAAGCGAGTTCGGTTTAAAATAAAGGACGAAACATTCGACGAGTAACGAAGCACAGACGAATAGCGAAGGAATGAAAAAAAAAAAAAAAAGAAGAAGGATACGAAAAATCGAAGCGGATGAGCAACAATCACAGCATCTTTCCAGGACTCAAGACTGCCATCGCATTACGTCTACGATAAGGAAACTATATTGTACTGTTAATGTTTTTACGTTTTTAATTTGTTAAGCGTCGCGCGCTAATGTATTTAATCCGCTATTTAATTTTGCCTCTCCTATCCCGTTTGTGTGTAACGCAATAAAGAGTTACATATGCATACTTTGCGACGAAGACAGATAGAGAGGCGTCATCATTGTCGTCTTCGTCATTTTATTCGCCGATATCGACAGTTGCCGTTGCCACCGTCCTTTTCCTGTTCATCGTCGATGTCATCGTTGTCGTAATCGTCATCGTCGTCGTTGCCGTCTCTCATCTTCATTCTTATTATCACAATTCATTATTATTATCACAATTATCATTATCATCATTCTCATCATCATCGTTATATCATTCTCGTTATCATTACCATCACTATTCTCATCGTCATCTTCGTTGTTGTCGACGTTGTTACTATTGTGGTCTCATCGTTGCTAATTTGCTTCTTTTTCTTTTATCTCAAAATTACTAGTTTCTATTCCTTCATTATAACTTTCATTAGCATCGGTAATTTTAGACTAGGAGGAAGATGTTTTATCTTTTTTTTTTCGCAAAACGAGGTATATAATAGAGTTTACGGCGCAAACTTTACGCGCGCGAATGTTAATTGGGAGATATATGAAACATATTTCGAAATTTTTATGGATTCCACTGGGCAATATGGTCAGCGTTATCGTAATAAAATTATAGAGATGCATGCGAAAGGCTGTGTTCTAAAAATTTAATGTTGGCATGCGAGAGAGAATGTTACGGGGATATCTTATGTTTGCAAAGGTGCAATTATGTTTCTATTAAAAACATCCCTGTCAATAGAATCGTCCTCGATGTCCCGAGTGTCCCGATTGGTGTATTCGTCTTCGTGATCGATATCCTGTGCAAAGTTAATTCGTGATCTTCTCGTTGATTACGAAACTTGTTTTTTAAAAAAACTATAGATTGCTGCTTACATCAACGTAACTTGATAAAATAGCATAATGCTGACAGTATCAAGAGCCCACGGCAATATTCATTGATTTATATCATATCAATTTTAAAAACGTGATCTCTCTTGAATAAATTTACATACATTCATTGAAAGATAATAAGGTATAAACATGGTAAACTTGAAATTGATCCTAAAGTGGAATCAAGACGTTTTCGTTCAAAGATTTTCAACAAATGCTTCTTTTATATCAGACTTGGACTTTGATCGAATTTTAATATTTCGAATCGAAATTTGTTATAACAAATATTTGTTGTATATATAGAAAGAGAGTTTGGAACGGTGTATGATTTTTTCCCTCGTTTCCTTTTTTTAAATAAGAAATTAATTGCTTACTGATTATTATGTAAAAATGTGTCCTTGTTTTGTGGTCGATTAGTCTTAGTATTCGAGAACTGTCAATTTTATTCTTTATCGTATTTACGGTAATTAAGTGATTATCCCTTTGATCTGCTTTGATCATTTGCGTGTTACTTGCGATTGAACGACAGTTTTTTAGAATAACTTCAACAAGTCATATTTAATCGGATCAAGTAAGAATATTTCTTTTCAGGATCTTGAAATATTTTTATATTATTAAACAAAATATTATAAAAAGCACTCAAAGTTACGATCAGAATAATTATTTTCTTCTCTATATTATTTTAGCTTGTTGAAGCTATCGAGGAGTTGTTGTTCAAATTTATAATTCGAGCACTAATGATTACGTTATTCATAATTGATCGCGATCACTTACAACGTATATTTTGTACAAATAAAATCGGCGTTAAACTATCTATATATGACATGTATAATAACGTACGATTATGTACAACTATGTATAATACGATTCGTATTATACATAGATCGAGAAATATAAGATAATAAAGATATAGTATATATTATTCTCCATCAGTGAGAAAGAGAGAGGAAGAGTATGTTTTGATTATAAATCATTCATGCTCGAAATGGCTAAAGATTAGACGAATAGATAACAAGAGAATGAAAGATATAATACACGCATATATACATGTATATATGCACGTTGCTTTAAAAGTTTTTATCAAGTTTTATGCCTGCGCGAAGTGGCAATATTGACGCTATGTTTTATTTTATATTGTTTTATCGAATCGTGAAATTAATGTGTTAACGACTATTATTTACCATCGCTATTATTTGGTCTTATTATAAAAAAAATATTATATTACTATTAATAGAGTATTATATTATTAAGGTCAACTCAATTATCATCGCTATCATTACATCTACAACAAATTGCGAGTTCGTGATTCAATTGAATTCATGTCACGTTTTCTTCTTCGGATAACGATTCATTGCGAGATCGTATGATTTTATACGCTGACTAGACATCTATGAAAAAATTCGCTCATTTTCCACTTTTTTCTCATTCTTCTCTTCCTATCCTTATAGTATTCGCGTATCATATAATGATTGATAATAACTGTACGATCGAAGACGTATATATTAATGCAATCTATTATATTGTAATGGTTGATATAATATATAAATCATATTACAAAATATACGAGAAAGTATTTTTAGATGTGTGCTTATATATACATCTCTTAATAGCGCTGTTTCTTCAAGCAATCGAGTGATATTATAACAAAGCGAATACGATCTCCTTATTGAAGATGTTATATATATCGCAAGATACGTAAAAGATCGAATCAGAAAATAAAGTTACCATAGTAATTTGTTTTGTGTTCCGTTGCAAGATTAGGCGGAAAAAAGCGATAAGAAAATAACTGATAACAGGCAAGAGCGCATGGTACAGATATTTGAAATACAAGAGTATACAGAAGAGTAGGAATCGCTAATCTTTAATATTCATCCGCAGCATCTCCCTCGCCATCGATGGAGTCCATACCGACTTCCTCGTAGTCCTTCTCCAAGGCGGCGAGATCCTCTCGCGCTTCCGAGAACTCGCCCTCTTCCATCCCCTCACCAACGTACCAGTGTACGAAGGCTCTCTTTGCGTACATGAGATCGAATTTGTGATCGAGCCGCGCCCAAGCCTCGGCGATCGCCGTCGTATTGGAGAGCATGCATACAGCACGCTGGACCTTGGCAAGATCCCCGCCAGGAACGACAGTCGGTGGCTGGTAATTGATGCCGACCTTGAATCCAGTGGGGCACCAATCGACGAATTGTATACTGCGCTTGGTCTTGATGGTCGCAATCGCCGCATTAACATCCTTCGGTACTACATCGCCTCTGTATAACATGCAGCAAGCCATGTATTTTCCGTGACGCGGGTCGCATTTAACCATCTGATTTGCTGGCTCAAAACATGCGTTTGTTATCTCGGCGACGGAGAGTTGTTCGTGATAGGCTTTTTCCGCGGAGATTACGGGGGCGTAGGTGACTAGAGGAAAATGAATCCTGGGATAGGGCACCAGATTTGTTTGAAATTCCGTCAGATCGACATTGAGTGCGCCGTCGAAGCGTAACGAAGCCGTGATCGAGGATACAATCTGACCGATCAATCGATTTAAATTGGTGTAGGTCGGTCGTTCAATGTCCAAATTACGTCTGCAAATGTCGTATATGGCCTCGTTGTCTACCATAAACGCACAGTCGGAGTGCTCGAGGGTGGTATGCGTCGTGAGGATTGAATTGTACGGTTCGACGACGGCTGTCGAGACCTGAGGCGCCGGATAAATCGCGAACTCCAGCTTCGATTTTTTACCATAATCGACCGATAGTCGTTCCATCAACAGGGACGTGAAACCGGAGCCAGTGCCACCGCCGAACGAATGGAAGATCAGAAAGCCTTGTAGTCCCGTGCATTGATCCGCCAGCTTGCGAACGCGATCCAGAACAAGGTCTACTATTTCTTTGCCAATCGTGTAGTGGCCACGCGCATAATTGTTAGCAGCATCCTCTTTGCCGGTGATCAATTGCTCCGGATGAAATAGTTGTCGATACGTGCCTGTGCGTACCTCATCTAAACGAAGATTTGAAAAGTTTCAATTTCGTTTTTTGTCTTAAATTATTCACAATAATAATAATAATATAATATTGTTATATATTTATCGCACTTACCCACGACAGTTGGTTCGAGATCGACGAAAACAGCTCGAGGTACATGCTTTCCAGCACCGGTTTCGCTAAAGAAGGTATTGAAACTGTCGTCACTGCCACCCAGGATCTTATCTGAGGGCATTTGTCCGTCAGGTTGAATGCCATGTTCCAAGCAATACAATTCCCAGCAAGCATTCCCGATTTGTACTCCGGCCTGTCCTACGTGGACGGATATGCACTCACGCTGTAAAAAAAATTACAAGATATATTGTAGCAGCATTTGAATTTGAGCTTCATTCATTTCTTTTTGTTAAAAGATTTTTTTTAACCGCTATCGAATAATGGAATATAATACGACGTATTATGTATGTACACTCCGCGACAACGATTCGTTCCGCGTCCCTCTCGCGGGGCAAGGGGAGCGTAGCCTCTAACCAATCAGCCACTGCCACGCTGCCGGCTGATTGGTCACTTCTACGCTCCCCTTGCCCCGCGAGAGAATGGCCCCGGAACGAATCGTTGTCGCGCAGTGTACATATATCTAGAATACTATACAGAGGAGTGAAATGTAAATAGAATGCAGCTGTTTGTCCCGAAAAAGCTCGGCAAAATTGTCGCGAGCTTTTTTTGCGTTGTTGCTAATTAAAGAAGCGCTAGACGGATCGTGACCTTGACCAGTTTATAAGAATATTAAATTGAGATTCTCTAAATTGAAACCTTTCTCTCTCTCTCTCTCTGAACAATATGATAATAAAAGTTGTATTTATTATGTTTCTTTTTTATAGAAAATATATAAACAATGGATTTTCTTACCATATTGAGAGACGTTTATCGAATTGCGCGACAAAAACTTCTTGCGTCAATCTCTACTAATGTATTTCCAATAGCCGTTTGAACGAAGCTGGCAATGGAGCTCCTTCGAACGATCTTAACTCACTGAACCGGGCAAACCGGAACGGCGGTCTTTTATAGCCTCGGTTTGTACCCGATTTACGCTTGTTGCTCCAAGAGCATACGCTGCCATCAATGACACTCGTCACGCTTCGCATCCGGTTACGTAGGAGTAGGATTACGCAATCACATTTGCAATTATAGTCATAATCATGCGAATGTTATAAAGTTCACTCACTTTTTTTGCATTATTTTGTAATTAACGATAGAATCCGCAAAAACATCGTTTACTGATTGTACGTGGCTTCTTTAGATATCTTTCGATCATTCTAATAATAATAATTCTGTAATATTTCTGCGTTTTTTGCATACGCATTGCGATTTTATTTATCTCTTATTTTGTACGTTTTCTGGAAAAAGCCATAAAGTGTAAACCAAAAAGATTGTCGCGAGTCTAAAACGATTTAAACGAGCAGGATAATTTTAGAGAACACTGTGCTGTAAATATCATAGAGAGTAATGAACTCTATAGCTATTAAACGTGTATGTGTTTCTGTTCTAGAATAACCAGTGTATTCTTATAATGTCTATTGTATCTCTTAATTATAACGAATCATTTTACAAAAAATAAAACAATATTGGACGCGACGCGAATCATCAGCAATCATCAGTAGCTAACTAGTATTCTTTTCGTATATAAAATGCTCTTGAAATATATTTTTTCCAAATACATATGTTTTTCAACTTGATATAGCTACTTTTACTGTGGGTGAATTGAAGTGGATGCATTGCCTATTTATTGTCGGTTCGATCGAGCGAAAAGGCGATAGCGAGACAACCTGGATGTAGGTGCAGCAGTATCCTTATAAGGCGGGGGAAACTGGCGACGTTCATATTTTCAATGGAGAGTAGGTCGTGGCGAGAATCATGTAACTTCCTGTAATCGTGTAATGAACCTTCGAACGAGCAGCCTATCACATTGTTATAGAGTGCGTATATTGCAACCTGGAACGTATTTTAATTTTTAGTTTTAATATTTTAAAATGCCGAAGATAATTATTTTTTTACACAAAATCATTCCTACTCGGACACCCAAGTGTGATTAATTACCGCCATATTGATTAATATTGATTAATATAATTGATCATGCATATTATTATGTTTGTAATACAACAATAATTGTTGATAATATGATAGCAACTTTGCAAATTGACTATCTGAGTCTATATAAATATTATATATTGTGATGATGAAAATAATTTATATTACAATCCTCCTTCCCTTCCATATTTGTATACACACATAGTAAGATATGTTAGCTCAATACTTCAAAATACTGTGTATTGTCCGAATGTTTTAACACAAATATTTTGTAAACGCTTCGAAAATGTTGTCTGAGAGAGATAATATAATTTTTTTAAACGATGTAAAATTATTTTATCAGAATTATATTACCCCGAATACTTGTTGAACTTGTTTTGCTAGGACAGTTTGATAATGTTATCAATGTTAACTACATATTGGAAATATTAGATGTTATTGAACATTGTGACAATGTCACGTTAATGATTTCTTGTTTATTGAATAGAAGCTAGACACTAATATCTTTTATACGTAAAATATTTGAGAGAAACATTTTTCCAAATACATAAACATCTCACTAACATCTGACATGTTCGCCATATGTGATGCACGTGATCGGCGTGGTGGGAATAAATTCAAACTATTTTGCAACAGTGGGTAAATTTGTATTCGAGAGATGTCGATAATCAAGTTTACGACCTTAACAGCATGCATGTTGATAATCAGTGCTAATGAATAGGTGTAGTCTAACCTGTAATCATCGACAGAGAAAAAATATATGTGTGTTTAGAATTTTAATATAATATAAACAAACATATATATATATATATATATATCCGATGTTGTAAAATCGAATAGGAAATTCTCTGTATCAGTCTAAGCTGAATCTAAATCTCAGTCACCGACTTCCATGGATTCCAATGATTTTATAGACATGCTGTAAAGGAATATATTGGATGTAATCCATCATCATTATTATTCTTTATTTTTAGTTTAAAGGACGGTGGAAAAAGAATTGTGTGCTAAAAGAATTTACGAAATATAACATTGCAGCGCGCTTAGATCATTACGCTGGCTGTCAGAAGTCGTCTCTTCGATGAAAAAGCAATGTCTGCTTTAATTTTCTACACTTTATTTTATCTTCTGATGTCCGGATGTATCGTCTATCCGCCAACGGAATTCGTCTCGGCGGGACTGACTGTGAAAGACATTTTCGCCAATTGGCTCGGTAGCGAGAATGAGCTTTTTATACAGTATCATATTAGAAGAAGCGTAGTTACATTACTCGTACACTCTATGCTTCCTTTAGGTAATGCACAGTTTTTTTTAACTTGGGTTTAATCGCCCTTGTTTCTGTCATTTTAAATTTTCACAGATTTGTGTATAACTTTTTCTCTTTTTTCTTTTACACAGGCTATATTTTAGGATTAATTTTCTTCGGTCATGTAGACGCCACAAAATTGTTCCTCGTCGGTGGAAATTTCTTTGGGCTATTAATTGCTTTTTGCTCTACGATTGGTCCACTTTATATATTAAATAAGGTCTTTGAATGGTCCTCGCACGATTGGGCCACGCATCCGATAGCACAAAATCTTTCTGTATACAGTAATAATAATATGTCGTGGACATCTGTCGCCTCTGATATCAATGTAGAATATCGAAGGTTTATTCAGAAGAAATATTCTTATCTATTAATGACTTTTAAATAGTATTATAAGTATCTGGATTTATTATTTAAAATAATACAATTTTATTTTAGAGTAGATAAAATTGTTATTGTCACAAGTAGTGTAACTCGTATTGTAGCAACGGACAATTGGATTATTAAGATTACACCTTATAAGTTGCAAGTGGCGCATCAAAGCGATGCAACTCTAATTGTGAATAAAAGCGATACACACTTAATGTCACCAACAACGAGAGATCAAGTTCAATTTATCAATATACAGGTATAACAATATTATATATAAATTAGCATTTAAATAGAATTTTATACACAATTTTGCAGGTGAAACCCACACGGGCAATGGCAGGAGCATTTGATATAAGATTAAATGCATTGGATTTTAAAGATTTGCAAGATAAAGTTTCGCGGCCAATTATTGTACTGCAAAATATAACGTTTCACAGAACTTTGCTCGATAGATTTATCGATACTTTCAAAGAGGAAGTTAATAGAAATCCAGCCTACGATACTACCCAGGTATCAAGTGACGTGATTGTTTTAGTTCAGTTATTTAAATTCTTCTCTTAAAACTCGTTTTTAATTATTGATTTGTACATGTATATATAAAGGAACTGGATCAATGCATTGGATGCATGCAAGCGTCTTCAAATATAAAATTGAACAGATTATGCAATGCCGAAAGTAGAGATTCTGACGGTTGTACAACATGTTACTGTCGTCCAATGTGGTGTATAGAATGTATGGCAAAATGGTTAATATCTTTTATTCCTATTATTTTCAATTATTCTTATTTGTGCTAAATCATATAGCTAAAGTATATTCTTAATAAACTTATTATTATTTAAGGTTTGCTTCGAGACAAGATGAGAATGCACCAGAAACATGGTTGTCCTCCAAATGTACTTGCCCTGTCTGTAGAGCAAAATTTTGTATTTTAGATGTATGTCACGTAAGAATTTTGAACCATTAATGTTTCAATATATTGGATTATTTTCATTAAACAAATTTTAATGTTATATCTTCTTTTGGAAATAATTTTCAACAGAATAACACATAAAATTAACAATTTCCATGTAGATTTATATAGATGTTTAGACTATATACATCTTGTTCATGCAGTAATGCTAATTACTAAAATGATAATTAAGAAAAAAAACATATATGCATATATGTATATATATTAACATGGTTTTTTATCATATGAAGATATGCATGTGTGTGAGCGTGCCTTTATATTTGTATCTATTTTTAGTATCAATTATCACACAATTAAATTATAATCTGCACTCAATTAATATGAATACAACTCGATGCTTCTGTAACATTAATAATTAGCAAAATCATTTGTTTCATTTTTTTTATCACAAAAAACTATTGCTAAAATATGAAAAGTTTAATGTACAATAAAATATTGTTATTTTGTTATTAATAAAAATACTCCTTGATCATAATATTTTATTATTAATTAATAAATACTTCTTGACCATATCTTATCAGAAATATATGAAAAATCGTTTACTAAATAATTCACCTCACATATTTCATTACACAACAATATTGTATACAATCTGTATATAATTGAAGATTATTTTATTTATGTATACAATAAACTAAAGCTATTAATGTATCATAAGTCTGGGTGCAATATTCATTGCCATGAGTTCCTGGAACAGCAACTTTGCTGCATATGGTAGTCTAATTTGGGAAATTTGTGTTTTGTTTTTACATCCTTTACATTCAAAAGTATTGTTTCGTAAATTCGCTATGGCAATCAAACCACAGAAATTACAAATATGAATTCGATACGGATCTGATACTTCAAAGAGACGCTCTCGCAGAAACTGTGCCGCACCGTGAGAAATTTGACAATCTCGTTCCATTTCTCCAAAACGAAGTCCTCCATCCCTATACAAATATATAGGCATATGAGTATTTATATACAACAGAAAAAATTATATTAGAGATTAATAATATGCGTAATTACCTCGCTCGTCCTTCCATAGGTTGTCTAACTAAAATTTGCACAGGTCCTCTCGCCCTACTGTGAATTTTATCGTCTACCATGTGCTTCAAACGTTGATAATACGTCGGTCCTAAAAAGACTTGCGCATTAATCTTGCGACCTGTGTGTCCATTGTACATAACTTCGTTTCCTCGCAACTGATAACCATATTCTTGTAAAAGCGTGGAGATCTTTTGCACATTTACAGCATCATTAAATGGGGTAGCATCACCAATCTCTCCTAAAAAATACACATTAGAAATAAATATATATAGATAATCTTATTTAAATTGAAATGAAAATTATATATTATTTTTAAGAATGAAAACTATATATTACCTTTATTAGCAGACACTTTTCCCTGTATGCACTCTATCAAGTGACCAATAGTCATACGAGAAGGGATAGCATGGGGGTTGATAATAATATCGGGAGTAAGTCCCTCGCATGAGAACGGCATATCTTCTTGTCTATATTGAATGCCGCATGTACCCTTTTGTCCGTGACGTGAGGCAAATTTGTCACCAATTTGTGGAATACGTACACTGCGTACTCGAATTTTGCAAAATTTATATCCTTCACTGTTCAATGTTAACATCACTTGATCGACTATGCCAGTCTCACTGTTTCGTAAGAAAGTTGAAGCATCTCGTTTTGTAAAACGTTTCGTTGTACTATCTAACTGAAAGTATAAACGAAAGAGATAAAATATCGTCTAATACCTCACTATCTTTATTAATTAAATAATACAATATTTGTTATTATAGAAGTCAATCAACTTACCTCGTCGTCTGTTTCTGGCAAAGTAATTGTTTTTCCTATAATTACATCATCGCCTGATACTCGAATACCAGGAGCAATGATTCCATCGTCGTCCAATTTATCATATATAGCGTTACGCATTCCTTGACAAGTTAAACGTGAAGGTTTTTCAAACTGTTCTTCCTGATCACCAATCTTTTTTGACTCGGCCTCTTTGTAAGAACGATAAAACACCGATCTAAAGAAACCTCTTTCGACAGCGCTCGCATTTAAAATAACGCTATCTTCTTGATTATATCCCGTATAACACAGGATTGCGACGATGCTATTGATACCCGCTGGTAATTCACGGAATCTAAGATATTCCATGGATCTCGTTGTAACCAGAGGTTTATGAGGATAATACAATACGTGAGCTAAAGTATCCATACGCACGTGAAAATTTGTAATATATACACCCATAGCTTGTTTACCCATAGCACTCTGAAAAATGATATAGCCGTTTTTATACTATATTTTGCAAACAGATGGAAAGGTAAAAGAAAAATGTATTTATAATAAATTAGATACCTGATAAGTATTTCTAGGACTTTGATTATGATCGGGGAATGGTATAATGGAAGCGCATACGCCCAAGATCATCGCTGGATGAATTTCACAGTGCGTATATGTTGTACAATATGCATATTCTTTGTCTTGTTTAAGGTCATCAGGCGACATGGCTATCATAACAGTTTCTTCTTCCAATGTGTCTATATATTCTACTACACCGCTACCTACTAATTCTTGCCACCTGTAACATGATATAATTAATGTGCATTTCCACAACAATTAAAGAAGCAAATGAATCATATCAAGCGCTTACCCGTCGTTATTATAATCTCTTTCTTTCAACATATCAATGTGTCTCTTTTTTAATAACAGATTCTGTCCCTCTACTATAAGCAAAGGTCTACTGATCCTGCCAGCATCAGTGTATATTCTTATCTCACGATCTCTGATATCACGAATCATGGATACTTCCGATACAATGATGTCCATTTGTCTTCTCAACTTGCGTAAAGTAGCCATTAATTGATCTGGATCTCTGTGAATGCCAACCCAGCATCCATTCACAAATATCTTCGTAGCATCGGCGATAGCACTCGGTGCTATCTCTTCGAGGTTCTCCATGGACCACTCCTCCAAGAACTCAAGAATAGGAGAAGGCTGTGAACCGACGCTTATGTACGCCATCAGAGCTAAATTTTTCACCAATCCTACAGCAGCACCCTCGGGAGTTTCCGCGGGGCAAAGCATACCCCACAATGTATTGTGTAATTGTCGTGGTTTGGCAAGTTTACCGTCTCTTCCAATAGGAGAGTTTACTCGTCTCAAGTGTGATAACGTCGATGCAAAAGTCAATCTATTCAATACTTGTGATACGCCCGCTCTTGCCTGATGCGCTTTCTTCTGATCACCCCAATTCCCCGTAGCGAGTGAATATCTTAAGCCATCGGTGATAATTTTCGTCTTAATGGCTAGTTCAAGATTAAAGTCTTTTCCACGATCTATAAATTTCTGTGCATACAAACGTACTTCTTTCATCAGATTTTTAAATAACCCACGAAATAGAAATGCCAGCAGAGGCCCGGCCAGATCCAATCTTTTATTGCCATAATGATCACGATCGTCTAATTCCCTTCGTCCTAGAGACGCTGATAATAATCTGTGTACCATGTAACCAAGGAAGTAAGCTTTTTTAGTTTCACAAAAATCGCTTATGCCAACATGCGGTAGCATCTCTTTCTGTAAAATTTCTCTGGCATATTTAATTCGTTTTTCTTTAGTTACACCCGGCTTGGCACCTCTTGTACCGATAAAATTCAAGGCAACATTTTGTTCCTGTATAACAAAAGCTTCGTCTAAAGATGGTTTTACCATTTCCATCATTTCTGGATCATCGAAATCGTAAATAATGTGTTCGAGGATGTCGCGGTCAGCTACAAATCCAAGAGCTCGGAAAACTACCATTATAGGTATCTCTTGCTTGATGTAGGGAATGATGGCGATGATGCGTTGACCAATCGCAGATTTTTTAATACTGGCACCACTCTTGGCCATCATATTAATCCATAAAGTTGAAGTAGGTCGCGAACTGTGTTCCAAACAAGACCTGATTTCCGCCTTGTAAGCATATTTACCATCTTTCATGCTGAATACATAAACAGTATTTGTCGCCATTTTCTCTTGTGCTATAAGAACCTTTTCTGAACCGTTAATAATGAAATATCCACCGGGATCTAACGGACATTCGTTTAATTCTGTTAAATCACGATCGGATAAGCCAGCGAGCAAGCAATATTTTGATCTTAACATAATTGGTATTTTGCCAATAAATGTTTTCTGATGCTGGGTCTCCACAGGGTCCTCGCCATCTTTTACAATGGTCTTAGTAATGTCTACATACAATGGTGCGGAATATGTTAAATTCCTCAGTCTGGCTTCATTAGGCATCATAGGAGATGGAGCACCATCTTTCTCCCAATGAGTCGGTTTGGATAAATAAATTTGTTCGAATTTCAATAAGTGCCTAACAGGATTTTCTATTTCGCCCGTAGTGTGTTGTGCTTCCGCTTGCAAATCAATTTGTGGTGAATCTTCTACTATGCGTTGAACAGACATTTCGATGAATTCATCAAAACTATCTAGTTGTTGCCGCACAAGTCCTTTTTCATCAAAATACGCATTAATAAGGATCCAACAGGCTTCTTGCCAAAGTTTCGACGAAATTTCTTCCGCATCTTCATCATCATATTGATCTAGATAGAAAAAGATTTTTTGATTTTTATGAATAAAAAAAATGGACTACAAATTAACCGGTAATTGCAAATGAACGAGGAAGCATTTATATATAAACGTTTCTTTTTTTTGAATTTTTTCTTCATCAATCATTTTATTATTTCTATTCACTTACCATCTTCGAGAGCAAATATATTGCTCATTTTCACTAAAAATATTGTCAACTGGTTCAATGAATATTCACACGAACGCTGACAATACGAAAGTTGAAAATACTGTTGATACCGAGCAGAAGTAGCAGAACGAAAAGAATCTGAAATTATAAAATACTATGAATAGAAGCTACTCATCAAATCCAGCGAAAACTCTTCTAACGCCCTCTGTAGAAGTCGATAGGATAATAGAGATCCTCCAATCAGAGTTGTACCATGAGGAGAGACTCCAATCAGGATTCATATCATTGGTCCCACTCTTCCACTCTTTGTCATGTGACCAATTTTCGTTCACTCGTATTTTAAAAATATGAGGCGCGTTCAGAAATCCTACCCGCATGGTAAAGTAACATCAAATCGACCAATCATGATAAAAGGAGCAAACATTTCTCGATCCCGATTGGTAGGTTAAGTATCACTCTACTTTACGAGTTTCTGAAGGCAGCCATGTGAGTCGAAAAGTAATCTCGCTTTTCAATTATTTTTTACTACACCATTTTCCTCTTGTGAACGAAAATTCATAAAAGATAAAAGAAAAAATGGAGTTTATGCATAATGACGATGTGCCATTTGATAGCCAAAAGGTATGAAGTATTCTTTGCAAATTTTACAAAAACATTTTTATACAATGTTTAGAACTGTACTTTTTAACGTGTATATTTTAGATCGAAACAGTACAACAGAGTATTGTAAAAAGTATAAATTCTCGGTTAAATCAAGCACGATCCGATGGTTTACTTCTGCTGGATAGACTTCTGCCTTGTTCTAAGGACACATTATCAAAATATGGTTTATTCTGGATAACTAATGCCATTAAAGTAGTGGAAAACATACATAGTAATATACAAGATTTAACACTGGCATGCAAAGTATTAGGTCCTCTAATTGAACATTGTAAGAATATCCCAGAATTACATAAACAGATTTCCACACGAATTATTAAACAGATTATAAATGCACTTAGTGCTTTACGAACAAATGCAAAATGTGGAGCGGTGTATTACTTAATAGCTGTTTTGCTATATCATTATCCTGAAGTTTGCGAACGGTTTCAGGTAACAAAATTCATCAAAATTTAATTAGCAGCTAAATATTTTATATATAAAATTTTTTGTGAATATTAAATTTATTAAATTAAACAGTTATAAATTTATAAAAATTAAAAATTATATATGAACATTTTAATATTTTCAGGAATTGATAAAAAAAATGATATTACTACAAATTGATTCAACTGATGACAATTTGGTTAATGCAAGTGCAAAATGCTATGTTCTTTTTTCTAAAGCAACAGAGCGTTCATTTAAATCAACAGAAGCTACACCTATGTATACCAGATTAATATATAACGAAATGTTGCTTTGTAATAATTTAAATGCTATAATGGATCAATTATTCCGTGAATTAATAGAGCTGAAAAAGAAAGATACAAAAAAGGATCTATTAGAATTACCATATATAACTGATAGGGAGTATAACAAACAGGAACAAAGATTTTCAAATTTGTGTATATATCTCTCCTCAATGTTACGGTATTAATCTTAAGTTTATATCACTAAATGATTATTTATATTTCAATATCATCCTATTAAATATAATTCTTGAAATATATAATTGATTTTTAATTACAGTGGATATGAAGCAAGAAATTCAGTTTTGCCTCAGAATATTTTACAGGTTTTAAGTCGGGGATTAATGATTACACCATTAAATTTGAAGACTAAAACTTCTGACGAACGGATGCTATACATAATCTTGCCAAAATTACATATTAGTTTGCTCACAGTTTTAGATGCACTGATAAATGGGTATAAAAGTTAAAATATATATTTATGTTGAATTAATTAACATGAACAGCATGATTTATAATATAAATGTGTGTTTCTCAGATTTGCACAGGAGTTGGTACCATTTGGAATAACAATATTAGAGTTATTCCAAACAGTATTACAATGGACAAATACTGATTTTAAAAATCAAATAACATTTAGCAATAGTAAACCTTTCAGAAGTGTAAAAATACAGGCTTACAAATGTCTCTGTTCATGGCTGATGAATACTAGTTCATTGTCGGGTATAGAGACAATCGCAAACGAATGTATTAATTCTATATTGAAGGATATAATACCAGAACGAGATCGTATATTATTAACTGTAAGTTTTAGATATGAATTAAACAATGTTTATAAATCTAATCGATACATTAAAGAATTATTAAAGAATCTATATATTATTCATAAACTATAAATTAATCATGTAATAATGTATATATATTTACTATAAACTATCTAATAAAAAATAATTTTATTATCTTCTGTTTAAGATGCACCAAAAAACGCCACAATTATCTAAACGGGCTATAAAACGTTTTAAACAAAGTCAATATGAAAATAGCACAGTTTTGAATAATGAAAAAGATTCTATTAAAAGTGGACATTTAGACCCAGATTTGTGCAAAGAGGCTCTTATTACTTTGTATAATATACTTTCCAGTGGTACAATATTATTAAAAGAAACGTTTTACAAGGTAAATTTATCTAAGTTTACTTTATTATTAACGAAACGGTTCTATGATATTTGATACTAATGATATTTGAATATCTCTTTTTTTAGAACGTTCTAAATACTGTGATACCTTTATTATACAACCTTTATTTAAATTCTTTTGAACAAAGCTTTTATAAAGAAAACCACAAATGTCGCTTGGAACTATTCAAAGTCTTAAAAGCTTTGCTAATGTATCCACATATTACGTTAGGATTTCCAATACAATATTGTCTAGAAATATCACATATGGCAGCTTATGATATTGATATAAACATCATTCAAGAAGCAAAACTTGCATTAGCTGAATTAGAAAAAATTATACATCCTGCTGCACCTACATTACAATTACCTCGACAACAGTAAATATCTCAAGTTTTATTTAATTTTATGTATTGTGCGTGAGTGTGTGTGTGTGTGTGTGTATATGTGTGTATAAGAGAGAAATTCTAAACAAAAATATATATTGTTAATTTGCAGGGAACCTGATAATGAATTTGTTTCTGAAAATCAAACAGAAGAAGTTGCTATTACTAGCAAGTCAGACAAAGGAAGTTGGGTTGAAGAAGATATTTCAGAAAATGTTTTTGAAAGTCAAGCAGAAGAAGTTGCTACTACTAGCAAGTCAGACAAAAGAAGTTGGGTTGAAGAAGATATTTCAGAAAATGTTTCTGAAAGTCAAGCAGAAGAAGTTGCTATTACTAGCAAGTCAGACAAAAGAAGTTGGACTGAAGAAGATCTTTCAGAAAATGATGTAACGTTATCTGTACATAAACGACCAAAAATAATTGCGTCAGAAATAATACAGAATGGAAATAATATCAAATTAATAAAGAAAAAGAGCACATTAAATATAGATAAATTTGAGACAGAGAAGAATTCATATAAAAACATTAGCAAATTAAATAAAAATGATAAAATTGAAGAAGAGCTTCCTAAATTGAAGAATTCATGTAAAAACATTAGCAAATTAAATAAAAATGATAAAATTGAAGAAAAGCTTCCTAATGATACAGATATAGCATCATTTATATGTGAACAGCCAAAAATAGTTACTTCAAGATGTACTGAAATAATTCCAAGTAAAAATACAATAGAATCAATAGAAATAGTTCCGAGTGAAAATACTATAAAACTAATAGAAACAAATAATAGTATAATGGATATAGATAAAACTCAAGAAGATGAGAATTTATGTGAAAAAGAAGAAACTGGAAATATATTACAAGAAGAATGTGAAATATACTATAATAAAGAAAAAAATCAGCATAATATTGATAAAATCATAAATTCCACAACTGAAAATAAAGTAGAATGTGAATACATTACACATGTTAACACAGAAGAAAAGAAACAACTCAAAGAAAATTTAATATCATGTACAAATGAACCGGATAAAAAAGTAGAAGATATTTTTCTTCAGAAATTTTCTGAATTTGATGAAGAAATACATATGGCGATGAATGAAAAGTCAAGAACAAAAAGTGAAGAAGAATTGGTCAATGCACAGGATATACAATCATTGCAAGAAGAAGAAATAAATTGGCAGACAGATTAATATATATTTTTTTATTTGATACATTTATACAATAAAAAGATATGTGTATAAACTAAAAGAAGTTGAACAAATTTAACCAGCGAATGGTATTGATGGTATAGGTACCTTTGGTAATAATCTGCCATTTGTTTTACGTTGTACAGTATTCTCTTTATTTGGTTCTTTAATATTTTGATTGGTCGATTGATTCGCGATGTTAAGGCCAGATTTAAGATCAGGAACAAATTCATTTATTGTATTAATAGGTTCTTGAATTACAGATATTGTTCCTGTGGTACCTTGTTCTATTAATTGTAAAGGAGCTTTATATAAACTACACATTGGTGATTGCAATCGTTCTGGCACAGCGGTCCATAATCCCATTTCGCAGTATCTAGAACATTAATAGCAAACGGCACGGTTTAATGTACCAGCATGAATATGTAATTCGTAAGTTTTTCGCAGCGTTACCTAAAATTATTCATGCTTTTCGGATCCGTCGTGATACTAATGAAAGAATTTGTTTTATCTGAGAAATTTGGAATTATATCCGGCTTCCAAGCACTGCCATTAGAGCGTATATTCGTAGTAGGTACGCTAAACGTCCCGCTTCTTGCGAAATTTGCTATCATATCCGTAAAAATTTCGGTTACATTTTCATCCACTTCATCTACTTCATCGTTGTCGCTTATTTTTTCACCGGTAATTGTATTTCGGTCGAATATGAATCCTAAATCGTCTCCATGATTCAAATTACCTACGAGATAGATAATAATTTCAATGTTATGTATAAATGAATAATTCGATAGATTTATTTTATCGTGATTATCATAAATTATACCATTCGATGATTGTTTGGCGTCAACGATTGGCAATCCCGCAAGGAAGTCTTTACCGTACTTTCTTTTTCCTTTATGATCAAAAGTGTATAAAAACGCATTTGCTTTTTTGGACCAGTGATCGACGGTCAGAAATGCAGGAGCGTTATAGAGCGAGTCACTCAGAGCTTCTGCAACTCTTCCAATTGTATTCCGCATGCTATCACTTCCAAAGATGTTGAAGTAGCCGTTGAAAGCTTGCGGGATGAAGCGCAAACCGTTTCGCATATTCGGAATAGTCCCTTGCAAATACGGTATGAACTCATTGGTCAAATAATCTGGAGCCATGTTTAGTTTATTTTGCACTTCATCTTTGTATTGACCGAAAACGGCACCTCCCGTTTCATCGCTCATGACTCCTGTCAACAGCGGTATAGATGGAAAATTGCCGAGCTTCAAAGAATCCTCCGGCGACGCCGTCATAAAGTTCGGGAGCGATCTTAAAGATTATACAGTATTTCTTTCTCGCAATTAGGACAATGAATGTGTAAATTAAAAGGAATTTCAAGAGCTTTTGATGAATTTACCTTCCGTCATTGGAACCTTCTACGACGGGACCGGATCCGAGTAGATTGGATAAACTGGAGACGAAACCTCGTGCGGCCGCACGAATGCCTTCTAACTCGGAATCAACTCTAATCAATTTTTCCACTGGCAATTCTCGCAGACAGTACACCATTCTTCGAGTATCATTTATTGGACAGCTATTTTTACGTGCTATATATCTGGCCGTTTCAAAAGGGTTCTTGTCGACAGCGAAGTGAGATAAAATTGAACCGGACATAGCGATCAAGCCGCTGAAACTATCTGCAAAAGAATGTGACAATTCTCTTTCATTAGTGACAATAATAAAAAAAATATGTAATGCGCGGTAAATTATATATATTTATGTATAATTGCCAACACATTACTTTCGCAGAATTTTGACAACGATAACATCATGGCAGAACTGGCGCCGGTACCGTGACCGAAGGCTACTATTTTCTTCGGATTACCGCCGAAGAAGTGTATGTAATCCTTCACCCAGTCGACGGCCAGTATCATGTCAAACATCCCGTTGTTTCCTGGCATTTCTGACGTACCTGTACTCAAAAAACCTGGGCAAGATTTCAATAGAGTATTATTTTCTTTATTATATTATATCAAAATTATATCTATCTGTCAGAATGCTTCTTTCAGTTACCTAACGTTCCCAATCTATATTGGATAGACACTACAATCATTTTCTTTTTGATCAAATGTCTCATTTCATATTGACACGCTGCACCTTTTCTAAAACCACCTCCATGAATCCATATCAGTACAGGATAACCGTCAGTGGTATCCGGAAGCGATGGTGTGAAGATGTTCAGAAAGAGACAATCTTCGCTTCCTATAATTTTGTTGGTTCCATCATAGGCAGGCTGAGGACAAGGAGGTCCCCAAGTAGTAGCGTTATATTCTCCTTCGAGATATACAGGTGAAGCTCGCTGTAAATTTATTTTTCTTACGTGATATATGTTATTTTAATGACGGCTCTATTATTTTGTTTCAAAAAAAAGTAAAAATTATTATTAAAATTAATCAATTTTTTAATTATAATCAATATATAATATAAAAACATATAATTAATATTATATAATAAATCTGTTATATATAACGATTAATAATAGTTGATAAATTAAATCAAGATTATCTTTACTGATTGATATATAAAAACGCAAAATTGCATAAAATTAATTAATGTGTGTTGAATAGTGATATTGCAATATTTAAATTTTAATGCTTGCTTTATTCTACCTTCCGGCTGGATTGATAATATATATCAAGTTTATTAAATTGGGCTGTTGTGACAGGATACATCAAGAGATAAAAAATGATATCCCATTTAATTTCGCGTCATCAAATTTTGTACTAACAATGTATAAAATATATAATAGCGGTTTCTTATATGGAAGAAAGCTATTATTTGCGATTGCTTGTTAAAGCAAAGTACACGTTTACTCGACAGGTCATTGAATTTAATTATTGTACGCGTTGTGTTCGTATAGTATCGCAGTATCGCATAACGGTTTAGTCTCATAATCATTTGCACTTGTAGATATTACATAAAAAATTTTAATTTAATAAACTCTTTTATGATCAAATATAATTATAATTAATTTCGCACTATCTTTTCAAATTTTAAAATTCTGGAATCTGCATTATTAATAATCATTATTAATAATCTTAATTTTTATTTATAATTCCTCATGTTGATGGAAATCATGATTAAATTAAGCATTGACTAAATCTTTTAATTTTTAACAGCATAGAATTAATTGTAATACATTTATTCGATAAATATAACACCAGAGAGATAAAAATATTTAATTATATTAAATGCGCGCGTGAGATATAATTTATAGACAAATAATAATGAATCGTTTTATCGGACAGTATTATATTTTTTGTTTTACCTGAAATCTTGCTCGACCCGTCGGTGGTTCCCCAAATCTGATTCCACGAAAGATGTAGAATCCTTTGTCAGGATCGCGATTGCCGATAATACGCGCGTGTCGATCATTTTTATTCACAAAAACCACCGGGTCGTCCTTGGGTGGTTGCGCGGCCGCGGTTCCGCCGACAATTCTCTTTCGTCTAATCAGCTCTACATCTCTGGCATTAATTAACGAGCAAAGTAAAAGAACGAAAAACGAGACGACGCGTCCATCCATTTCGAACGTATAAATTGTAATGAAAGAACATCGCGAGTTCCTCGTCGATACGAATGAATCTAGTGGGGATATATTATATTGGTTTTCATGTTTTCGCGCAATGTGTCTATAAATTTTATGTAATTTTATGTAAATTTTATATTAATATTTTAGCATTTATTGTTTCTCACATACATGTATATTAAAATAATATAAAAGTTTATATTTAAATAATATAAAATTTTAGATTCTCCTTTTTTAATAAAACAATAATTTAATATAAGACAATTTTACAATGAAAGTGTCAGATTTTATAAGATTAATAAAATATTATTAAAATAATTGGAACATTGATTTCTTTTTACGTGTAAACAAATTAAAAAACAAACTTAAGAGGTCATTTAATATATATTACTTAATTCGTATTTTATTTATTAATCTATGTTTATTACAATCTTACGCGTAAAAATATATCATCAAAATGTAATGCGTATCAAAGTATGTACAAATTCATTATTCAAATATTAAGTTTTGAGCGCGAGCAGCAGTCATATGAAATGTCACATTTGGCGAGTTGACACGCATCAAGGATGCGTTCGGAAATTCTACCCGTGAGATAGAGCAGATTTTAGTCGACCAATCAGAGCGAAGAAGTCTTTGTTTCGATTAAATCCAACGAATAGAATTTCCGAACACACCTCGAAGCACAATATCCCCCACCACGACCAACTGCCACGACTTCCGCTCTTGCCTTTCTCTATTTCATGTCGGCTCTCTCGGTACGTGTAAGATTTCGCTTGCGCGGAATATCCACTTTAATTTACACCTATGAAATGGATCCGTTGAAAGAAATTAAAAATTACGTTCTCTCTGCTATCCGTATGCAAGATATTTTCGATATTTTCGCGAATCGCGGGATATTAGATTTGCATTTTGAGCGTCACTTTAAGGTTAACATACACCAGCAGGAATGCACAACGTGACGCGGTGGTGTTGTTGTAACGAATATTATGCATGATACCGTGATTTCTTTTCAGATTTTGAGCCATGGGTCGAGTAATTCGTGCGCAGCGTAAAGGTGCGGGATCCGTCTTCCGATCCCATACCAAGAGGAGGAAGGGAGCACCAAAGCTCCGCTCTCTAGACTACTCTGAGAGGCATGGATTTATCAAAGGTGTCGTAAAGGTTTGTAACAACTTCTTATTCTGTTATGAAAAGAATTAGAGTAACTTTAATGGGATATGTTAAGTTTACTTGAACATTGGACTTGGTTCAACTTGCTACAAATTATTCGATTTTATGTATTTATGATGATATCCGTATATCTACAACTGATTGATTAAATGACGTCAAATCAGAGGCTCTTTCTGAAAATATATTCTCTTGTATTTCAGAAATGTTCCTTCAATCGCATAGATACTTATTAAAATCTTTGTTGTTAGGATATTATTCATGATCCTGGTCGTGGCGCACCATTAGCAGTGGTACATTTCCGTGACCCTTACAAGTTCAAGACACGTAAAGAATTATTCATTGCTCCAGAGGGAATGTACACTGGTCAATTTTTGTATTGTGGAAAGAAAGGTACAATAATTTTTACAACAAATAATATTAAACGGGGATCTAAAATTAATGCTTTATCCTTTTATAATATGATCATTACAACTCTTATACTTTTTGAATTTTTCAGCCAATCTTCAAATTGGAAACGTAATGCCAGTTGGTATGATGCCTGAAGGTACTATTGTCTGTAACTTAGAAGAGAAGACTGGCGATAGAGGTCGATTGGCCAGAGCTTCGGGGAATTATGCTACAGTGATAACCCATAATCCTGATACCAAGAAAACTAGAGTTAAGTTACCTTCTGGTGCAAAGAAGGTCATTCCCTCTAACAACAGAGCGATGGTTGGAATTGTCGCTGGTGGTGGACGTATAGATAAGCCTATATTGAAAGCTGGTAGAGCGTATCACAAGTACAAGGCAAAGAGGAATTGTTGGCCCAAGGTATATTTTGTAATTTTGTTCTTTATTATACAATAAGAGTAAATTCTTTGTCAATGATGGTAATTATGACATTTGAAACCTGAAGAATTTCATGTAGAAACTTTTTTGACTGAGCAAGATATATAGACTCGTTTTTATACGTAATTTAAAGTTTGTATATTGTGTCTGAGATATTTTGAATATTTCTAGGTTCGTGGTGTTGCTATGAATCCTGTGGAACATCCTCATGGTGGTGGTAATCATCAACACATTGGTAAGGCATCTACTGTCAAGCGTGGAACCAGCGCCGGTCGTAAGATCGGTCTTATTGCTGCTCGTCGTACTGGACGAATCAGAGGAGGCAAGACCGATACGAAGAAGGACGATTAGATATGAATTATTAATTTTTGTCACATATGTGTACAATAAAAAAAAAGAAAAATATTTACAAAAATGTATTTATATCACACACTCGAAAAGAATTCGCATTTTGTTTTGAAAAATGATTTGGTTAAATTGAAAACTAAAGATAAAAATGAAGAGTATTCGAAAAATTAAATTTTTCTATGTCTAGATTTTTTAACTGCATAGTTTTTTAAAGTATGTGAAGTATCAATATTAATTTTACAATTATAATTTTGAATATGTAAGTACAATTGTGTGATGTAATTTTTATTGTTAACCAAAAACAATTTTTGTGAAGTTAAATTTAATAATTTTAATTATCATATCATATATATATAAACTTGATATGTTAAAAAGACTTTGATCTAAAGAAAGAAATTACAGGAACCGAATCTTTGATAATATGCATATTATATGAAATCTGATATATATTCATACTTGGATACAAAAAGGGTAAATACTCAAATATACAGAGAAACCATCTTTTCGATGATGATACTTTTGTCGCGAAAAAATTTCAATATTTTTATAATATTTATACATAAAAAAAATATCTCGATTATAAATTCTTAATTATAGCAATGAAAGCATCATCAGCTTTCGCTTTTTAATTTTAAGATCGACAGAGATAGGTGCTAATTTATTAATTCTTCCTCTATTCATATGACAGTAGGAATGATATATATATATATATATATATATATATATATATATGTATTTTTTTTTAACGTAAATTTCCGAGTATATACATATATATTGAACAGGATAATAATATCGGGACATTCCTTTCCAGATATTCCCCGTCTACTTGCTTTGACATCCGGCGGAAGCGCCACTATTCCCACCAATTTGCCACCATTTTGCTAGCTCGTGTCTCGGCCATTTTTGTTGCGTCGACGTCAGTGTGCGGCCAGGGGCCTCTCGCGCTCTCTTAGCAGTTTAGCAAGTTGTCTTCGGAATTTCAGCCGTTTCTCCGTATCGCGTGTATCGAGGGACTGATCGGACACGTGCCGTTCTTGGGTTAACCGACGTTAATTCGGCCGTCACGAAATTATTGGCGAGCGTAAATCAAGCCCGCGAGACAACAAAGACATAGGTAGCGCGTTGGACGCGTCGGGAACTTTTTCGGGCTCAAGTGAGGCGTGTGTGTGTGTTAGAGCGGACGAGAGCTAAAAGGGCTTCAAGCGACAGAGCTGCGAAACCTACGCACCGAGGCAGAGTAATATGAGTAATGCAGCCAACCAGAATGGATCAGGTCTAGAGCAGCAGGTAAAGAGACAGAGAAAGGAAACGTATCGCTTGCGAGAAGCGATTTCCGCGAGTCCTCTTTCCTTCCTCTTTCTCTCTCTCTCTCTCTCTCTCTCTTTCTCCATTTTTTCCTTTCCCCGATTTTTCATATCTCCATGGCGTCCGCCTAACGCGAGCTCCGTTTTCTGCTGTCCGCGAAATTTCGCGAGCAAGATGTTCATTTTTTCAAAATTTACGCGGAGAGAGAATCCCCTTCCCGATCGAAGAAACGACCCTTCATCAACGGCCACGAGCACGATGGATGAGCCATCGTCATTCGGACAGCTCGTGACGTACATTGGCGGCGTATAATGGCGGCAAGCGAACATTTCCAGGAACGGCATGCCGTGTGTCATGACGTATTCGCGTCCTCTGTGTTTTTTCACGCGCGTTAATCCCCATGATTAGATCGCGCGCGGGTTATATATAAACGATTGGATTTTTTTCGCGAAGAAAATGAGTCATCGGTGTTCGTGATAATGACTCCTCGCATATATTTTAACACACGATATCTGTTGTGAAATATTTAACTCGAGTTTCTTTTTGTCTCTTCAGTTAGCTGGTCTGGACTTGCAGGGCTCCCGCCAGGGTCGCTACGTTCCACCGCATCTTCGTCATAAAGCTGCAAGTTAGTATGAAAATTTGCCAAACATTTAATTTTTAAGTTAATTTAAATTAATGAGAGATTTCGTTCCCATTTTTATTAGCAAATATATTATTTATTTTTTATTGCTCATGATACCTCGTGATGGTAAAATGTTAAATGATAATTGAAGTATAATAAATTAATAAGTCAGAAAGAGATTGACAGAGCTGATAAGTATATTTTAGTCAGTGCACTGTCTGGGCTCTGAATTTATGAAATAAAAATGCTTCATCATTGCTATAGAATAAAAATGTTAAATATGTAAATTACTTGTTTTACCAGGTAATCCACCTTTGGATTTAAATTATTCTTCCAACTCAAGATCGTTTGGTGAGAGAGACAGAGGTGGAGATCGTGACCGAGAAAGGGACCGTGATCGGGATAGAGGTAGAGGCGGTTATCGAGAATCACGAAGTCCTCGCGACGTCGATTTCGCGAACTTTGGAAGCTTCGGTGGGCGCAATAGGCGCAGTCAAGAAAATGGAAGAGATTTCAGATATTCCAATTCTGAGCGCGATCGACCAATTAGTGGTAATGATCGCTGGCAGGAGCCTACTAGAAATGATCGCTGGCCAGAGACTAGAAATGACAGGATGGGTAGTAGCGGAAGATGGGACGATAGAAGCAGCAGAGGCGGAAGAGGCGAGGTCGATTGGACAATTCCGACTGCCAGGGATGAACGATTGGAGGTGGAGCTGTTTGGTACTGGCAATACTGGGATTAATTTTAGCAAATATGAGGATATCCCAGTTGAGGCTACCGGAGAAAATATACCACCACACATCACATCTGTGAGTATAACATATGGAGAATGCCTCTTGATTCTTGAAAAGGTCACCTTTTTTATCAAGCTCTAATTTGACTGTTTCTTAATTTTCAGTTTGATGAGGTTAAGCTGACAGAGATAATAAAGAACAGCATCGCCTTGGCAGGATATGACAAGCCTACACCAGTGCAGAAATACGCGATACCGATCATCATCGGACGCCGTGACGTGATGGCCTGCGCTCAAACGGGGTCCGGTAAAACAGCGGCCTTCCTAGTGCCAATATTGAATCAGATTTACGAGAGCGGGCCGCGACCGCCACCAGTACAAGCGAATTCCTCTGGTAGACGTAAACAGTATCCATTGGGTCTAGTATTGGCTCCTACGAGGGAACTCGCTACGCAGATATACGATGAGGCGCGGAAGTTTGCGTACCGATCGCGTATGCGTCCCGCAGTCGTATACGGCGGTTCCAACATAGTAGATCAAATGCGCGAATTAGATCGCGGTTGCCATTTACTTGTGGCGACGCCAGGACGTCTAGTGGATATGTTGGGACGCGGTAAAATCGGTTTACATAATTGCCGGTAAGACACTTGATAAGATAACGATTTAAGGAGGACGATTAGATTTTTATTTGTCATTCTTATTTCAGATATTTAGTTCTGGACGAGGCAGATCGCATGCTGGACATGGGTTTCGAGCCGCAAATAAGACGTATCGTCCAAGAAGACAACATGCCGCCAACTGGAGAAAGACAAACTCTCATGTTCTCTGCTACTTTTCCGAAAGAGATTCAGATGTTGGCCAGAGATTTTCTTAGCAATTATATCTTCTTGGCCGTTGGTCGAGTGGGTTCGACTTCCGAAAATATCACGCAGAAGATTGTGTGGGTGGAGGAACACGATAAACGTTCATACTTGCTTGATTTGCTACAAGCTAGCAACTTTTCGGACCCTTGTGAGTGGCCGTATTGAGTTACAATTTAAATTAATATGGAATTCTTTGTTGTAAAGATTTATAATTTGTAAATTATATCCCATTATACTCTCTCTCTCTCTCTCTCTCTCTCTCTCTCTCTCTCTCTCTCTCTCTCTCTCTCCTCTCTCTCTCTCTCTCTCTCTCCTCTCTCTCTCTCTCTCTCTCTCTCTCTCTCTCTCTCTCTCTCTCTCTCTAAAAAAATAAATTAACGTCATACTTTTATTGTCGCGCAGCTGCAGAGTCGCTTACTTTGGTATTCGTGGAAACAAAGAAAGGAGCCGACATGCTTGAAGAATATTTGGCCACAATGGGATATCCAGTTACTAGCATTCATGGCGACAGAACCCAGCGTGAACGAGAGGAAGCCTTGCGTCGCTTCCGCGCGGGTAAAGCACCGATTCTAGTTGCGACTGCAGTAGCGGCACGTGGTCTCGATATACCACATGTTAAACATGTCATCAATTTTGATTTGCCTGGCGACGTTGAGGAATACGTTCATCGTATTGGTCGTACCGGTCGTATGGGCAATTTAGGTTTGTTTTTAAAATTAAATCTTGTAAGAGAGGATTATGGATTATCGAAAAATGGATAAGCTATACATCTTATTTTATGTAATTCAGGTTTGGCTACATCGTTCTTCAATCACAAGAATCATAATCTGGTACGCGATTTGGTGTCTTTACTTATTGAAGCCAATCAAGAACTTCCACCCTGGCTGGATGACATGTATACCGAAGCTAGGTATTCTGGAAGCTCATCTCGGCGTCCTACTGGTGGCACCAAAGGAGGCCGTTTCAGCGGCGGCGGTTTTGGTGCAAGAGATTATCGTCAACAACCCAGTTCTGGATCTGGCCGTAGTAACGGACCTTCAAGACCTGGCGGTTATGGAGGTAAATTAAAACGAAATATATTAAAAGTGAAATTAAATAATTGCAGTTTGCAAGAAACAATTATCAAGAGGGTTGAAAAATTAAACAGATGTATTATTCTATATTTAAATGTATTTTTCATTTTGTTGTAGGTGGTTATTCAAGTTATGGAGGTAATTATAATAATTCAGCGTACAATAATTCCACTAACAATGGCAATAGTGGCCCTGATTGGTGGGGAGGATGGGACAAGTAGACGATTATTTCCATCTCTATTTCTACTTCTATCATTATTATTATTACTCTACACGCAAATTCAATTATATGTAAGGAAAATACACGACATTATGTCTGACACTACAAGCACGTGTTTTGCGCGCGTTGTACATACGCGCAAAGTACAGACAGTTTATGTATAATATGTATTCACGTTTTTTGCTAACTGCCTGTGCACATCGATTTTTCGATGAAAAAGCAAAAAAAAGAATACTTACAATACATATTTGTTTAAATTTCCCCTAAATTACATTTGTTTATGCGCGACATTGTGACAAATCCTGCGTGCAATTTAGTATTCGTGCCGGTAAATTACCGGGGAATATTTCGAACGTAAATGATCTCACCGTACAAAAATGCGAGTATCATAAATGGGATTTGTTCAACACTATTAGTTAGAAATCCATCCAACATTTCATTGCCGTGCGTGCTGAGAAACACATGTAGTATATAATCACTAACGAATCAAATCGATAAGTCGTTAATGCCTGTTCGAAGGTAATAACGATGTAACACATAGTAGGTGGTGAAACTTAGTAAAATTTTTTAGAACTCCTGTCAAGACTATATGGGGCTCATTGTAGCTTTATTATTTACATTTTTTTCTTTTTTTCTCATAGCGGTGCAGTGGGCGTATCTTCGGTCTGTCAATGCTCGACACTGTTATCAAACGTTTTATAAAAAAAAAAACGCTTTTTATTGTCTTTGCTATCATAATGGCCAGTAGGAGAGTCGCGCAATTTTCTTCGAATGCATGACATAATTTTTTGGTTACATGTATGCACATTCATTAAATGCCTAGGATACGCCGAGTCACCATAGATTACATGACGATTCTTTATTATTATTATTTTTTTCTTAATTTACTGTATAGTTCAGCGACGAATGGTACTTTGTTGTTTTGCCGTCCCCAGAGATAGATGTTGCGCCGGCAATATCAAGTTTTAATTGAATAAGCCACGTGAATTTTTCGGGGATCGAGGGTTTCGATATCGGCGAAAAAAGCAACACACACAGGCTACGTCTTAAGATACCTTTAGAAATCTTACATTTTCGTTATAGTCTGATATATATGTATACGCATTTTCTGTCGATTATAATTTAGTAAATTTCAAGACGCTTATGCAACATACAGCTGATAAAGTTATTTTCATAATTCTGGCCATTGCAGTGGAACCTCAATATGCACGATGATTATATAATCAAACTTATGCAACGGGAGCATTTTCCAATTGTAAAAAATATGAGTTTTGTTTGTAAAAAAAAATAATAATTGTTTATATAAATTTTTCTTTTTCCTGATCTATTATTAATTACATTATTCTCTTTCAGATGTAGAGATTTACAGTGAGCATTAGATGATGACAAAATTTTCATTAAAATTCTTTATTAGGTTTTATGATATATTGAGTTTATATTGAATTATGAATAAACAAGAAATATAAGTTCATATAAGTTTCTTTTTCTTGCGAAATACATTAAGACAAATAAACTTTTTGAAATTTTTATTACTCATGCTCGATAATATAAATTAATAAAATACGATATTTATTAATGCAAAATAACAAAACGAATTTTTGTTTGTACATATAATTAATTCATACATTTGTCTTATATTTTCTTAAGTCTTTACGACGACTTAAGATTTAGCAAGCTATTTATTAATTCATGAATAAAAAAAAAATTTTGACGTATTTACCAATCAATATTATAGAACACGAGTAATTGTCCTTTGATAATTCATAATTCAATATAGCTGCAGCGAAAATACAGGAATCTTAAATAAAAATATTAGAGAAATATGTGCATATGGAGGTTTCACTAAAAGCGGCTATTTATGTATGTTTTAGTGCAAAGCAGGTATATATAACTATTTTATGTACCTGAACTGTCTTGAGTAGTTCTACAGATAGAACTGCATTGATCCTATATAGAAACTATGCTTCGAATAGCATTTCTAAATGTAACAGAGACGTTGCCCTGCGAAATTGGTACGGCGCTTTACAAGAAAATCTTAGTCTACAGTACACACACCGAGTGTGAATGTGTGAGAGTGCTCATGGAAGATAAATTATATTGAGATGGATTAAAAATACGGTTGCAGTTACAGAGAGACATTAAAACCTGCTATAAGAGCAGAGGAGAAGAGACGGTGGGCTCAACTTCATTAAAAAGGAAAGAAAACAAACGAAAGCCCCTTGAATAAGGAGAGATATACGGGGCGCACTCATATTATTTTCTAGCTGTATTTATCAATATGATATACGCGCTATATATAAATACATACAACTAAAATAATTGAAAAAACGACTGTGATATTGAACGATCTTGTGACATTCAATTTCCACGCGAATTGATAAATGTGAACAATTAACGGAATAACAAAATGCATTAAATGTATTACATTAATCAGGTATTGAATGTCGGGAAGGTACTAGCTCAGTTTGAACTGAGAACGGAATATTAAGTCGTTAACAGTAACACACACAAGACAACGTGGCTGTTGTCCGATTAGGGGAGGGCTGAACGCTAGGCTCTTGCGGTCCTAAGGGACCTTCCTAGGGCATTGTTTCCGCTTAAAATAATGCGCATTATAACGGTATATAAGTGAGCTCGCGCTCGAGCGAAGTCATTACCGGCTGATAATGATGATGTTGGTAGGGCTTTATAGGATGTCGATATCGTTTCGTGCAAACGTCGGATTCTTATCTATCTAATCTATCTACGCGAGAGGGGGGGTAGGGGGAAAAAAGTACAAATTCGATTTGCGTCACAACCGACAAGATTTTTAGACACACGTCATACTTATACCTGTTATATTACTAGATTTAATAGTGCAATCGCGTGCGTGAATCGTATGCCGTGTGATCGTGGACCAAGGTGTGTGAATGCCTCTTTTTACGAGAGGGATAATTATTTCATCTAGAATCATTCGAGGATAGCGTTTAACGAGGTAAAATATCGTTGGCTTTCGACCGCGGATGCGAGTGTTCTCAAATTTTTAATACGATTCGTCATCGAGGCTATTTGGTCAGCTCTCGGAGGCCCTGCCAAGAACATTAATAAGAGAGAATCCTTCGTGGACAGCGATACATCGATTTGATGACAATTCTTGTGTCGTCTTCTCGTGCAGATATCTATTACGGCAATAATCTTTGTATGATTTATTAATCGACACATGGATTTTGTCATATACACGTGTATCATTTCTCAAGAAAAATTACATCGGTTCCGAGACTAGTATTATATACGCAAGCCTTTGCATCTCTTATTTTTTTCTATTTTATTTCGTATTATTTTATAAAGTAACGAAAGAAGAAGGAAAGACATCAATGGTCGTTGGATTTTAATGAATTATATCACGTACATGAAACGATAACAAAATTTCACGAAAATTTATAAACAGATGAAGATTATATGTGATGAAATTTAAATATTACATGTTAATCCGATATAATTTTATAATTAATCCTTGGATGTATAAAAAAGATTTTTAACATCTTGCAGTCTCTTTATCTTTTCATGATGTTTATTTCTTCAGTTTAATCTATTTTCCTTTTAAGTAATTTTTAGCGAGACTTGAAGCTAGCTTCTGCATTCAATTTAAATTAATTTGTAAATTACTTCCGCAAACATTTATTAGACCGTGCATCCAAGGGTTAAAATCCAATTGTACTAGTGATGTATTAAGCATTCATGACGCATCGAGCGTTACATGTTTTAATCAATCTTATGCATTTCGAAACAATATATTTTGTTTGTAACTCACATGGTGGACAGAGAGTATGTAAAACAATATATATACTTATAATTATATATACTTAAGGCTATTTCCATGTTAATGTTTCCTATTTTTTTTTTAAGTGATAATCAATGATATTGATCACGTACCGAGATAGAAAAACTTTCGCTTTACATTATAAATCTTAGGATGCGTAATGTCAAACTTAGGAAGTCATTGAACGTTCCTGCGAAATAGTCAAATGTCCACCGTGTAGTATCTATGACATATATGTATAAATTAAAAATATGGTACTATGATTTATATAACGTATTAGTATAGCGGAAGAGAGTAGAGAACGATGTAATAAGCGATTACTATTTATTGATCGATTTAGTATTTATTTTCTACGTTTACACGTCTTGAAAGGTAAACAGTGAATATCTTCTGTACTGTGTACTGTATTTTTCGTGTCATGTTTGGTCCTCTGAAGTATATCGGACGAGCAGCCTTAGGGAAAAAACACTTTATACGTATACATACAGAGAACGCGGAATAATCCAGACGAAAGATTAATTTAAAAGAATATTTAAAAGAAAATGAGGAGAGGAGAGAGGAGAAAAGAAAGAGAAATAAAAAAAAAGAGGGGCTATCGGTTTACGATGAATTAAAAAAGGAAAAAGAAAAGAAGGAAAGAAAGAGAAAAATAGCATTGACTGTGACTGCAATCATTACTGAGGGAAGGAAGAAAAAAATTGCACGATCCGCAAGGAACACATTACACATTGTAAGCTGTATTATGTAATAATACGATGCGTGCGAGATTATACATATTACGCCGCCGGCGAAAGCGGAGAAATTGTTCACGTGCGAGTATAGTCTTGTATTTTTTATTATTTTACACACGTACACGTACGCGCGCGTGCGTGTACGTGTGTCGATGGTTCCGATTTCCAACGACACCCGTCGAAGGGAGGGATCGGATGCCTCACCCATCGGAATCCATGCCCTCTCTTCGGAGATAGCGATAAGAATGCGAATCTGGGGCATAATATGGGACGCGCGCGCGCGCGTTCTATAATAGAGCGAGGTGGGATGGCAAAAGAAATGTCTTCTAACTTGTTCCGAATGTTTCAATTTGGGGTCGAGGATCGTCGTACGTGTCAGGGAGAGTACAAGAATATGAAAAAGATTACCGCATAATTCGTTGCGACTCATCGCGGTGGTAAGTGCGATAAAAGCGATATATTACGAGAACGAGAGAGAGAGAGAGAAATATATACATAAAAAAATGTACGAATACAATGTGCGAGATGTATAGTGAATCTACGTGCGACGTTCCTCGCGCGTTATTTGCTTGTAACCGTAATGATACTGCTATACGTTTACTTCACTCGATGTCGAGCGAGAAAGAGTATCTTAACGGAACGGTAAATGTACCATTCTGTCGGTCTCTTATTTAGTAATTTACATACTTAGCGCTAAAAATCGAGGCGAAATCGAATATGCGAACAAAGATGAGAAATGTTCCAATGAACCGTTGTATATGTTCATGCACGTACGGTTCTATATAAATATATATATGAAAAACGCATTGGATAAATTAATAAAGTGTCTCAAGGAAAGAATTTGCGAAGGAGAAAAATTGATCAATGAAAAATAGATGAGGATCAATGTGTATCGTACACTTATCGTTCATTAGCAATAAGTTATTGTGTGCGTCGCACACATACTTCTTGCATGCGTAGGTACAATACAACGTATGCTCGTGAAGAATGATGTAGAGTGTCAATATTGTTACAAAATACCTCATACGGGACGATCACATATTAATTCGGTGTTCTTTCATTCGGTGAATTTTTCGTTTATTTATATAGTATTATATATGAAGAGAAGGAACGAGAGCGAGAGAGAAACAAGAGCGAGAGTGAGACAGGAGACCTACAAAAATGAATATAATAAAGATCACAAAAGAAGATTAAGTAGAAAATCCTTGTTTTATGCGTCCTTTCCACTATCTGTATAATATTCAGATATCTTTGTACATTAATAAACATAATTAAATCGCTCGTCTTGTGCAATAAGTGGCAACTTATTGTACAAAATTTTAAAAATGTATGTTAAAAATTAAGAAATTATATTAAAATTATAAAATTATATATAAAGTAGAGTAAGCAAATTTAGATTCGATCGTTCTTTAAAAATTTACACTGTTTTTTTTAACTTTATTTTCACAAGCATCACATTGAAATTCTGATTAAATAAAATCAAGATAAATGGGAGAAGATATTAATATTTATAGAGATATTAATATTTTCTTTATCTATTTTATTTGTGGGAATTTTTGCAAAGCTGCTAATCATCTAAACAATTCGAAAAAGCATTTATAAATAGAATTGTGAAATAGCTTTAATCAAAAACCTAAATATCTAAAATATTTTAAGTATATTATTAAATATATTATATTTTAAATACATTAAATATATTTAAATATACATATATTAATATATTAAGTACATATATTAATATATAATATATTACATTTAAATATATTTATAAATATATTATTAAATATATTTTAAATCTATTAAAATGCATGTCATAAGATGCATGTACTCTTAATGAATGTTTGTACCATATCTACAGCTTCATTATTAAATTATGTTCAATTTACAGTGGGTATTCGTCGAGGAAAATTACATAATCGAGCAGAAGTAGTCTGTTAATTTCCGACGTTTATTTTTCCCGCGTTACGCTATCGCAAGATATCGAGCTTATCGGATCAATTATTCGACCAAATTCAACTCGCGGTGGGAGGAACACGATGCTCGTGTGACCAATCGCGTAAGACCACGACACAATGGCGGCGTGGCTGGACAGTTTTGTGTTGTCGAGTGGTTAGGTGTCATTAGGTTTCTTGTCGCGATCTCGGATTAATTTTTTTGTTTAGAAGATTGCTTCGTTGCGCTCGGTGAATTAATTTTCCTCTCAGTCATGCACGGTTTCCTGATAGTAGTCCTGTTGGATTTAACCTTCGACTGTAGGTATTCCTAACCTTTCTCTAATAAATTTGAATAATTGAACTTATTATTCTGTGTCTTTGTGCCTATCTACAATTGATAATCGGCCGTTTTTTAGTGGTCGGAAGTGTTTCTCAATTGGAGATCGACAAGCATCTAGAGTACGGCAGAGAATTCCTGGCAAAGGGCCAGTTGCAGGACGCACTATCGCATTATCATGCAGCTGTCGGTAAGTTGAATTATACATTGCAGTTGCTCTTGGAATTGCACTAGACAAATTTAATTGACAACTCTTGTGCTAACGTAGAAGAAAAATAAAAAATTAATAAATTTCTTTCAGAGGGAGATCCGACCAATTACCTGACATATTATAAGAGAGGAACAGTTTATTTAGCATTAGGTAAAGCCAAATTTGCCCTACTCGATCTTAATAAGGTTTTAGAATTGAAGGTAGACTTTACACCAGCAAGACTACAGCGTGGTAACATTTTACTGAAGCAAGCTCACTTTAATGAAGCTGAAATAGATTTTCAAGATGTCGTATGTTATTTTTTATATATACTTTACATCATAACCAGTATATAGTAATTTATCCTCATTTTTCTTATTTCAGCTATCTGTAGAACCAAATAATAAGGATGCCTTGTATGCCTTAGATAGGTTATCTTCAGCTAGAGAAGATATGAAATTTATTAATACACTGATATATAATGACGATCATGCAGCAGTTGTACAGCAAATTACTCGAATCCTTGAAATATGTCCATGGTCTTCTGACCTTAGAGAACAAAGAGCAGAGAGTCATCGCCACCTTGGAGATTATATGAGTGCTATATCTGATATACGATCGACTACAAAATTACTGTCTGATAATACAGAAGGATTCTTCAAGCTCTCGACATGGTTGTATCGTCTTGGACAAGTTGAAGAGGCATTAAAGTGAGTACTTAGTCAAATATATATATCTTTAAGTAAAATATATTAAAATTAACATAAATATTCAGGGAGATTCGAGAATGTTTGAAACTTGATCCAGACCATAAGGAATGTTTCCCATTTTATAAGAAGATTAGAAAAATTCATAAATTCCTACAAGATGCAAGGACAGCACTAGAAAATACAAAGGATTATAATTCGTGTATCGACTTATCTAATCGTATATTAAAGGAAGAACCATATGAAAAGAACGTGCAATTTACGGCTTTTCATTATCTTTGCAAATGTTACACGGGAACCTCTAATACAACTTATGCAATCCGTAATTGCCAAGAAGCATTGGAAATTAAAAAGGAACCTGATTTGATTTGTGATAGTGCAGAAGCTTATCTCGCTGCAGAAATGTTCGATGATGGTAATCTACATCTTTTCCTTAGCCTATCTTATGATGAAACATATGCACAACCTTTTATATGATTTTTGTATAATGTAATAAACAAACATCTTTTTTTCTGTCCTCTCTACAGCCATTAGAGAATATAAAAATGCCTTAGAGATAGAACCGAATATGCAGAGAGCCAAGCAAGGATTGCAAAAAGCGCAACAACGCCAAAAAATGTCAGAAAGCCGAGACTATTATAAAATTTTAGGCGTATCGAGAAATGCCAGCAAACGAGATATCATTAAGGCATACCGGAAGCAAGCACAGAAGTGGCATCCTGATAATTTTCAGGAAGGCGAAGAGAAAAAACGTGCGCAGAAAAAGTTCATCGATATTGCCGCTGCCAAAGAAGTCCTCACGGATGATGAGAAGAGAGCGAAATTCGATCAGGGCGAGGATCCCTTAGATCCGGAGTCGGGTCGACACCAACAGGGCTTCAATCCCTTCCAGGAGTTCCATCAATTCCATGGTTCTCCCTTCCAATTTAAATTCCACTTTAATTAAACACATCCTAAGATCTTGTTGTAATAGAACAATTACTATTCTCGAATTTTAATACTCGTCGTTTTAAACGCGACGGTCTCTTTATTTCATCCTAGCCCGAATTTCGTTTCGCTGTCGATGGAAATGGCGCGTGTTTAATCTAACGAATTCGGGAGATTGCAGATGAACAAATCGATGAATCGTTAACCAAGACCAATGGCCATCTAGCGATACCGGGTAATGCACATATCCCGGTACGCGTTTAATAAGAGATGCAAAGAGAGACTTTAATCGCTCGCTAGTTTGTTTACTGCAAAACTTATAATACAGTACTCGTTCTACTAGTACATGCATACAGACTGAACGATAATTATAATATATTTCAATTCACACGTAAATATCCGTCGCGCATAATTTTATCATTGCACTATCCATCTTTATACTATTGTATGCTACTGATAAAATTGTGATTGTTCCACGTATTGCAGTACAAACATGATATGTACAGTGATCACTTGCTACTGATTGTTTCAGCAGCTCATTTTTAGCTTGGGAACATGCGACAATTAGATCGAATTCGAAAGATATTGCGCGTTTATCGAGTACGAATATATTAAATCGGTATTTATATTGTTATTACTTTCGCGCGTATTATATTCGTACTCGGTAATGTTCACATAATGTGTAGCTGTGCGTATGAGTGTGAGTCAAAACTTTATGTAAATACTGTATTTCTGAGACATTTGTTTAAAAATATATTTGAGTAATTTATATACCATTATAAAATATATGAAAAAGGCATTATTAGTATATATATATAAAGAAAGCATAAGCGTTCACTAAAACGTCAAATTTTATATTGTTTGCTCAAGCGTCAAATTTTCTTTTTAAAGCTTTCTTTTTGACTACACTTTGCCTTTTCTTTTCATCAATCGCTCTTTCTGTTTTCTTAATTTCTTTTGTTTTTTTAATCCTTTTTGCAGATTTTTATATTTTCCTAATTGTTGTCTCACCATGTGACCCCTCCATATCGATTGGATAATAGTTGCAGCTCTATTTAGCTTTGCTTCTTCCTGCAATCTTTCTTCTTCTTCGATAAATTTTTGCCGCTCATCTATCAAAGTGCGCATTTCTTTCATCTCTAATTTTTGTTCTTCTATAAGACGCTATCGAGACAGAAATATAGATTCATGAGTAACTTAAAAAGTTATTTGAAAATATACTATCATTTATATAATTTTATATTTTTTATGCTATTCAATTTTAATTCTTTTTTTTACTTTTCTTATTTTTTATTTTTATATTTTAATAATTATATTTGTTTTTACTTAATTATACTATATTATTTTTGACGTTCGGAAATAATTCTGATGTGTGAAATATGTTTTCCTATAGCTACTAGAAAATATTACTACTCTCTTATATTAATCTTCGAATGTACCTTTAATTCGTCGATTTCCTGCTGCCGTTCCACAATTTCCTCGTTATATCTCTTCGTCCACATAATTACCTGTTCTTCTTTCTCTTTGATATCCGCTTCTAAATAAGCGTTCATTTCCGCTGATTTAATTTGCTCCGCGTTATATTCCTTCGAGTAGTCGCTTAATTTGTCCAGCATTTCTTTCTTTTGTAGATGCAATTTGAGTTCCTGCTGCTCTAGTCTGGCCTTCTCCCATTTTTCCGCATAGCCTGAGCACGATAATATTGATAAAGAAATATATTTGCACGTATAGAAATGATGTATCTTACCTAATTTTCCGCTGTTTAAAAATATTGCGTGATCGACTTGCGCGTCGCTTTCCTGCGCGAGTTTTATTATATTTTCTCGATCCTCTTCATTCGCCTTCTTGTTAGATTCCAATAGTTCTTGGAGTTCCTTAGCTTGGTTGAGCCAGATCTGGGCATTTGCTTCGAGATTACGTTCGCTTTCCTGCTTCTTTGCAATATTATCAATTTCCTTTTGCAAACTGTCAAATCTGCCATTTTTTTTTATGTCGCGAAGAACTTTCTGAAGGACTTGATACACATAATTTCTAAATACAAATTCGTTAAAAATGCATGCATTAGAAAAAATTTGGTGTACATCTTCGACTGGAGAAGTTTTAATTCATATATTAGGAAGATACCGAAAAAATAGCATCTATATAAAAATATATATTTAAATATATATATTATACATACATATATATAAGCAAAAGTTATAAAGGAATATTTTGGAATACCTTTTTTAATTTTTTTTAGAAGTATTGAAGCTGTGTAGAGTTTTATATAATGACATATGCATTAGACAAACCTATCCCTCTGCATTTTTTCAGCCTCTGTAGGTACGATTGGCAGCAGATCCATTTCTTCCCTGAAGAGCCTTCTAGGCTCGTCGGGCACTCCGTATGTCTCGTCAATCGTTTTAAACGTGTCGTCCCAGCGTGAATCAATTTTAGCCGGTATCATGAATCCTATTATGGCGAGCTGATCTAAACATTCCTCAAGGACGCATGATATAGCGGCCGCTTCCAACGGAGTGAACGAGTCGATCGGCGGAACTTCCATTTGCATACTTTGCACCCCGATATTCTCTGAATTTTTTACTCTCGGCAGCGTATCCACAAACGACTCCACAGATTCCGAAGGTGTCATTACAGACGATTCAATCAGATGTAACGGCTGAATAACAAATGTTATTAACTTATGAGACGATTAAGTTATCCTTTCAGCAAATTATTTCTCATTATATGAATTATTTTTTATTGCGAAACATTGTATATTATATATTATGTGCATTGTATATTATGTGTACAGAATGTCATGTTTGATATTAAGAAAAAAATGTATTTGTTTATTTGAAATCATACGTTATACTTCAAAAAATATCAACATTAAAGTCAAAGTTTTTAATTTCTTCTCAGAACATTTCATGGACTTTTACCCGATAATTTAATAATTAATATAATAATTTAAAATAATATAATAATTAGGATAATATAATAATTTAATATTTAAATGATTCTTTAATTTTGTTACCTTATGATGTTCATTAGTTGTACCGAACATAATCGGAAGATTTGGCAATAGAAATGTAGCAGGTCCACAATTGGTGATTATATTTCCGTGCTCTTTCTGTTTTATCAATTCTTCACCTTGCAATGTTATTGAAGAAGTCTCCAAAAAGCAATTTTCTTCAGTCAGTTTTTTCGTATCTTCAAGTTCGATATTTTTCTAAATATGTATTTATATATAATCTAAATATGTATTTATAATATTTTTCTAAATATGTAAATATACTTCGAGATTTATGAGTATAATTCTAAATATAAAATTAATTTTTCGTTATGTATAATATACGAATAATTAAATTTTGATTAATTTTATTTATATTGAATTTCTATTTATATTAATTCTATTTATATCTTACTACGATATAACGTTAATCTTACTTTTTCATCTTCTATTTTAGAAACGATTATCTTGTTCATATTTTGCATGAATGTGTCGGTTGTTTGTTTCAGTGTTTTCTCAACAGCATGTCCATCTATTGATGCATCATCGATGATGATTACATTCCTACGAGCTTGTTGAACTATTATAGACGATAATCTATCGAGCGCGATGTCTTTTTGAAATGCTTGTATATCTTGAGATACTTTCAGTTCATTTATCATTTTTGTGATTATGCTAACATAACAATTATATATAATGTTATTCATAAATTAATCAGTTATATATAATATTAAACTATTTTTATGTACAATTTAAGAGTTTATATATGTTTGAAAATTAATTTTAGAAGAAAAAGACAGAATCAATTAATACAATTTAAATATTATTCGTATCTGTGATATTACGATATTCACTGCTAATTAGTGTCTTAAAAGTTATATTATAAATTAAAATAATTGTATCGTTGACAGAAATTTAATCTACGAACTTTACCGTTTTTTTGCCTCATTTTTTTTCATCAATTAGTATATCTGCCAAAAAAATACAAAGTGTGAGAACACAATATATTGGCACAGAAATCTTGGGTTTAATTTCTTCCCAAGTCATATTGTTATATTGAATTTTTGCTATTGTCAAGTTTGTAAATATTGAAGCTGTATAGAGAAATAATCTCGAACAAAGAAAAATCTCGAACCATGTGAATGCTACGAGCCAAAGATCATTCTATATTTAAGCGTTATATACAGTTATTCATATTTTGAAAACAAATATTATTGATGAAAAAAATGTTCTCTTTGCTCGTTGTATTAGGATCTCGTTAGCAGTATGAGAAAATAAAAGTATATTTGATAACAGTGATACATTTAATCTATAAATACAATAGATACATTAGATAAATATATTTATCATAGGAATCAGCAGTTTTTTCATTTAATAATGACTAAAATGTTTGAACACGCAAAGTTATCTTAACAAGTATATCTAAGTAGTACACTATATAATAACACTATATAATAACTATATATAACACTATATAATAACACACACACACACACACAAATCATTCTATAGAATATGACAAATAATGTAATCTCATTTATTGTATATTTAAATATTCATCAAAAATTTATTTTTTCCGCATTTTTGTGTAAAAGACAAAAAAATTTATATAGGAATTTAAATAGACAGTTAATAATAGCACACACACACACACGTAAATTTTAATTTAGTTTATACAAATCCTGGTTAAGAATTGATAACATGTATACATGATATATGATATATTTGTACTTCCTGTTTATATATATACATATATGTCATATTCATAGATTCATTATACACAAATTAAACTTTAAATTTATTATGCTTTAACAACAAATGTAAATCTCATTGCAAAAATAATTGAATATCAACATGACTTATAAATTGGCATTTCTTTAAAAGCCATATCTATCGCGCAAAAGTTTGCTAGACATGATTTATCTCTTCTCCTTACATTTTCTAACAATAAATTCTAGTAACTATTAGTACTTAAAATATTTGACGAGTTTCATAGTTTAATAATACTTTGCTTATAGCTACGCTCTCTTGTCTATAGCTCTTACTTCATTTCCTATTCTATGCATTTTACAATGTGATATATCACATCATTTTACATAATATGGCTATTGTCATGGTAATAATAATAATAATATAAGAGCCTTCGTAATCTATATAGCTCATTTCATCGCATTTACATACATTATATTCCAATGCAAATTAGTTATAACTATGTGGCTGTAAAAGCACATTAACGTTGATCGATATAGATTTACATTGCATGTATGCATATAATCATGCATACATATACCTATTAAGGTATATATGTGTGAGGCAAATCCTCATCGTTTCGAAATTATAAACTTCTATATTATGACATTTTAAATAAATCAGTTTTTAACTTATAATTGAAAATCTATTATTATCGATTCAACATTTAATGCGAAATATTTTGATTGTACGCTCCAAAAGCGTTTGCTACTCACATAAGAACAATAATTAATATTTATTTTTTAAAATACTAAAGCTTTACATAAAGTAACTGGTATATTCATGAGGCATTACACCTCTTCTAGGATAGAATGTATGACTCGTGGAATATTCTAAAAGATTTGTGATTGAGCTCATGTAAATGTCGGCAAATCTAAACAGTCTTCTGGAAAAATAAGTCGGATTGTGATATGTTCTGAATACTGAGCCAAATTGTTTGTTGAAGACCGATTTGATCTCGTTTCTCAATTGATCTCGTTCCTTCATCCATTCACCTAGCTCTTCTTGTACTTCGGCTCCTTCATAATCTTGATGTTCCTCGATTACACCAGTTAACATCTGAAGCCAGTTAGCGTTTTCTTTAAACTTTGGATCGTTCAAGGTTTCGATTTCGTGCTGTAATATAATATATAATTCTTTATGCTTTGTATATTATATTTATATTAAATTAATTTCAAAAAACAAATTTATATTAAATTAATTATAATTAATTATATTTAATTATATTATATTAATTTCAATTTTTAATACTTTTGCTTGATATTAAATTAATTTTATTCGAAAGTTTTATCAGAAATAATTAATAAAAATTTTGTTTAAATTACCGTTAATTCTTTGATTATCGCACCCGTTCGCCAACCATGTTCTAAAGTTACATCCGCTAAATCGCTGTATGGATGATCGCCAAAATATAACACTTGATGTCCTCGCCATCCAGTTATATCTTGAAGCTGTTTAACTGTTCCCTAAAATAATTCATTCAATTATTAAAAATGTATAATGTAATGTGTCTCAAGGATGTAAATTTCTAAGATATCAAAATAGGAAGACTCACTTCAAGATATACAACACCTTTGTTGAGTTTAGTGACTCGATCCCATAATTGCGTTTGTTTAACTTCATCGTAAATTCTCAAAGGGCGCGATTCTTCTGTAAAAAATCTTGGTTTCCTTGCTTGAACAATCACTACATCGAAATAGTCTTTCCAATTTTCACCGACCAAAAATTGCATACCCTTATTACTGCAAAACATTAAGAATTGTTTTATCGTTGCTATATTCTGATAAATATCTGAATTAATTATCTAAATTAAAATTATTAATATTTGAAAAACATACACAAAATGAAAAGGACTGTTTGTGACCAAGAACATTTTCTTGTTGGCTTTGTGAAGTCGCTCGAAAAATCTCCTTAAATCTTTATTCTGTTCTAGATACTCGGACACGTTTTCCACCACTAGTTGATGCATTATAGGATGGCAGCTTTGCACAGAATTCTAGATATTGTATAAAATGAATTGTATAAACAATTAGCAGGATTACATTGGCTACGTCAAAGTAATTTACCTTAACATCTCTAAATAATATCTCTGGATGATAATCAATGTGATTTTGCAGAAAATATTCCGTAACGTTGCACAATAAACTCATTTCCGGCACCGAAAACAAATCGGCTAGTTGAATCATTTTCGTGCGATGCACAGCATTCTTAAAGAAAAAAACAAAATGTGCAATTACAATCTTTTCAAAAAAATTTTTATATATCTCTCGCAAGTATGAATATATACTCACTTTCTGTATAAAACAATCCATCATCAAAAATACATATGTTGATAATGCAAATAGAGAAGATTAAATATTTTTAGCATATTTTAAAGGGTCCGTTTTATGAAAACAAATTATGAATTTTGCAAACATCATTATTTCTTTTCGTCTCATGAAAAAAAGAAATTTTAAGGGAAAACTTTTGATGATTAAAAAAGCCAAAATTCTGTCAACTTATAAATGAAACAATTATATTTTTAGGATTTTAAGCAGATCATGCATTCCTTCTGTTAAGGAATACGCATAATTCCTGTTACATGTACTCTTAATGTATTATATTTTTAATTTTATTTATTGATATTTGCAATTCTTTCATTCAATAATAACAAACTTACGTGAGAGTGCTTGTGTGGCGCCTCCACATAAGCTATCGGTATTATTCTATTTTTGTAGACTCGGAGGACCTCATCGTCGGGTACAGGATGCAAACCACGATAAACGGCACCCAATTGAATTTGCAAGAAGCTGTCGAGCTTTAGCAGGAGACCCTTTTCGATGTCGTAATGGAGGCCGCGGACGGCAAAATTTTCTCTGTATTCTAGATTGGCAATTCCCTCTGGATACTGAAAACGGCAATTAAATGAGTTTAAGCAAAGTTCAAGATGAAATTCTAATCGGAAATGTAATTATCTTTTGATTTCGGCAGAAATTCCGAGTAAGTTGTCCTTTGAGATGAAGGCAAGTGGGACAAAGTTCTGTATACTTTTACTTTTAATTCTTTCTTAATGCTTTCTCATTTTCAGCTTTCTCGTCTCGACAAAATATAGAAATTATATTTCCAACAAACTCTATACTTATATGATTAAATAATAATTTCTTAAATAAAATAAATGTTGGATATGATAGCTAGTGATACACATGTACATACATATACGCAATTTTTTTCTATCTATTAAAAATATTTGTGATTGAAGATATTTCTAATAAAAATATATTTTTTCAATTATATCATTACGATATGTGAATTGTAATTTTAAGAAAAATATATATTTAAAGAACAAGAAATTGTATATGAGTCTAATAAATTATATAAATATTTTATATTTTATACTTATTATATTTTAATCGATCGATTATCACAGAAAGATAAAGACCTTGTATTTTTTAATGAGCATATCGCGTCCCAGATTGTAAAGCAAATAATCCATGGATGGCTTGTAACAGGCCAGCGTATAATCGTAATCAAATCCATAGACCTGAACTTCTTTTAAGTCGAGTTCATTGCAGGCAAATACACCCTTCGGATTCACATCTTGAGGGAGTTTCTTCGCTAAAATTGCAACGATATAAATAAATTATCAATACTATAGATAATGAATATTGCATCTAATCAGGTGCAATAAAAAATGTGTATATAATCTGCAATAAATAATAGAATATTAAATAAATATTAATATAATTAATATAATTATATTATAATTATTAATATAATATAATTAATATAATAAATAATTATTTTGTACGTTTCTCTCTCTCGAAAAAAATATGGAATCTTTTTAATAAATATCGTTATTGTTCTCGATCTTAATTCCATGCGAATTAAAGTCCTTAATTGGAATGATATGAGAACTACAGTTATTACTTTTTCAGACCTAACTGGCGATCAATTCGCGCGGTGCTCTCGTTTCATTCTACAAATATACAAGCTGATTTTCACTGTCCTAGATTTTTCTGCCTATACATTCGTCTCTGCTTTCGTTGTGCCGTGGGAAGGGAGAGAAGGGCGAAGAAACCGATCTGCGATCTAAATCTAATCTGTCTCCGTTGTTCCCCCTCTGTCCTCTCTACGCGGTCTCTTTATATCGCTTTTTTCGGCGCCATCGCGAGCTAATTAATGAAGATAAATATCCTGATGAGCTGAAAAGTAATGGGAAAAGATAGAGAATCTCATCAATAATTTATGTGCTCTTTTATTTTTATCTGTTCTCTCGAATAATTTACTTGATGTGATTTAGCACGTCTTTTATATATATATAAATGTCGTCAGTTTATAAATATAATATCACCAATAAGTTTGTCAACGCAAACGGTTGGCAGAGATACGAGAGATACTTTATCTCAAATCTTGCGGTGTGCATTATGTCATGTTTTTCGCACCCGTAACAAATTTATGTGTATGTGCATCGGACTAAATGTTTTTCTTGGTAAAACTTTCCACTTCTACAATTTATCGACGCTCCGCGAATTTATGAATAATAATATATACGCATTAATTAATTCCCTAATTATATGAGTGACAAAAAATGTGCATTTGTAATTCGAGATATTTAAAGGAAGGAAAAAGATCGTTTACAATAGTCGCGAAAGCGATAATATCGAACGTTCTTCAAAAGTACGTTACGAATAACAGGAAAAAACTAATCTCGCACGTTAATAGTTACTCTCGGACACGTGGCAAGATACTCGGCAACACGCCAGAGAATCGTGATAAATCTCTTCAGTCGCCAAATTCTACGTAATAACGAAACCTCTCTTTCTCTCTCATCCGCAAAATTTCGCGACTTGATTAAATCTTGTCCCTTCTTTCCTAAAGACGTAACGGTGCATCTTCCTCCCCCCATCCCCCTTGGAGGGGTGATGATCCGCGTGCCCAGTAACAATAACTTCTCCGCCGTGCGCGTCGTGTCAAGGTCGCCCGCGCGCGTCTTATCGATACCTCGAACGCACGACGCGCATGCGCCGCGCGCGCTCGGACGTGCGAGCGAGACGGACGTATCCAGACGGACGTCAACGACGCGCACGACATTGGCATGGCCGCGGACGTTCGGTACTCACATTTGCACTTGTCGAACATCCTCAGATAATTCGCGCGCATAACTTCGCGCGACACGGGACCGCGATTGAGGGCGCGGTCGCCCACCGTGCGCCTCGACTCCCCATAAGATGCGGTGATCTGGCGTAGACGCGCCAACCGAGTTTCCGCGACGCGACACGTTGTCACGACGGTCCTCGCGTGGAGCATCACGGACGATTGGCGGGCGCGCGACGCAAACTGTCGCGGCGGCGCGCGGCGATTGGCGTGCTGCGCGGGCGGCCGATTTGAATCCAAAGCGCCGTCACGAACTAGCGGAAGGATCTAAGGCGGGAAACTCGACTCGCGGGACTCGGAGGCGCGTGATTGGCCGGCGCCGGCTCGTTCCGATGCGTTGATTGGGCGCCACGATCGCGCCTCGCGTTCCTATTGGACGACGTCGCGTGTGGGGGCGCTGGGTGCGCTCCGTCGACCTCGTCTCGCGGATGACATTCCGTTCTCGATTGTTTGTTGCCTTCAAGGCCGCGCGCGAAACGCGTTCGCGATATATATACGGAATATTATTTATGTAATAGAAGAGTTATTTGAGCGTGTTAACTGCTATTCGGACTCAATGAGTTTAAGTGATGTACACCGTTACGTGTTCGATGACGACGATGTTTCGAAATCACGGCGTCTCGGCGGATATCGTGATCGAGTATTTACGAAGTGGCTATTTTAAGGTAAGATTTTGAGGTTCTAAACACGAGGAGCCTCAAGAACTTTTGAGATATTCGAAAATATCTCGCCTTCACATTATTGGATATTCGGTCCTTTGTGTTAAAAATACGATTTCAAAGATACGATTTTTAAGAATTCCATATACGAGAGTTGTTTTGAATATTTAAAAAGCTTCTTAGGTTCCTTGTTATTTATTGCATTTTTGTTTTATATTTGTAAAATGGCGGATCTTTAAACGATACATTCCGTCCATAATTTTCATTACTGTTATTTTTATCACAACGAATATATAATATATTCGATTCTAATAAGCATTATTTTAATGACAGCGTTCAAAGATCCGCTTAAATGTACTATACTTTGGGAAGAAAATGTCATACATTTCTCTTTCATTTTATTCCCAAGTCACGGAATAAAATTGATCGGTCCAATTCCGAGCTATTAAAATACTCGTGCGTTCTAACGGCCTACGTGACGTTAGATATCCAATTAGGGTCGGCCGAATGTTCGAAACGCTTTGACGCTTTTAGAAAGCCAGGCGGGCGATATCTGCCCGCGGGATCTGTATTCCGTGGCGATTCCCTTCCCCTTTTATTTGCTTAATATTTTCCTCGCGCTAGCTCGAGAATTGGGTTAATTACCTCACGAATCCAACCTGCGTGATTTGAATGCGGAGGTTTTCTTCCTTTTTTTCCCTCTTTTTTTGCGAGCTAAATACCCGGCGTTCGACGCGCATAATTCCCAGACATACCCCTGCTCCCTTCTGCGCAGCGTATAGACTTGTACGAGGACGTTCTAGGATACTTAACACACTTCGCACCTGATCCTAATTGCGAGAAACTACCCGCGTGCGTTTGCAACCGGTACCGATTATACGCCTCCATATTTAATGGGTGGCCGCGAGCGTGCGATGGACGATGCCAATGGTATGATTAACGATCGCGATTGTGTCATCCGTCCGTTTCTTCTGCATCCGCGTGTTTTGCCGTTATCGGTTCACTTAATAGATCAAAAAAAGCTGGTAAACGTCATTTATCCCAAGATTATAGGAAGCCATCGGTTAATGAAATGGAAGGATGAGAATAATGAATTATACCGCGTGTTACAGGCGGCTTTTAAGCTTCATATAACGAACAAGAAAGATCAATTACCATCGAAGATATTTTGTAACATAGTATCTCTTTTTTATTTGTTTATTTGCACATTTGTTGTCTTGTGCTACTTGCAAGTATCGATAGTCTTCCGATTGTATTCTCTAAAATTTCTCTAAAATAGTGATGCAATCGAAAAAAGAAATATATCGAAATTAATGATTTTTATTGCGGAGTAATACCGGCTTTCGACATTCAAAAACGATTATTCATTGATTCCTTGATCGATGGAATGTCGGAAGCTGCAGAATTTTCCAACATATCCACATGTAACTATCCTGCTGCTATTGGTGACACGCGACCTCATTACCTTAATCTAACATAGTCTTGGATCCTCGGTCATCGTACTCTTCTATGATAATGTATTTAGTCGTATATATTCTGCGAGACGTTATCTTGAATGATTACCTTCTCGGTATACATATAATTATGGTTATGAATGTTGCATAACAGTCTGTTTATTTACATTTAACAGTGTTTATTGCTGAGATTATATGAGAACTAATACAAAAGTACATGTAAGATGCAGATAAAGTAATATGTAATATATAATTTTATACTCTCTATCTTTATTAATGATATTAATTTTTTTGAATAATAATAAACGTCACATGTTATATGTAAAAATATACGTATTTCTCACACACGCGTACGGATATGTAATATTTTTCAGCTCTTTGATAAAAATGAGACGAATAAAATTACAAACTTTTACGACCGAATTTTTGAAATACTAGCCGTCGAATTTCGACTTCAAATATACAATTTCACAGTACAATTGAATTTTACGTTATAACAAAGTATGCGTACATTCACAATATTCTCTGTAAAATTTCCCATACGTTTTCCGTGATACCCTGAGGCACTGAATGCACATCCTGCGTCTCGTATATTGACAGTTTCAGCAGAATCAACGTTATGCACGTTGTTGCTGCTGAAGACTCGTTCGTTCGATCGCGAATTTCATATCCGTGAATATTGTGTTAAAAATAGTAGCTTTTTACTCCTTTACGGAGAGTTAGTTTTACGTTTGCGATTTCCTATGTTATTTGGCGCTTTTCAATATGATTCCATATATTTCTATATATTTTTCCTTGTATCAATTATTTCCGATTAACGTATGGTATTTTTAATTGTTATATTTTTGTTATTTTCATGCTAAGAAAATAATTTAATGTAAAATATAAAAAATATTTATTAGATTAAAATTGTTGAAAAAAATAATATTTCGAAGAAAGATAAATCTGAGAATGCGAGAATGTTCGCTTTAGAAACGCTTCAAAAGGATATCTCGAGTGATTTACGAACACTATAAATCTTTTTTTTCATCGAATTACGCACACGCTATGCTTATATCACGATAATATTACTATCATATAGCTGTAACGAGTTATGCGAGCGAAATGCGCTAATTAGCCGATAATTACGCTCGCAATTTTCGATCTGCACTAATCTGTTACTTAATGATTTACACTAATTTTAGTTTGCGGCCATTAAGCTCATTCATTTCTTCGCGGATCGTCAAATTTGCAGCAGTTCTCGAATAGTAAAACGCGGCCATTAATTAAGTAAAAAATAAATAAAAGTCACCACCGCAATAAAATTCAGCCAATTAGATTTAAATTTGTTTGTCTTTCTTGTAAAAACAAATCGACAGTTTTAGTTAGTTACAGAAATACCTTTAATGATTGAAACTTTTTATTAAGCTGTCAATTTTGCCATTAATTATGTTGTTAATTTTTTATAAATAAAAGATTTTTTTAAGTTGAATATAAGAGAAAATAATGATTCGATATATCAATAAATCTAATTTAATATATTTGGATATTTATTTTTCGTGCATTATTATTTACAATTTTAAATGAAAAATTATAAAGGAATATAATTTTTATTTGTATAATACAATTGGAACGTTCAGTGCTCTTTAGATCAGATTATTATCAAGTTGGAAAAATAATGTTTTTAAGATTTTCTCCTGAATACCTGAAATCGTGAATTATGAGCACTTCCTGTGTAAAGATATTGTCGCATTTCCCATCACACGGATGACTTCTCTCGGTTTTTATCGTTCGCGTTTCAGCTTCTTATAGTTCTAACAATTGCTCGTATTTGTCGTTTTAGTAGACGGAGGTTAATTACAATCAGAGAGACCGTGTTAATGGTGCCTGGAGACTTTATGCGGGAAGAAGCGATTTTCTCTTCTAATGACAATGAAACCTAATCTAAAGCTAGGCCTATCTTGATAATGCAAAACCGCTTAAAGCAAACGCGTTTTTAATAACGTGTGTGTTTCCAGCAGCAACTGTATATAACACAATAGCGATGATCGTTTCAATACAAAAATGGTTTTAAACAATGGTTTTAAACATTGAATCATATCAGGGATTTCAAATAAAAAAGATAAAAAATCAATCAGAAAATTGATTAAATGCTCTGAATATAATATAAAACCATATTATGTAAAAATGAAGCATAAAGTCACGTTTCTTAGACAATTTATGACGATTAAAAAAATTGGTGTCTTTTTTTTCAATTTTTAAGAAAACCATTTGAATTATCTATATATCCTCCTATTCATAAAGTCTATATATCCATCCTATCTCTATATATCTTATTTATAAAGTTAACTCTATATACATAAACAACCATAGGTTTTTATATTAATAACGTGTGTGTTTTTTATATTAAATTTCTGATGATCGGAATTGATGCATTTTGCAAATTTTAAAATGCTTAATTAGATACGATTTAACTGATCGATTTTGCGTCTATTATATTGAAGGAGGACGCAAACCGCTAGGTTGTTTTGCTCTCGAGATGTAACTCATCTTCGGCTCGCTGATGATGGAAATTGCTTCAAAAGGCTCGCGTCTAATTAATATCTCTTCTCTATAGTCGCACACATCTAACGTGCATGTGCGACATGTGAAATTGCAGTATGCGTCACTCAAGGATATACGCTAGTGTACGATCGCGCTCGCGCGCGCAAGCGGCGCAAAGGTGGCGAAGAACGCAGATCGCTAAAGGCGCTGTTCCGGTGACCTACTCCGCGATTATCACTCACCGGTGGCCGATCGTCGATGCAAGTGCGTGAGCGTTAACTAGTGTTGCCAACTATACCACGCCACGAGAA